GTTAATGGGATTATTACTTCGATCAAAATAAAGTTAACTACAGAAGCAGTTCCATCACTAAGGGAATCAAAGGAAGGGCACAGGGGGTAAAGGGGCAAAGTTCGTTTTTTTATAAATTGAGATAGATATGCATAACTATTTGTTTTTGCCTACTTTCTGAATATATAAATATTGTGGAAGAAAGGGGCCTCAAGTATCACCCTCAAATACCATCTAAAAGATTTTGACAACAAGTAGGCCTATAAGGGGCCAAGTCAAATTAAAGATTTCGATTCCTGGAAATTATGTAAAACGGACTTTGCCCCTTCTTCCCCTTGCCCTTGTTGGCTCCTTTCACATAAGTTGTTTAGGGTTTTAAGAACAATTTTTTTTTACTATTTATCAAAACCTAGCTTTCTCTCATTACATTCAAAAGCCCCCATAAGTCGTGGTTGTAAAAATATTTTGTTACACTACCAATCTATATCCATACGTTATCAGCCTTTATGAATGGGATCCAGAAAAATAAGATGTAATATGTCCCTTAAGAAAAACATAAAGTTGTGGGGATCATTTAACAAAGATTTACCTATACACCAATTCATTAACTTATCCCATTTATTAAAACCCAGGTTATAAGGTATACCGGGAAGGTTGGCATGTTTATACCTAAAATATTCAATGTTACATCGTAAACAAACTGCTTTCTTCTGATACGTTATTATTTACTACAAAGGAACATTGAATCTGGTTTAGACATCTTATTTCTCTTTAGCTTGAGGATGTGATGGACAAGACAACTTTTAGACAATTGGAATTGACGATTCACTCTCTAACCTACGAAAGATGCGGTTTTATTCATTTATTTACCATATTTATTTCTAAAAGAAAGATAAATTTGTTTTATCGAAACATTTTATAATTTTCACATCAACAAACTTAAAACCATTTTTTTTTTATTTATTATGGGTAAAGACTTTTCCGTCAACAAAGAAAAATATATGCTGAAGAGTTATGAGATTAGCAATCTGCCATTCAATATATTTTTGTAATTGTATATCGTTTACTTATAAAAGCCATTTATTTTATTTCACCAGAAGTACAGTTGTAATAAAATAAAACTCGAGTATACACTGTACTCTAAACAAGGAACTCTAAATTCAGAAATATTTTTGTTTTGCCCAGCAAGTCTTCGCACTCAAGCTTATGAAAAAACTTTTGTTTCTGTCAACCTTGATTGATCTGTGTTTGAGACTTTTTCCGTCAAAACTTTCGTTTCTATTGTGTCACCCACTCTTTCTTTTAAGTTTGACCAATAAAGATTATTAAAAAAATGTTATCTAACGAACTGCCGACAAAAATCGTGTATAAGAATTTAAAAAGGTAATTTCTCATAAGGTGGACAATTTTAATATTATATCAAAAACTAGAAACTACTTTAGTGTTATTTACCGATAGCGAAATAAGCTTAAGCACTACTTTTGTAACAAAAGAATGTCACCAAAACTTATTACTTCCTTTGGAAAAAGGTAAAACTATTTTTGAAGAGTTGCACATTCCTAAAATATTGACCTTTACATAGATTTTTTTCTAATTTTAAAATTAAATTTATTAACTTTTGTCTGAACTGTTTGCAACCGGAAGACTGCTAAACCTTAACCGGAAATGAAACCTTGTTTAGTCCACCAACACCGCTCTTATTACTCCATGAAATGTTTAGTATATCCCTGTATACAGTATTGGTCTCGCCAAGGGACATTTGAAAATCAAACTTTACTTGGTTACATAGTAGCCTATACCTTTTAGTAACTTTGGTAAAAAAAAGCAATTTTATTGTAACTTGGTTTATGTTTTTGTTCGGTTTAAGTTTGTTTTCAAATTTTCCAGTTCTTGTTCACTTCTTTGTTCGACTGGTTGAGTTTTTAGTTAAGTTTCTTTAACGTGACTGATTGTCCATCTATGTACATTGTACAACTCTCATTAGCATAGATAGTTTTGTATCCTACATAGTTCAAACCAAACGCTTGTTTCTAGTTGTTTCTAGTAGGCAAGACTCTGTATTTTCAGTTATGTCATTAATTCAAAGTAAAATTTTGTTTAGTATAATTGTCAATAGTTTTTATGTCTGTTAATTTGTCAAAAACAATTTTATGTCTATTAGTTGAATTTTATTGATACAAAGTCGTAGACAAAATGGTTGAATCTCACGTGTACAAAGCTTTCCGTCAAACAATTCGTACAAAACTATTGTCCGAGTTTCCATATTTCTCTTTTGAGTTATTGCCGCAATTTGGGAAGGAAGAAACTCGTTCTTGGAATGTCCGTACATTTGTACATCACCAACCGACTTTACATTTGCTCAATTGGTGTTTCCTTCAACGCTCAAGGAATATATTTTCGAATATAGTTCAATTCTAGCTATTCAAATTTTGTTTTGTGTTCCTATAATATGAACTAAATTCTAAACTTTTGCATAGAATTATTTTTCCTCAATAATCTGTTTGAATATATAAGTTTTTGGAATGAAAATTAAAACTCATGTTAAGAATATACTTGCTGACCCGTGCGTAGCATTCACACTGAATCCTTCTCAAATTCCACTTATTGAGGTACACAACATACATTTAATTCTGCGTGGTAAGTGCATTGTTGATTTACTTATGGGTCCTTACTTAAGGAGTCTACATTTTAGATAATTAACCTTTTCAAAATGTAATGTTAAGTTATTTACGTTTTTACATGTTTATAAGACCTATTTGAACACTATTGAAGTAATAATTTGGCCATAAACGATATTTTGTTTTACACAGAAGTAGTTTTCATTGAAAAAGCGCACCCTTGACAAAGCCACAAAAACTGAATGTGTAAAAAACAGATTCTGGTACCGGTACGTGCAATACCTACTTCATTCATTAGCGTCTGACCATGTGCTTTAAAGTCGTGACAAAGGTAACTTTTAAGGGAAATTCCTTCTTAGTCAGTTTGAAAGGATTACGGACTATTGCGTAGTATGAGTTCGACCGGAGTTAGCCAACTTTGCTTTGATAGAGTAGGTGCCCAAGTGAGCAACAACCAATCTTGGAACATGCTCATGGTTCTCATCAACATGATAATTGAGTTCTTTTTAGAATGGGTTTATGAGGAAACGAAATTCTTAACGAAATTAGGTAACGAAACTAACGGCTTAATGAGTTTAAAAAACTCCAATGGATACAACAGAGCGTTCTACGACCCCTGGTAAAGAACCTAATTAAAACTGATATAAACCGTTTCCTGTTGGTAACAAATTCTACACAACATAACCATTCATTGAAACCTGTAGTAAATAAAAGATAAGAGGTGATATTAAATCCTTAAAATTTTAAAGATGGAATTCTTAAATATACATAGCATGGTTGGGAGGTATGTCAAAATGAAGGCCATGTCGTGCATAAAGAAATAATAAAAGCTAAAGAATCCATGCGGTACTTACTTTTGAGTCGTTCTTGTTTAGACTTCTTTAAAGTGAATACACAGATTTCATTTCCGGGTTATTCGTAGAAAGCACAGACCACGCACAGACTAAGTTTTTTTTAACACTCTGATTTGAGAAATAAATATTCGTTTGTTTTGATTAATTTAATTCATATGTTTCAGCTGATCCAATAACTCATTCGTAAATGCCATCAAAATCGGACAAAAATTACTCAAGTTTTCACGTTCACGGACGTATATATACATATATAAATTTGAACGAATGGTGTTTTTGGCCTCTGGGGATATCAAAATGAAAAAGTAAATCGGTCCAGGGCCTAGGTCTTACCGTGCCACCTACGGTAATAGCTACTTCCCTACATTGAAATTCGCTAAAAATAGTTAATTAAAATCAGCGTACTCAAAAATAACCATCAACAAACACACCAAAAGATCATCAAATATTTCAACAGATAAATAAACGTTTTCTTTAAATGGACGACCAATTTCTTCCTTTGCAAACGTCAGCAACACGGTGATATTGGAGAAAATGTCTCATTTTTATTCAACTGCCATCCAAACGATGGTTGGGCACGACTATCTTGGTGGAAACAGGATGACTTTGCAAACTTACAAATCAGTGGTTCGTAGCAACCAAGCGAGGTACTTTAGTTTTATTTGACACAAAGTCAATGAATACTTAGCTAAAGTAAGTTTATCTCATATTTCATAGCTACCAACTATTTCCTCGAGAGATCAGATTTTAGAACGGATGTTTTAAAAGTTCAAAACTTTTACGCCTATATTGTTAGCATAAAGTTAAATCGATTTCTGCTGGCTTTAGGCATCATAATAAGAGTAGTACACGTTTTGCTTTGACCGTTAAACACTATAGACAAGAACATTGTATTGAATCTTTACCTGTAAAAGAGGAAGTATGTATGTAGGGCCTATATATGTATGTACGTACCCTATGGACTCCGAAACCGCTCGACAGATTGTAATGAAGTTTGGTATAAACTATTTGCCTAAGAAGTATGGAATTTTATTTCCATACATTGCGAGTAATTAAAACTCCTGAGACATTTTCATCCTTATTGATCTGTAAACAATTTTAAAGTACCTTTACGTGTGTATGTACCGGTATTATATCTAGACTAGAGTGTGTTACTATTTTAATTATATTTCATCGACTTAGCAATATATTTATAAACTTATGCTCGTTATCCGGTGTTACAAGCAAAGAGAAAAGCTAACACAGTATACCGTATACCATAAACAAGACAAGAATATGCTGTCGAAATCTACGCAAAAGTAATCGAACATTACAGTAAATTGCATTGCATTTCAACGAGCGTCACATTTTGCAATAGAATTTTAAACCTAAAAGCTGTATCCAAAGTCAACATTATTACATCTCATACTTTCCAAACCGAGATACCATAGATTAAACAAACTCGGTGTTACTCCAGACCGCGGATTTATAACCAACTGCAATCAAAACATTTACTCTATGGCATACACAAAAACAAACCAAACGAACTCAAAACATATGAGTTAAACAACAATATTAAACCACATCAAAATCTGAAAATTTACAAATTCAACCTTAAAAATTCAACCTTCGTAATGCATTCGAACTACAACGAGATGAGACTTAATGGACAACTCTGCGACGGCGTCATCAAGACTTCAGACGGAGGAAGATTTTTAGTCCACAGAGTGGTGTTGGGCGCCTTCAGTCCATACTTCAGGGCCTACTTCACCAACAGTCTGGGCCAAGAGGGGCGGGAGATTGGAGAAATGACGATTGACGACGAACCAAAGGACATCGTCGCCGCCATTGTGGAGTGCGCCTACACCGGGACATGCGCGGTGAACGTACACAACGCGCAGGCGCTCATGGTGGCCGCCGACAGGTTCTCGTGCGAATCTCTAGTCAAACATTGCGCAGACTTCATCGGGAAACAAATCAGCTTTGATAACTTTGCCAGCATGCTCAGATTCGCCAGGAACTACTTGTTTCGGGATCTTGAGGTAAGGCAATTAGACGTAGGTTTTAAAATATCTTTGTTGAGTGACTGCAACGAAGACACTAAAAAGATTACGACGTTTTTGAGTGAAAATTTAAAAACGTACGTTTTCAGGAAAAGCACTTTGCAAATTCTTTTCCCCTTTTTTCAAAACTTTTATTATTATTTTTATTTCATTAACATTTGAAGTTTCATAAAATGTCCATGGTAACGCAATATCTTTGGTAGTTTCTTTTTAAAAGAGCATCTTTAGTGGAAAAACACAAAATCCCGTCACGACCATAACGGACGTTTAAATGAATATTAAAAATAGTTAATATTATTTTTATAGCTATGTTTTGCTATAAACTTATTTACTTTTATGACCATTATACAATAAATAGGTCACTGAGCTTTTGGTATATTTGGTCTTTCTAGAAAAAAATAAAAAAACTCAAAAAATTGAAAAAAGCCAATAAAATCTTTTTAAGTTTGTATAACTCCGAAAAAACTTACCTGAGACCCGAAAAATCGTTATGTTTGTATAGAGGTGTGCTTCTTTTGTGTATAAAACATTGAAATATGACGATATTTTAATTTTTGAAATTTTTATGATAGAAATCATAAACGTGATGGTCAGGGACAAGCGGTACGGTCGTGAATTGTCTGGAATAATCTAAATTGTTCTAAACAATCCTTCAATTATCCTATTAGTTATAATAAAAATATGTGTTTCAATTGAACTTAACTGTTCAATTTACAATTATATTAAAGTTATTGTCACTACTAAACACACTATAATCCATAAGGCTTGATTGGTCGTGAAAAAACCCGCGATGGTCGTGAAACTTTGGTCGTGAAATTACGTGTTATTTGGCTCTGTTCTGGCGGTAGCCCTGCACCTCATGTTCGAGGATACAAAGTGGACTGCTAGGTTAATCTAGCAATTGAAATATCTTATAAACAAAAATTAACACCATGTCTACTTTATCGAATGACTACGTACGGTCATGGACACACCAAAATTACAAAAAACACAATCTTTCCTTTATTAATCTTGTAATTCCTCCTTTCAACTCAAAACGACCGGCACTACAATCCTGACGTACACCCCGAACTAGTCTCTAAAACCAACTGACTCCATCGACGCCAGGCTTGCCACTGTCGTGCTCCAAAGTTGAAAAATTTTCCCAAATGGTCGTGACGCCAAATCGAGGGACAGACTTATTTTGTCATGGTAGTCAGTTTGTAATGACAATAAAATTACAATATGCTCCTTTTTTGTAAGTTTAATAACCATTGATGACATAAAAATATGGCTTTATATATTTCGGCATGAATAATTAGTCTAAAAACAGCGTGAAAGTTGGAAAATGTACCCTAGGGACACGTCATGGTCGTGAATTTCAAGACTTTAAAAATACGAAAAAAATACCTAGAACCTATTTAAAACCAAATAAATGTGTGTAACATGTTGCCCCCGTCCCAAAAAATATTAAAACACATAATAATTAACTACAAATCCAGTATCTACGAAGTAAAAGGCCAGGGACATGAAAACGTACGTTTTTAAATTTTCACTCTTTTATGTTAGAGTTACCTATTATTTTAAAAACTGTGTTTTTTTGTAAGAAGTTGGCATTTTCTTTTGACCGTGAATCTTCCCATCCAAATGGACATCAGACATGTGATGGAACTAGTAAAATATGGAGAAATGAAATCTGTAGAAATTGCTTTCATATTTTTTAGAAGGATTTTACTTAGCCTACCATCTTACTTTCATTATCATCGGGTTTCAAAGCATTTGTCAAAATGTATGTAACTTATACTTAATTCTAACTTTGGTATTGGCTTGGGAAAAGTAAAATATAAATAACCTATCACACTCTATGGAGGATTATGTGCTACTTGTTATCCTGAAAGTTTATGGGCTCTTTTAAATACAATCTTTGAATGAGTGCAGGAAATTATGGTATATATTCAATGGTTTACCACGTAACCTGAACACCCGATTAGAAATGTATACAAGGAGGGAATATTTATAAATACCACCGGCTCAGCAAACCTGCATCCTAATCAAAACGTGATTTTGAATGGATAATGGATGGTGATTTTAGCCTTAGTGAAAACTGATTTTAGTCAAAACTGAAAAGTAAAGGGGTCCCAGGTTTAGGTAAGGTAATAGCCTATGTTTATATGGAAAAGGTTCTATGTTTTTATCTTTGAATATCATGCATAGTGAATTATAAGAGCTAGAGCATGAATGTTATTTCCTTTCTTTTGCAGGTGAAGGTGTGGCAGTTCGGATGGGACCAGATGGAGGAGCTCATGAATTCTTCAGAGTTTCTCACCCTGACTGCTGACGAGCTCAGTGAGCTTCTCAGTGCAGACGAGCTCAACGTAAAACAGGAGGAGGTAAAGTTACAACACATTGTTTTGTCAACTGAAAACCATACGAGGTGAAGTTACAATACATTGTTTATTCAACCTAAAACTGAAATATGAGCCTGATGACATCTCATATCAAGTTTGAGGTTTGAAGAGATTCTTAACACACACACAACACTCCAAAACTTTTTTCAATCAAACTTATAAGGCACCAAAACAAATACCGGTATTTTCAATCAAAAATTTTAAAACTTTGCAAAATGATACCATTGACTATTGGATACCTAGACGTAATTGCTGGGTCACAACAGTTGCTATAGCTCATAATAAGTCATTCCATCAGTTTGACTTGGTAAAAACCATAATGTAATCGGCAGAAATTAGTAATTTAGATCAGCGCAATCTGGAGGTGGCTCACATCAATTAAGACAAATTTTATTAAAAACCTGGCTACAACTTTAACATGGGGATGGAATGTCTAGTTGTTGTATTAATAGTCAAAGATGATACTTTCTCTAGAAGACATTATCACTTCTTTTACTCTAGAACACATTATTACATTTCTGAAAAGATTTCATTGATCTTAGACTGATTTTAAAGACATTGGTTGGACATAGGCCTACTCTACAATAAAAATACAATTTTCATTTAACTCTTCATTTTAGTAGATTAATTTGTTCTCAGGTAGTTTTTGAAGCAATCGATCGCTGGATTCGGAACGACCCAGAGTCAAGACGTCATAGCCTTGCTCAACTCCTGAGATCCATCCGCTTTGCCCTTTTGTCTGGGGAATTCTACAATCAGCGAATCAAAAACTACCCTTACAACACCGAGGTAATGAGAAAGTACCATTGAAACTTTCACCATTTACTTATATTCCTTTTTTGTAGAAAGGTGAGAGTATCAATTAGTTGCGCTCAACTTTTACCACTGCTGAAAGTATCAGGAGATCCTGCAGAAACTTACACTTGAAATAGTCTATTTATGCATGTAACCAAAAAATACCACAGTAAACTTGCAGACCAAGTAATAATAGTTGATTTATTGAGGAAAAGGTTCTAAATAAAAGAAAATTGAAACGGTGGGTAGTATGAAGAGCCGGCCTAAGGCATGTGCGAAAGGTGCAGCATAGGGCTCCGCACCTCGTCTTGAATGAAAATTTTAAAAAAAATTTTAAATCCTTTAACTATACGTCAATTTTGTCAGTTATGAAAAAAGTAAAAGGGGGAAGTATCATAATATTATACATTGGGTTTTTATTAGTTAGTATTGTTGGATACCTACTACTTTTTTGGTAGGTGGCCCCACTCTGAATGTTTACACCACCCAAGGCCATCTCTGCCAGTATGATAATTGGTTCAGAGAGTCCAGTTTACCTACTAAGTTTTTCTGCTATGAGGGATGCAATAAACTTATTTTTATTATTCTATATGGATAACATAAGCTAAGACTTTTAGTATTTAATCACTGACAAATAGGCATAGAATAAAATGTTTTCACAAATAATTTCTTCAATGAAAATATTTTTGTTTTAATATCATTTTTCATAAAAACACCAAATTCACAGGAGAGTCTGGACCTGCTGCTGACGATTGACACTCTGTTCGACAGTGAAAACGACTCGTTTTACTTCTACTGCCATCACAGGCCGAGGATACCCAATGAGGTTGTCTTCACCATTGGCGGTTGGTCGGACGGATATCCTACAGATGCTATTGAGACATATGACAAAAGGTTGGTAATTTGTCTCAAGGAATGACTATTATGATTTCTACTATATCAACTAGGGCTACTAGTATTTTTACTATTTTTTTTTATTTCAGTTAGTAGAGCCCTACAAATTTGTCAACCAGTGGATAGTTAGTTAGTTTAGAAAAGCTGATGACCCTGGAATTTAATGCTAAAAATTTCTCTTTCAGGAAATAATATTCAGTGAAAGTGTTGTTTATTAAAGATAAATAATATTCCTCTCCTGCAAAAAGATGTATCTGTACTAAAAATATTCCTTACACCGTGTTGATTATAAAAGGAATCGTCAGCAATTTGTAATCAGGAAGACAATTTGTTGTATTAATTTTCAGGTGGTAAGTTAATTGTACTAACCTTAAGCTATTGCACAGCAGGGCAGAAAAATTTTCCATTGATTGTCCTTTCCCACTCAGATGGTCAAAGCTACTGGTGGTTATGGAAATACTTTCAAGCTCAAAAGGACACACCCTTTTGTCAAAAAACCTTGACCGTTTTACTACAAAATTATGTTTGTTTTGATGATTGTGGTGATACCTAGTAGCAAATGTTAGCACTAAAATTATTCTCAGCTGGTAGGAAGAAGCTTTCATGATGGCTGCTGAGCTGATCTCTAGAGAAAGCACATTTTAGCAGCAGAGACAGCAGTTGAAAAATTGAACAAATTAGGAAACAGGGTAAACTGAACGCTATATAATTCAGTCCAACATTTTTCAGATCAGACAGTTGGTACTTGTCGCACATGAAGGACCAGAAGATCAGGGCGTACCACGGTGTGGTCGTGTTGGACAAACTGATCTACATCATCGGGGGGTTCAACGGTTCCGAGTACTTCAGCACGATGCACTGCTACGACCCGGTCACATACAAGTGGACTGAGAAGGCATGCATGCACGATGTACGCTGTTACATAAGCGTGGCTACTCTTGGTAAGCTGTGGAATAGTTAAGTTATAAATTTATAATGTGTTTTATATATATATATTATATATATATTAGACAAATTAGGATGGGAACACAACTGGGTGTATTTGAACACAAATATAAGCGACGGTTTGAGCTAGCATCCCTAAGACACGTTTTGTAACCTTGAAACTGACAAATGACAGCTGTTTTTGCCATGATCAGCTATTGCCCAATGATCAAGGACAGGGTGTAGTTCATATACCCAGACTAATATGTGTTGGTAACAGGCAAAAGCCGTAGGTAAATATGAGTAGTATTGTGTGTAGTTTAAAAATAAATTGTTAATATCTCATATTTTTTCTGCACAAATAAATATTTGGTTTTAAGTAACTTGGGCATTCCTTTTAAACAAAAAAAGTAGTTGTGGTGAAAGATTAATCTAATCTTTTTTACCAAGTGCTATAAAAAAAGTTATACAATGCTACGACTTTCATCACTTTATGTTAATCTCATTATAGAAATTCAATTGATTTTGGGTTACAATTATAAAAAAAACAGTGTAGATATTTTTGTCCTGGGCTTACCATAGTCGCATGTACAGGTGGTGAGATCTACGCAATTGGAGGGTACAACGGCCGCACTAGGCTAAATACTGCGGAGAAATACAACCCTCTGATTAATCAGTGGACCATGATAGCACCCCTGAACAAGATCAGATCCGATGCCAGCGCCGCTTCTCTGTTCGGGAAGGTGAGGAGCATTCCTTCTGGTGACTTTTTGTCTACCAGGATTCAACATCACTTATGTTGTTTATGAATTAATTGAGTGTTGTCGATAACAAAGACGCAATCGTCATTTGACTCTGTTTATTGCATTTGTATTTCTAACTCCAGTGGCATAATTTGAAACTTTAAGTCAATCCTGTCAGTACCTGGCAAATTGGTGTCAAGACACTTTACATCACTGTATTAGCTATTCACAATGAGAAGGCATCTAAGAATATTTTAACCCGAATGTAAATGAAGGTGTTTGAAATCGGTAAGATGCATTGATAAACTTTATTACTGACTAAAACTGGGTTCTTTAGTCTGGACCACTTTCTTTTTTCATCAAGGACAGCTGATTTCAAACTCACGCCATTTTAAAATCCATTGTCTATTCTCGGGGATCGAACCAGCTAACCTTCTGATTACTACTCAGCTATATTCACATCCAGCTCCATAATACTCATGCAATCATAAAGTTAAACTTATAGCCTCTGAAACAAGTCACAGCTTGTTTATATTTTCTGTTTGATACGTATAGATAATATTGCTATTACTATACCACTTCAGTTTTCTAGTTTTACAAATCAACCGAGTTATTTTGAAAAGTGTTCTTTCTTTTTTTACTAACTTCTGATGGCTTTGACTTTCTCCGATCCATCAAAACCTCCATCTTGAAGTGTCCAAAATGAAGGAAGTATATTGTACTGTAAAGATTAAATCTCAAACGTAATGCAATTTCAAAATTTCAAATCTATCTTCTTAAACACATTTAAAGTTCTATATTGAATAAAGTAACTATGTTGCCAAGATTGCCTACTTTAGTTTCCTTGGTCCCAGATTTACGTGGCTGGAGGGTTTGACGGAGGCGAGGTGATGCGCTCAGCGGAAGTCTACACTCCGGAAAGCGACAGCTGGCTCTTCGTAGACTACATGACAGTGCCTCGGTCAGGTGTTAACCTCATCTCTCACGGAAGCTATATCTACGCTCTCGGGGGATACGATGGAGTTAACAGACTCTACTCATGTGTGTTCAGATACCATATCTAATCATTGTATCATTGATTTAAGTTTTATCTTTATTTTTATAATATTTTCCATTAGCAAAACCTTTGACTATTAATGGAAGTTTACATCGGACACCCCATTTCTTTAAAAAAAGTTTAAAGATTTTGCAGGCTACAGAATAAAGATAAACGTATCGTAATATATATTGAGCAGATGTAATTCTTCTGAACTCAATTCCCTCAAAAATGTTAATAATTGTTTTTCAATGATTAAAAAAAGGAATATATCAACTGCAGGTCTTCCTGTAAAACAATAAACTGAAGACATTGATTTTTTAGAGATACTGTATTATACTACTAAATGTAGGAACAATTTAGCATGTCCGTTAAATTAAATAAAAACAATTTTATTTGGTTTAACTGATAAAAAAACAAAACTAGTTATAAATACTGATCTAAAACGGTCTCCACTTTCCAAAAACGCCTTGAGGTAAGTGTTCATGAATCTCAATAATATTGACAATTATAATGAAGGTATAGATAAATTCTCAAGGTATAAGATAAAGTACATTTAAAAGCTTACGATTAAATAAAAATCAATAAATTTAATTTTACTGGACCTGACAGGTGAACGTTACAATCCGGTCTACAACAGATGGGACCAGATAGCAGACATGCAGAATCCGAGAAGTAACCTGTCCAGTGTCATAGTGGACAATTCAATTCTTGTCATCGGTGGCTTTGATGGTAATTATAATTAGAATTTTAAAATATACTTATGATTTTTGTTGATTTGATGGGAATTGTTTACACGAATAGTTTTAAAAGTGATTATTTTTTTTAGATGAGTTTCTAAAGCGCTGTAATTGTTCTAATTGGTTTGAAATTTGCTTACAAAAATTTTGTTATTTGGTCAATCGCCCTAAATATCCTTTAAAATTCTGAAAGGCAGTTTATGCACTGATAACTGTGAACACCCAAAACACCCTAAGCCAAAAAGGACGATGAGATGGTTGAGGATGGCGGCATTATAAGTACAAATAGATGAGATGGGGAAGAGCAGAAATCTTGGGGCAGAATCTCATTTCAGTTGAGCTATTCATCTATATCTATAAAAGAGGAACTATGTATGTATATATATATACATATATGTATATATATATATATGCATATATATATATATATGTGTGTGTGTGTGTATATACGTTATGGACTCCGAAACCTCGACAGATTGTAATGAAACTTTCAGGCATTATTAAGCATTTTTCAAGGATGGTTCGAGTGAAGTTTGGTGCAGATCCGTCAAAAGGGCTCTGCCCCAGAGGGTTTTAAGTGGGCCAATGTCAGAATTTTTGATCTACAATGTTTACAAATAAATATAATTTAAAAGCGAACGATTTCCAACCTGAAGGTGAGTGAGCGTAGCGAATGAACTTCAACCAGGACGTGATTGAGCCATGCGAATACTTATGAAGTTAAGCGGGGCAAAGCCCGCGGGTACAGCTAGTAGTTTATGGATGGTGATTGTCTTTTCCTAAAATGTAGACTGGAATCTTGAGAACAACACTTCACAAATACCAATGATATGAAAGAAATTAATTTTGTGAAAATTTTTTATAGGAAGGAAAATCCAACTGGGTGGGAAAGGTAATTAAGACATATAATGAGCAAGAATCTACTTAACAGAGATACATTGCCTCATATTCAGGAGTAGAGGTAAAAATGCCAACTATCTAAAGCAACAGCACTCCTGGATACAAGCAAACTATCGACCATAGTACCATAGTTGTTGTTGTTGGTAATGTTGTTGTGGCAATCAAAAATTGTACGTTTTACTCTCAATGTCTTTGCATGGATTTTTGTTGGGTTCTTCAAAATTAACTAACATATTAGGAGCAGAAATCTTGCAATTACCAAACAACAAATGAGACTCGTGACAAAAATGCTCATACCCAAATAATTCTAAAATAAAAAGGGTTAATAAATCGTTAGGCCAGGCGCAAACAGGCGATTTTGAGTCACGCAACAGTTGCCCGACTAAAATGTTCAACATTGTTTTAAATTGGAGTGCGCACACGAAGAAAACAGTCTGGTGACAGTCGCGCAACTGTTGCAACCGATGTTCCCGGACCCAATTTGCCAGCGACTGCTCTGCGACTGAATTGTTGCGGGACTATCGCTCCAGGTTTGGTATCCATTGAAACGAGTGTAGTTGCGCACACATGCAACTAAATAGTCGCTGTGTCGCTCAGTCTCACCCCAGTAGTTCAACTACTCGTGGCCAGAACTGTCACTAGTGTTTGCTCACTTGTTGTGTGTGTGAAGTTTTTAGAAAATTACAAGTATGAGTTTGCGTGATGAGGATGTCGATCAATTAATTGATGAAGTTGAGAAGAGGTTGATACGAAGTGTCTCACAAGTCTTCTTGAATATTTGAAAAACTTCTCTGGGTGTTCTCTTAAGTCATTGTACAAAATGGAACTGTCCTTTCACAAGTCGCTCACTATATATGGGATGAACCCAGTATCTTCTCTTTTTCTTTCGCGCGCGAAACTTCAGCAACAAAGCACATACTATGGCTGTATCATTGAAATCCATTCGGAACGCTGTAACGAATGTGTTTCCAACACGTCTCAAGACTAGATTCACGACTAAAAAGTTGCCTGTGTGCGCACTCCAGCTCAACTGTCGCTAGACTTCAGAGTCTCCGAGTGAGTCGCGCAACAGTCCCCCGATTAGTCGGGCAACTGTTGCGCGACTCAAAATCGCCTGTGTGCGCCTGGCCTTAATAAGCAAAACTTGTCCCAGCTCGTACCAAATAAGTTCTGTTCTAGGTACCTCCACAGTGGCTTGTACGGAGTTTTACAACCAGGAGGAAGACAAGTGGTTTGAAAGCGCGTCTATGAACATCAACAAATCGGCGCTAGCAGCGTGCGTGGTCCGAGGTCTGCCCAACGCAAAGAGCTACACATTCCTGGGTATCGGAGTCGACCCTGCAGTGGAGTCAGCCGGTGGTGAGTGGATTGTGTAAGCACCCACCATTGTTTCTGTTATATTTTCACATTCTAGTTAGAATTATAAGGAAGAAATACAAACGTATACAAAATTGGTTGCGTTTTAGCACAGATTCCAAATGAAGGATGTAGTTAAGTCCTGCAAACTTGCACCCAATGATACAACCTGGTTTTCTTTGCGAATCGGAAAAAGATTTGATTAAGATTATGTTAGATTACCTTAGACTAATCTTTGACACACCAGGTGTGTATTTTGAGACGAAGATGAGTGTTTGAATGATTTGATAGCTTTGTTACCAAGATCAGCTGTTTATTCAGCCAGGAGTCCAATGGCCACTTTGGTCGGTTTCGCAGAAGCCTACACTGGTGTTAATTAAGACTTTAATCTGATAACAAACTCGACCTAAGCTGCTGTATAAGAATTTTGTCTGACTCCTAGTGGGCACATCCCTTCAGAGGTAAAATAGTATATTTCGTACCTAGGGCCCAAAATGAGGTTTTGCCGGCTAGATTAGTTTTTAAGTTCGAGACAAAGTCGAGAACTTAAAACGATCGAGAGCTGCAAAACCATTTCCGTCCGTGGTACGAATGCTATTTTTCACCACACTATACCCTATTACCACTATTCACCACAATAATAATGCACACTGATAGCATTGACTTTATATCTCTACACTCTACACATTGACTTTATATCTGTGTAGAGATATAAAGTCAATGCTGATAGTCAACACAACCTTAACTTTAAGGTTATGTGAAGAAATAATTTGAGGAATCAGCAAAAAAAATTATAAATAGTTGCTAGGCAGCGGTGACAATAAAACAAACGTATTGCAAAGCTATGGATACTGATTATGTATTTAATATGCAATCATGTTTTAAGAAAGTAAGCGGGCAGCTGATTTTGCGCCCTAGGGATGTAAAAACCTGCTCGGTCTCCAAATAACGATGACAGCTGGCATGGCCAGCAAAACGTAACTTTCAGCCACCAATTAATGTATATAAACCGCTAAAAACATCATAGTGTGGTGAAAAAACATATATGGTATTACACCGTTCGGGGTTTTTCCAATCACACTGTATATATCCAAAAAGGTATACATTCATGAAATTGTAGGTACTTGTAGTATTCGTAAATTTATTTTGTTCTCTTCTTTAATAAACTTAATTTATACCTAACTCATTTATAAAAAATTATAAATGCACTAATCTCTAATTTTACCTCCAACATTTAACAGACAATGAATTGTAATAATCTGTGTTTTATTTGTTCCAGGATCAAAATGTGACTAAGGAGCTGCTTTTCCCAAAAAAAGACTAAAAATTCCTCCCAATATACATCATTGTTTGTGATATATTTAATTTAAATTCCATAGCAAATAAGTACTTCTGTAAGTGCTGTAGACAAAAACATCATTTTCCCCAAATGTTATAGTAGTTCAAAATTATTCTTATTAGTAGACATCAGTAGAAATTATGTATACTGTTAATATAATTAATATAAGAAATTTAAAATCTGTAAAAAATAGAATTTCTACACTTGTATACTAGTAATATTTTAATGAAATATATGGCAATTGTTTACCATTTTTGTTTTCCTTTTAACTAGATTTTCGTTTGAAATACAGTTGGAGTTATGTAGCCTACAAAAAATGTGAAATGTGTTGGGTTCAAAACATGATATTGATGGTTTTGTGTATGTTTATAATTTTTTTCAAGCAGAAAAGAACAGCTCATACAAATGTTTGACTAACCAAAGCCAAGCACAGCATTAACTCTCTATGATTTTGCAACTTTGAATCTTCATTATTCTGAAATTCAATATACTAACTGGGACACCTAGCGGTTTTCGTAATATCTACTAAAAGATCTTCAATTTGGTCCACAAATAGTAAATAAAATGAAAAGAGGATTAAATCTTTACCCTATCCCATTAATATAATTTTTATTGGAAATACAGGCGACTTTGAGAATGTAAAATGCATAACAGAATTATAAAAATTGTTTTTATTGTCTGTTATAAAAAATCTATATACAGCATATAAAACATTTTGTAGCTTACACAAATATTAATAACACTAAAAATAAACTATCTTAGTGATTTTCAACAATAAATAATAGACGTTTTCAACCTAACAGCAAACAAAAAAAGAGAAAAAGTACTCTTGCAAACCTAATTCATGCAAATATACAAAAAATCTGCGAGAAGCACTCACAGTGTGAAACTATTTACTGGAACTTGAAATAAATTGCAATACTAAAAAAAAATAGGTTTACAATATTCTCAAAGATAATCTTTAAAGGCAAGTTGTATCTACACTGTTGCGTTGTTAGTTAATTTATTGACCAACGCACTTCTACAATTTATCCACGCAGTCTCTATCACATCAATATTAATAATATACACAAGTAACATCGTTTATGATATCACATTTAATAACAATTTTATTTTTAAGATAAATCTTAAATGTTAGGCAAAACGTATTATTTTAAGAAATATTAAGGCCTCTATATTAAAGCTATTTCGATGGCTCTTATTGTTACCATAACAAATTAAAAAATATATCTAAACAAGGTTCCACAACTAGTTATAAACGTCCTTGAATCGGACAGCACCAACTAGTTTATAAAAACATTTATACAAAATTTAAAACTCTTATATAAAACCATTATTATAAATAAACATAAACAAGAGAATAAAATTATAGTGTTGAGCCTTATACTATGGACGGACTATTAACAGGTACCTGGTACATATACTAAATGCAAAATATTTCCTTTAATGAAAAATTATTACGGTTCTTTGGAAAAGAGTAAAAGAAGGATGGTGTTGACATCAACAGTTTTTGCGATGTAAATAAAGATAATTTGAATTTGAATATCCATCCTTACTGCGATAATAGCTGATTTTACATTCTCAATTTAATAATTTGTGTTGTACATAATTATGCCAAAAGGTTGAGAGCACATACATAAGCCTTAATTTTTATTATTTCTATGCAGCTGCTACTTTCTAACTTTTTTTCAGAGTCGGATGGCCTTGATACTATTTAACGATTACTACTATTGACTTCAATGGTCTAGTAGTAAAGCACGGGCTTCAGTCCACGAGGTCCTAGGTTCAAATCCTGCCAATCACCAATGGATTTTATCAATGTGATAATGCCGCAACCCCAAGGTATACCCTGAAGTAATGTGTAAAACAGTTCTGAGCTAGAACTATCGTCCTAGAATGTGAAGGTGGGACATCAAAAAAATGTAAAAAGTACAATTTATCGTTGACGTTTAGTTAGATATTAGATAGCATCATTTATTGATTGTCCAATGAGAAATTACATCTGGGTCCAAAATAAAATTTGCTCGGGATTGAACCTACAACCTTTAGATTTGAGGGCAAGCACTATTACCACTCAGCTTCGTTGACAAGTTGAGAGGACGTCATTTACACATTCGGTGATGGGTTTTAATATCCATCTGGCTTATTAGTCAGCTCGAAACCTTGGGTTGAGCTAGCTTAGTTAAAGTGGTTGATTATTCTTTACAACTTGGGTATTCTCAACCAGAAGCACTCAAAGCTAGTCTGCAGGCGATTTCTACCATATTCTGAGGCGAGGAGTCTTGGAAACAGATGTAAACTTCTCGGGGCTGAGGCATGAAAAACAACCGCCTGAAAACCAATCACCAAATTAGATACGGTAGAATAGGTTTTTGCCCTCATTAGAACACAAAAGACTTAAGTAAAAATGTTGTGCTTAGAGTTGGTTAGATAGTAAAGACATTATTTATTGTTTTGTAAGCCAAACCCGTGGTTGACAGAGGAGGGGAGTTGAAATCAATCAGCTGTTGAGAGATATAAAAATAAATAACTTTATCAATCCTAGTTGTTCTGCCCGTGCCTCGCCACGGGGAGAGAACGCAGACAAGATATGGCGGTTCTTCACTACCTTGTCCAATGCAAACTGCTGGATTATCAGGCGTGAATAAGACAAAAACCATTCAAAGTGTTTATGAAACGAATTTCCATAGTCACATGATAATCAGATGGGAAGTTAGTTGTACATAAGGACTTTTAGGAGACAGACAAACATTACATATTAAATATTACAAACGACAAAATTACAGCGATGTTGAAAAATTATGCTTACCCTACAATCCAATAAGTGAGTGGTTTTGACTTCTTCCCAGAGTCAGTTTTGGCGGGAGGACACTCAAACAGCATTGCATGTTCTTTGTTAGCAATCAATGTTTTATTGATCAAGCACTCTGATACTTCTTGAACTTTCAGCTTCTGTAAAAAAAAAGGATTTTGTTGATGAACCAATAATCATTCTATAAATCAACAAAACTTGAAAGGAGGTTCTGAGTTACATTAAAATAATATAAGTCATTGAGGTTTAGAGGGAAATGTGTTATTAGGTTGGTTTGATGGAAATATTTTGTTATAGAGGTTAATTTAACATTTGTTTTGTCGTTTTCAAGGGGTTTAAAAAATGTACTTATGAAAGCTGGGCCGTGTAAACAAGGTTCTACTGTAGTAAATATATTGATATTTTATACTGTAGTTCATCAACCTCTTCAAATTTAAGATGACTAACCAGAAATTTCATTCATGAAACTAATTGATTAAACCAAATGAGATTCACTAGCGATTTTTCGGCAAAGCAATAAACTAACCCCAATTGTTAATTTTCCAAAAAGTTACGATATTCACCTTAAACCGCACAGTATTCTGTAGCAGCTCGTGTATAAGGGGAGCCAGGGTGCGGAAGTTGTGAAGAATGTGCCTCAGTTGTCCCGACGCTGTGAGCGTAGGGTTGCTGAGAATCACCCCCTCAGCGCAGTCCAGGTGTACGTAGCAGAACAATGGGTTCTGATCTCCAGCGGTCAATCTGTACAGCACAGAAAGGGAGAATTATAATGAAAGCAGTGGTAACAAAAACTGAGTTTGAACCATTACTTTAAAAAATGTTAATTGAGTCTAGACTCGCACAAAAATAAAGTACGGTAAACCCTCGCTAATCCGGCATGTTCAACACACAATTTAACAATCATTTAAGCCTCTGGATTGCTTATATATTAATTGATATTATAAGGCCTTACCTTAGCAATCCTGTTTTTTAAACCTCAATATAATTAAACAAATAGCATCTAACAACGGCTATAACCCCAACATCATAAGCAAACTCATATGGCGGCATAAGAATAAACATAACAAAAAAGACCTCCCCAACCCTCAAAACCAATTTGTTCTGATGACATATCATGGCCGAGTCAACAATTCAATCCATAATATTTTAAGGAACAAAGGGTATCGAATTGCTTACAAATCGAAGAATACCCTAGCCCAAATCCTCAACAAACCAAAACATAGAAATAAAACAAATCATGACGCATCAGGGGTATATAAACTCAAATGTGCCACATGCCCAAAATACTACATTGGTCAAACGGGCCGAAGTTTCAATGTCCGTTATAAGGAACACCTTCCCAAAAACTCCCACAAAAACCAATCTACATATGCCGAACATCTTATAGACAATAACCATTCATATTCTACAATAGACCAAGACCTCAAAATTTTACATAAAGGATCAAAAAGTAATATGTTGGATATAATTGAACAATTTCACATGTACAGCAACACCAAGTCCAACCCATCTGAAATCCTCAATGACCAACGCAATTTTTCAGCAAACATAATTTTTGACACATTGCTGAAAATAAATAATCAATCATACACCTGTCCACTTCGATCCAATTAAGACCAGAATCTTTTCAATCCGTAGTCAACATAACCTACAACAAGTACAATCCTGTTGATTTTGACAGTTGCCAGCAACAGGTTCTCTAACCAAAGTGAGGTTATCTGACATTATAAAAACCATGGTTTTTAACCCTAATTGTTTTACTCTTTTCGCATTGACTATGACTTGTATTGTCTTAAATGTTGTGAAACTTTCTACGAAACCCAACGGGTGGATTCTATTTTAGAAAATTTGGTCTACTAGATCCCGACTGATGATGGACCTTAATTAATTTCGGATCAAAAAACAGGATTGCTAAGGTAAGGCCTTATAATATCACACAATTTAAATTGAAAATAATTATGCATGTTGAATGAATGGAGATGACAGATTTGTTTCTGTCTAAACAAATTGCTGGTTCTTTGGACAGGGCCATTTATTCAAAGCCCAATAAAATCAAGGACACCTGGGTCCATTTTCAAACAATCAAAGGCTTTTTCCACAGGATTTAACCTTAAACCTTCTGTTTTCTAGGAGAGAACAGGTAGCACCATTCAACTACCTATACTCCCCTCCCCTTTAAACTCTATGTGGACATTGTCATTTGCCAAACGCACCCCAAAGACTTATTCAGTGCTAAAAAACACCCTTCGAGCAATGCTAGATTAATGAATATGCCAGATATTAAGAAAACACAGTTTCTATAGCCTACTGTCTTCAAAATTCACATGCAAATTGGAGGTGTTTAACTAAACAGAGGAGAAAATCAGCTAATAAGGTATTTCAAAAACTGTACGAATTCCTCTAATATAAATTTAAGAGAGTTGAAAGCTTAAGAACAGTTTTGGATTAAAGTTTTGATATAAGAACATGAAAAGTAATTACTACCCTCACAAAATCAGTAGTAGTTTGATGAGGGAAGGACAAACATGATAACATTTGGAAGTCCATCCCTCGGTTTTTTTTTTTTTTATTCTTGAAAACAATCTTGCATGATGGTTTTCCAAACTATACCTCACTTTTCTAATCCAAATAGTATCAAGGATAATATTGATTTACCTCATGGGTAAGGAATATTCAACATCAGACAGTAGATTCCTTCCAATTTCCGAGAGATCGAATAATCTACTCCCAGCTCCACTCTGGAAAAAATTGTTCAGTCAAAAGAATTACGAGATGTTAATTAAGAAAATAATGATTGATAGAGCAACATGCCCTTGTTTATATACTTATAGCGATCCCCAAAATATCGACAAAATTATCTATAAACTTATAAAAGTACAAAAACACATTTAAAATAAAATAGTGATTGAACGTATTTTAAGAAGATCTATTTTGGAATTTGTTTCGCATAGCAGTTATTTGAAGGTTTAAATTCAAGCGATTTTTTTTACTAGGAATTGTTTTTTACATTACTTTGGCTAGTCAGGCTATTATAACTTTATAAAATCCATTGGTGATTGGCGAGGTTTGAACCCGGGACATCAAGGAACAAAGTACCGTCTAACACTAGACCAGCTCGCTCTCATTGAAGTCAATATTAGTAAACACTCAGCTTTATAATGAGTGTGGACTCTAGAGGAATGGTCTTAAAACTTTTTCAAAATAATTTCTAGGCAAACTTCATAAAAATACACTTAATTTCAATCAACAAGTACAAACAAACTCGTAAGTGTTTACGTTTAGTGACGTCCATTCATCAAGGTCGTCGGAGAAATCTGAGTCGGAGAGGATGGAATCGGTGGCTCGTTCTCTCTCGGCCCTTCGTCCAAGTATTGGAGCAGCTTCGTCACTTACGACACTTGACGCGGCCTGACTTGTCGAGTCTTCTGATGTCTCGTACATGTCACGACCTACGCAATATGGATGAATTCGTAACAAAGAAGAAAAAAAAATAAGAAAAGCCTGCATATTGCTTTGGATCAAACAAGCAAACTAAGCAATCTTTAAAATGTTATAAATCATGAATAAAGTATTTCCAATTCTGAACCTTCATATTTGAAGGCGAGCTCTATATCCACTCATCCACTCCTAGAAGACAATGATCACTGAATTAAATCATAGATCACTGGATCAACTGAATAAAGCCTTTTTTTTTTGTAAAAATTGCTTTAGGCCCTGGTTTTAAAGGATTTTGTGGTGGATCAGTTTTAACAGAAGGCTGAAGAAAGTATGCAGAAGGCAGGAATGTTTTACCTTACTGAAGAAAGTAGATGAAAATTTGCAAATAAACACATAGAATTTTCACCTACTTTCGTCAGTAAGTAATCCTTAAAAATCATCTAAATTTAGTTTTGCTAGATACTCAATTTGCATCAACAACAAAAATACACAATGAAAATGTTGGGCTTTAAGTACAACTAGTGTCCCTGTTGCAATTGCTAAGTATTACAGGCGTTATTTTAAAACGAATAACAGTCATAATTTCTGATGACTTTAAATGATTTGACTCAAAGATTATGGAAATACTCAAGATGTACATAACAGATCGATATAATCAACATTTCTTGTAAATATCTTATCATTTTTCAAAAGCTGATATTTTTTTAGGGTTTTCTACAAAAAGCCTTACTCATAGCTGCATTAAATTGTCCATAATACTTACTTACTTACTCTTACTCTCATGGCCATGCATATCTAAGAAGATATTTGGCCACACCAAAAAAGCCTCTCCATCTTGCTCTATCCTCTGCATCCTCCTCAGTTGCTCCTAGTTGCTCTATGTCTTTCTTTACTTGGCTCCACCATTTTTGTTTTGGCCTTCCTCTCGGTCGTCTTCCAAAACTAATTCAAACTTATTTTGCTCCTCTCTTCGTAAAACATGTCCAGCCCATCTAACTCTTCTACACTTAAATTCACACACCACATCTGGATCTCTGTAGAGTTCTCTCATGTCTCTTCCTCCATTCACCACCTTCATAAATTGGTCCATAGATTTTTCTTAAAATCTTATTTTCGAATGTGATTAACTTCTTTTCTTCTTTTTTATTTGGTTTCCATGTTTCAGCTCCGTATAATAATACTGGGCTTATTATTGTCTTATAAATTCTAACTTTGGTGTTTTTTGACAGTAACTTGGAGGACATCAGTCTGTTGCAAGTGTAGAAACATCTGTTTGCCAGATTTAGTCTATTTTGAATTTCTATTAAATTGTCCATAATAACGATTATAAATTAAAAAAAAAACATTATTTCTATTTATTCTCCTTGGTGGTGTTCTATGCCTTTCCAGTGTTTCCATAGTTTGCAAATCGGCTCTTTCAATGATTACTAAGAAATGCAGCACAGTGTTAATCCAGTTTTCTTTTTAGTATATCAATTTATCCAGGCTCTCTCGCTTTTTTCCAATAATATTTACGCCAACACAAATTCAAATAGTAAAAATTTCATTTCAACCAAGTCAGTATATGTTTGTAGCCAACTGTTAAGGCCCGGTTTCCCCAACTCATTTAAACTTAGTTTTAAGTTAAACGGCGATTTAAACTTAGTTTAACTTTGATTTGTGTTTCCCCAAATTTAAACTAGGTATTAATCTAAGTTCAAACTAAACCACCTCTCGACTCGGTTTAACTACTGGGGATAAAATAAACTGAGTTCAAATTAGTAAATTACAACAGTAAAATAACCTCAAATCAAAACAAAAAGTAGGTGGTAAAACAATAATAATTGAAGCAACTACAAATTAATTTGGACGAAAATAGGCTTGGCTTAGGGATAGCTTTAAGTTAAGTTTTATTTGTATTTTAATTTATTGTTTTTATTAAGCTCTTTTTTTAGTATATTTGATTTTATTTCAAGTAAGGCTACTATTAATTAATTGCAGTAACTTATTTACCCCCTCAAACGGAAGAGTTAATAGACATTTCCGAAGAAGTAGAAGATGAAGATTATGATACTTTAGTACCTAGAACAAGAGGGCCTACTAAAATAAGGGACAGAATTGACCATTTCAATAAATGGAATGAATCTGAATTTGACAACAACTTATATAATAAAATGATAACATAACCTTAAAAACAGTGATATGTTATTCTATAGCTGCATTCACACTTTGCTCGTCTGCTCTACCGAGTTGTAGCGTAGCGTAGCGAGCGTTGTAAGAAACACTAGCCCAAAGCCCACCGAAGATTCTTTACAAATACACATTCAGGATTGCCAACCGCTCGAATTGCCGTTTATCTTAAACGAAGCCAGTAAAATGTCGGAGAAACCGAACACACATTTTAAACGGAGTTTAAAAATAAACTAGTTTATTATAAACGTAGTTTACACCATTTTGGGGAAACCGGGCCTAAATTAGCAAACTTATTGACTGTTTACAATGAACATATGTTCTTCTTCTCACTTTTAATTTCTGACAACAGCTGGAGTTTCATAACAATGTTTGTTTCCCATGTTAATCTTATGGAGAAATACGAAACTTTAAAGGGCCTCACTCTCTAATTATTTCCCTAAAAAAAAAGTTTCCTGCACAACTTCACGTTAGGCTCTTTCCAATGACACCAAAAACATGTCAATCGGTTCAGTAGTTTCGGAGGAGTAATTGTCACAAAAAATCTGCTTGCGTATTAAGTAAGATTTTGTCATCCTGTTGCTAATATTTTGAAGATCTCATTTGCGCATGGAAGAAAATAGTTTGTTGTCCCTGAATGAATGAATAGTTTAGATTAGATAAAGTGTTATTTTTATGACTTCTTACCTGTACTAAGGCTATCATCTGGACTAATTCTGTGCTTCAGGATGGAAGTCACTTCTTGTGGTTTTTTAGAGGTGCTTGGACCTTAAACATAAAACCTCTAGATAACACAGTTATTGTATAAAACATGTACATTAGAAATTAAGATATTATTGCCAAATAAATGGTAATTTAATAAAATAGGTAATATTGTTTAAGTTTAAAGTTTGCAGTGTTACTCGGAACAGTAATACAGAAATCTGATATACTGTGAAAAATTTTTTTTTAAATACAGTAGAATGGTAACACAACCGATTGTCAAATCTAGGTCTTCGGGTGATGATTGCATTGTTGAAAGAGTGAAACTAGAGGCCAACGTTTTGGATAGAAGATGTATAGCTGCTATGCATATCGAACGTCGGCCTCTAGTCTCTCTTTCAACGACACGGTCATCACCCGAATACCTAAATTTGACAATCTGCCATAACCGTTGTAGCGTATCATCTAGAATAACACAACCGGTTTAAGCTTACTTGGTGTAGATTTTGGTGAGAACTCTGCAGTAGTATTTGTTGAATTTTCACCAGAAGTGTTGAGTGAGGGTTTGGTTTGTGAATCCGGACACATGGTTGGAAGCCGGCAGTGATTTTGGATCCTAAACCAGAATAAAATATTAACAAGACAAATAAAAACAGGAAATGTGCTCCAGAAGACTGAAATTAGTCAGTAAAAAGCAATCAAAACACAAATCATGTTTTTAAAACACTGTCATCCTTCAAATTAACTGTAAATGGCATGACATTTTGTGAGCGTTGTAGTAAATTAATTAACTTTGTATCTAACCAACAAATGGTTTAAGCGCAAGGCTGAGAGTAATACTAAAAAAAAACTTTTCAGCAAAAAAAATTACGTTTGCTCTCCAACGGGTTTTTTTAGAAAACTTAAAGAACTTCCTCTGAGCAATCCACTGCTTGGAAAAAAATTTAGCTCAAACATCAATGACAAATGGGTAAAGTTTTAAACGTCAAACAATTTCAACTTGAGTCAAGATGAACCAGCAAAAGTCTTTCCACAGAAGGATTATGGATTCTAACTCACAATAAGATTAATTGTAGACGAACAATTTTATTTATTAACATACCATTTGTCAGCCAGGGATAAAACTTGGATCTCTCGAACATGATGTAAAGTTGCCTGAGCCTGTTTAACATATACCGGCTCTGGCCCGGGATTTCCTTCAATCCTGAAAGATAAGAGCAGAAAATATATTTACTATTCTTGATGAAAAATGTATATAAACTAAAATAACATTAATTAGCATTTTGCCTCGAATCTTAAATGTAGGGAAGAAATAATCTGGACTGAAAAACAGCAATTAAAGAAGAAACTGTATCGGAAGTGATGGATAATTTTGGGAAAAAATTTCTGGAGTGCATCTTTAAGGAGGTACATCTTCTAAAATAGTTTTTCGTGTTTTATTGTTTATTTTTTGAAATGAGATACTTAGAAGCATGCAGTATCATAAGGTAATAAAAGTAATTTTAAAAATTATTGGCGTTAATTTATTTTCAAACTTTTGTGACATCTAGTACTTACTTTACCGTGCAGCCTCCAGATTCCAACAGTAAGGCCAACAGACAGTCTTCCTACAAACCAAAAAATATTTATAATTTTTAAAACTCTTTTTTCTTGTAAAATCTTAACTTTAACCATTCCAGTTCCAGATACAGTGATATCAGTCATCAAATTAACTTCTATAGAATTGGTGTAGTAAATACTTGCATTTATGGGATGAAATGTGTTGCTAAATTACAACCGGTTTCAACTCAAATAGGAGTCATCGTCCGGCTAGTACAAATGTCTTCTTGCTTCATTCGAAGGTCGTCAATTCATAATAAATAAATACATACAACACGCACACGTACACAAAATTGAACATTTAGGGTTAAAAACGAAGGGTAATACTTATAGAAGAGTTATAGACATATCTCCCACCCGATCACTTTGTGTTCCGTGCCATTGCAGTATTACCCCTTGTTTTTAACCCAAAATTTCGAATGAAGCGAGAACACATCTGTACAGGCCCAGTGATGACTCCTATGTGTGTCGGAACCGGTTGCAATTTAGCAACACATTTGATCTCATAAATGAAGATATTTACACCAATTCTTTAGTATTTAAATGCAATCAGAAGGCTAAAATTCAATATAATCAAATTACCACACTATTTCATACAGCTTTATCCATGGGAGTATACCTTAACATAAAAAGCCACAGCCAAAGTATCTGGCGTGTGCTGCAACCTGTAATCAAGTTTATAACTACAACACTTGGGCTTTGGGCTATATTTTTAATTTGGTATATTGTTTTGCCTGATTTTAAAAATCAGTAGAAATCGGTGGAAACAGGATGGGTAGATTATATGTGAACTGCACCTTGGAATCAAAAAAATTACTACTTATACTCAACCTAATTATGTGCGAGTTCACAAAAATCCTGTTTTAAAGAATTCAAACTTAAGTGTTCAAAAGTTCAAATAATGAATGATTATTACAAGAATGGGCATGGTGAAATCAATAATTAATCCATTAGGTGCAAATGAATGAATTCTTGTCTATCTAATTTTCTTTTTGTTTGAGACAAGATAACAATCATTCTCTCTACATACCTGACCAACCACCAGCAGGAACCAGCGACCCTGTGGTAGGAAGTATGTGAGGGTGACAGCCGGCTGCCCTCTGTTACATGAAGCCGGGAAAACTTCTCTCCACATAACAAGGTTTCGAACACTTTCCGATCGCGAAAGTAACAAAAGTCCGTTGTGACGACACCAAGCATTCACATCCACTAGGTCTTCTCTGTTGAAATGAGAGGCTAGAAGATATCCCTGCAAATTCAAACTGTTTAGATAATATTAACGATTCACATTTTTTGTTTAGAGTAATCATATAAGTCGATGTAACTAACCTTATAAAACAGACAGGAGCCGATGATCGAGTATAGCCTCTGGCAGTCGTCTTCATCATTCTGGAAAAATAGAATCATTACATGTATACTACAAGAACAAACACATGTAGCAATGTATAGTTAAAAATCCATGTAGGCCTAGTGATGGACTGTTTCAATTCTTCAAAATCTATTAACAAAAAACTATTATCAGAAACATTTGTCCTACTGTTGCAAAATAAAATTTATCCAACCCAAAATTTACTTACCAATCTATTTATGGTCATACAGAAAACCTTCATGAATCCTCCTAACTAATTCAGGTTCCTAGTCATCAGCATTAATGAAATATGGAAGAAAATTAAAAATCTTAAATGATGAAGTGCTTTCTAGGATAGCTTGTACTTCATCATTACTAAGTGATGGGTGGAACTAGCTTAAATCTAACATGATTGCTTCAAATAGTCACCCACTAAGAATAATGTCTGTGAGCACATTTTTAACTTAGCTGAATTAAATTATTAAACACTGCTGTGAAATTGCTGTCAGGATTAGGGATAGCTGATTTTATTTGGTCTGAATTTATGATGGTTTAGTTCCCTACAGTAACTTATAAGTTATAACTATTTGTAATTTAACAGTTGTGTAATGCTAAGTTTTCCCATGGTTAAAATTAAAGGTATCACATCCCTTTTTCTTTCAAAACAATCATATTGATTTATTTTTTAAGTTCAAACCATACTTACATATCCTCCAAAATCATTGGACTCAAGTTCACTTAGGGCATCATCAATTTGAACCTGTGGACAAAATTAAACTTCAATTAATGTTACAAATAAAATGTTAATAGTACAAGTGAATAAGTATTTAATTGTCCCAAAAAAATTAGGGTACAACTTAAATCTATTGAATTTGTTGATTTTCAACATCAAAAATATCTGTTGATGCATAGCACTACAAGTAAGCAAATATGTTGTTTTATACTGAATTTTAAAGGCTATTATTTTAACCGAGTAATTAAATACTCAAACCAAATAAAAATGTTAAATACCACTGCACTCACCCATTTCTAAAAACAAAAACATTTGGATTAAGTTTTAGCTAATAATCCTCTATAGCTTTTCTCAACCCAAATACACAAGCAGCAAAAAATACATACCTGAGCGTCTCTTGGCAAGGCTATGAAATGAGCCGCTGGCAAGAAATCGAGAAACCTTTGAATATTTATCAAGGAAGAGCTGAGAAACTGGGCTTGCAACAGGGAGAAAACTCTGTCTAGGGCTGCATGGTGTTCTTTGAGAGAAAAACATCTGTAAACATAGAGCAAGAACAATCTATGTAAGTTAACATGTGTAAAGTTAAACATTAAGTTTAAATAATACAATACGACTCACATTCAATGTTTCACTGGCCAAATAGTTTTATGGACAGATTTTATTCTTCCGCCAGACTACTTGTCCCGTCATTCGAAGATGTACGAGTAACGCTTAAATTTTATCAACTGTTTTATCTCTTATATTTGATTTATGTTCTACATAATGTATGCTTTAGGCTGACAAAGTATCAAAGGCCATGTGTTTCACTTAGAGAGAGGTTCAATGCTCTCCTATGTTCCTATGTTTTAGATTTCCCACAACACAACTCCTAAAATTAAGTGAACTTATAAAACATTTAAATAAATCCATACATTAATGTAAATTTCCCAAGCAAGTAGGCATCATAAGTGACTTAGCATGTTTCACAAATTAAACGTACTTCAAAAGTAAACCTACCTCGATAAAGATTGATAGGTAAACTTTAAACATCGGACAATGTCGGTGTTCAGCAAAATAGCTTCCTTTAATGAGCACCTGTTGAGAACAAACATTCAATATAGCTTTTGATGACAGAATTTGCATCTTAAGCCAAATAACCTACAACTAAAGTATTTACAGAAATTCTAGAAACATTCACTGGTAAAGAAATATAAAATAGTGCTCTCTCCTAACTAAAAATTAAAAATGTTTTCCATTAGGACACAGCAGTAACAATATTTTGATTTATTTTACATTTTATCAAATATCAGTTTCAATTTACAACTGTAATCCATGGTACAAATTTTTAACTATAAAATAGGTTTATCAAAAAAGCATGGAAATTGTTACTTGTCACTATCCTTATTTTGATTTGTAATTATTTTTTTTTCCTGACAGTACTCTACATCAAGAATTTACAAAATACAGTAGACCCCCTCTTAACCGACCTCGTATTAACCGATAATCGGATCATCCGCCTTTGATCGTAAAATAATACAGTTTGTTTTAACCGACCTTGCTTTGAGAGTAGCTCGTTTTAACCGCCGCTTTCTAGGAATCTCTGCATTTCCGCTCCCACGCTGGGCGATGAGAACTGAACCATATGCTTATCTCCACAGGATATGACAAACAATAAGTTATTTTGTGATGATCACAAAAAATATAGCAAAGCCTATTGTCAGTTTGTCATCATCGTTCGTTCGTAGCTCGAGCACATCTGATCTGATTTGTTATCTGTGCTGCAAATTCATAACATCATAAAGTGCGTTACGATTTTGAGAACTGATTATCTTATCGCTTGAGTAAACAAACAACGCAACTTGTATGGAGGGCAGGGAAGGGGTGTTAACCGATCCAAGGTCAAGATAGTTTTTGTGCCTCGAGCCTCCAGTGAGAGGCTATAAATAAACGTCCTGTCTTAACAAAATGGTTGCTTGTATCTTTAATGATGACAATAGGTTCTTTACTGTATTACGATGTATTTGGAAAGCATTAATTAATACATTACAGTAGTAAAGTTATTAAAATAGGAATTTTATTGACTCTTGCCCAGTATTATAATATATTCCACTGAATGTAGGCCTATTCAGGTAAACTATGGGGTATCAAATTTGACTTAACCGTGTTTTGTGTTTATTTGTGACATTTCTATCAATACCGTATGAAAAAGGAGATAAGAGTAGTTTATTTTATAAATAATGCAAGTATGACTTCAAAATAATGATTATATAATTCCAGATGAATAGCACTTCATCATTATGTTATGATTTTAGGGATTGCCCGTTTTATCCGACCTTTTGAATCATCCGACCTAGGTCCGGTCCCATTAGGGTCGGTTAAGAGGGGGTCTACTGTAAGAAACAATCAATCTACAACTTTCACTACCGGTACCAATTGTCTAATAAAATAAATGAAGGTTGGAGACAGGCAATGTGTAACTAACGAGTAGTGATCTTTGAGTTTCAAGCAGATTGAATCTCAAAACTCGTCAATTGAACCTTAAACTGAAACCTTTTTGTTTTACAGATTTGGTTTTGACATATCACAAATAACCAGTGGTTTAATTTCCTTACTAATGGATTGATTTATTGATTGTTGATTTGAATAATAGTTTATAGATAAGATCGAGAAATGGAGATTATTATAAATAAAATGTAAGGATATGCGGATGGATTTGTACATGTGATCATTAAAATAACTAAAAATGTACTGATAGACAGGTTAATGGAAAGGAGTGCTGAAGAACTAATAGTTTTGTGGATTATTGATAAAAAAATTATTTCACCTTGAGTCTGGAATGGCTAGCAACAACAGCTCCTTATTCTCCGCAGTGTAAATGACATGAGCCAGCTGACCTTTGTGTACTATTGTGGTGCTGAAAAGTAAAAAAACAAAACAATAATTTATTTTCACATTACACAGAACTAGCAAAGCTGGAAACAGGTAAATTAGTCAAAAATTTAAAATATATAAGAACTCAAATAAACGCATGCTATGATAATAATATGTGAATACACAATTAACAAATTTATTAACTTTACATTTTATCAAAAATAAATTTTGTAACTTCTTGAATTAACCGTTCAAAAATGTCAACTGACTAGAGACAATCAGTTTATTATACATTTTCCCTAGATAGGCTAAGTGGAAGACTTTCAAGTTTGGAGAGCCTGTTATTGAAGTCTTCTGGAGTCGTAGCAAAATTCTGATCATCATCCCCTCAGTCACGTAGACATCATCAGTCGTTATCAGGCAGCCGATGCGGAAGGAGCTCGCTATCTGATCGTCCTTTGCCCGGTCCTGAGCGTCGCATACACCGTGACTACATGCTAGAATATCGTTACAATTGATATTCCGAGTTTTCTTATATACATTACTTAAAAATTATTGCTTAAACTATGGCCGAGAAGTGTGTGAAGTGCAATGTGGAGTGCAATGTGGACGGATCTGACGCTGTGAAGTGCTCGGAGTGCGGCGATGTGCTACACGTGGCCTGTGCGGGACTGAACGTGCAGAGGAAGACGCGGAAAAATAATCAGTTCAAGTGCGACAAATGTAAAGAGTCGGCGGTATCCATTTCAAGTGCTAGTGACAGTGAGGAGTCGTCGCTACTTAAAGCAATAAATAGTTTGCGCGCCGATTTCACCGATACACTTGGTAAAAAACTCTCAGAAATGGAGAAGAAGATAAATGAATCAATCCATGGTAAGCTTAACGAAATAAATGATAAAATTAATTCGTGGCAAGAGACAGTAGTAACGTCAATAACAGATCTTAAATCTGAAAACGAACTGTTAAGAGAGGAGTGTGGCGTGCTCAAATCACGGTGTGATGACCTGTCCAAGCAGGTCGGCACTTTGACGGAAGACCTTCAGGAACTGCAACAATACAGCAGAATAGACAATCTAGAGATCGTCGGAGTCCCCCTGACTAAGGACGAGGATGTCTACGCAGTGCTGCAAGCAGTCGCCAACGCTATAAAGACGCCATGGAGGCGTGATGACATCTCTATCGCGCACCGAGTACCTTCGAGTCGCCAGCGCTTCCCCAACATCATCGTGCGCTTCATCAGACGGACTGCCAAGCATGCATGGATCAGCGCAGCCAAAGATCTACCAGAGAACCTGACAGCCTTCATGGTCCACCGAAGCTTCCCCAACTCACCTGTCTTCATAAACGAACACCTGTCAGCTCACAGTAAGGCAACATTAAACCACGCCAAGACATTAGTCAAAGAGAAACGTTTAGCATTTGCATGGGTGAAGGAAGGTAAAATACTTGTGAGGAAGACACCTAACGAGAGACCGAAGCGAGTGAGGAGCGTCAAGGACGTGGAGGCGGCAGCGGGGGCGGCGGTTCGGCAGAAGCAGACCAACGACGAGGACAATGGTGAAGAAACAGCCGAAACAACGGACAGGTGTGAAGATCGCAGTGGCCAGGATGTGTAAAAACAATATCGCGCTGTAAATATGTTAAGGTATAATATCAGTCACACTAACAATAGTATTTACTTTATTTAGGTTTTGCACGCACCTTGATAAACATAGTTATATATTTTCTTGCTATTTATTTATATTATAATTTATTTTTCAAACTTAAGTTTTAACATCGTAGTTTTAAATGATTGCCTGATAATTTATTTATTCATTATTTAATTTAAAATATAAGCTAGGGCATGAAAGAAATAGTTTTGTATTTAAGTGTTTAGCTTTGGAGTACCTACTTGAACTTACTCAATTTCACAACGTATATTTGAATGTTTCTTATCTCAATTACTTTAGGTATGGAGAATGGATCAATGTATTTTTGCAAGGGCATGCAACATAAATTAATTATATTACTAAGCCATTTACACTTAAAGTTATATTTAGTTTATATTTTAAAAGAAAAATGAATTTCTATCTATTTATTTTAAGAGTTAATCTAATTTTACAGACATGCAAAAAACAGTAAAAAAATAATAAAAAAAATCTCATCTATTGCGTTATCTATTCATATTATATCACCATATTTACCACTTCATTTGTTTGACTATTAATATCAAATATAAAATATTGCTTTAGAATAAATGTGATGAAATAAAATAAGACATACTTATACAGAAAGGCCAAGAAAATTAATTTTCCAAGTAGTTAATTAACATTTAAATTTTTTCATGTCATGAAAGATAAGTGTGTGTAATGAAGCTGACAGATAACTTAAATTTGTAATCGATAGCTTACATTAGTGGACGAGGGACTGGGTGGGGCCTTTCAGCGGCGACTGGTTTTTGTTTTGATTCAATCTTGAAATAGCTCAAAATCATTTTGTTTACATTTTTTAGGGAACATGGAGGATTCCAATTTGTTTCTTGATCAGTATAGGCAGATAGACTGTACAATAGTTGATAGTTTTAAGGACATAAGCTCTGTTTTTAAAAGTTGCTCATACAATTTTTTCTACATGAACATTCGTAGTTACAATAAAAATGTCGATACACTTTTATTAATGTTACAGTCAATCGATGTAAGGTTTGATTTCAAAGCGCTTGGGGAGACATGGCTGGGTAGGGATGGGGGGACGGGGTTGGACATAGAGGGGTATAAATTGTATTGTACGACTCGGGGAAAAAATAAAAATGATGGGGTCATGATGTATGTGAGTGAGAGAGTGAATGTGTGTGAATGCAAGGAACTGGAGCTGGGCGATGTGCACGGACTGGCCTTGGACTTTGTCCATCAAGGAACTAGATGTAACGTTCTGACTGTGTACCGTACACATGACAGTGACTTAGACAACTTTACTAACGCTCTTAGACATTACTATGAGAACAAAAATGACTGCAACACATACGTCTTCATGGGTGACACTAACGCCAACTTACTAGAAACTGACTACAAAACTGAACGCTACTTGGACGTTTTTTTCGAACACGGTTTTATATGTGGCATAAATACACCTACTAGAGTAGTAGGAAATAGTCAAACAAATATTGACCACATATTTGTTAACCACAATGATTACACTGCCTTACAAACTGCTGTGGTGAGGACAGACATAACTGACCACTACAGTATCTGCCTACAAATAAGTCACAAACCCTACACTAAGGACACGTCACACAACACAAACACGTACATTGACAAAACATCTTTGAGCTTAAACATTAAAGAGTGTGATTGGTCAGACGTCTCACAAACGTGTGACGTTAACACATCTACAGACATTCTTTTTGACAAAATTAAAGATTGTGTAAATAAATCCACCAAACAAAGACCTGTTCTCAAACCGAGGCTGAGGCCACTCAAACCATGGATCACCCATGACTTGGTACGAAAAATAAGGGATAGGGACAAATTGAGCAAGTTAGTTAGGAGACAACCTTTTAATATGGAATTGATTTCAAAATATCAAAGAATCAAAAATGAGTTAAATCAAGATACAAAACTAGCTAAATACAATTATTTTAGGGAAAAACTTTCAAATTCTAAAAACAATCCAAAAACGTTCTGGAGTACATTAAACGAATTAGCTGGTAGAGGTAATAGAAAGGACATTTTCCCGCTTACACAATTTTCAGGAAACAGACTGAATGTTGACAACGACTGTAGATTACAGGTAGCCGACGAATTTAATGAGTACTTCGCCAACGTTGGTCCCAACTTGGCAGCAAGTATAGATTCGGGCGGTTTGCCTGTGGTCGATGACACTGACCACGCTGTTGACTCCATACTCACACTTCACACTGTAACTGAACAGGAACTCTACACCTACGTCACTAGACTGCGAGGTGGCTCAGCTCCAGGGTATGATTGTGTATCAGCTGAACTACTCAAAGACAACTGGGAGACACTTAGACAACCACTGCTACATATAACTAACAAGAGCATCCAAAGTGGTATTTTCCCCAACGCCTACAAAATTGCCAAGGTTGTTCCCCTTTTCAAGTCCGGTGACGTCACCAATATCTCAAATTTTAGGCCAATTTCTTTGCTAAGTGTGTTCACTAAGATTTTGGAAAAAATTATCAAAGATCAAGTTTTTCATTACCTTAACCAGCACGATATTTTAACTCACCACCAGTTTGGTTTTAGAAAATCAAAAAACATCACAGATGCGTTGTTCGAAGTTAATAAAGATATAAATTTGGCCATCAGTAAAGGTAGGCGTGTTGTTCTGGTATTTTTTGACTTGGCCAAGGCTTTCGACTCAGTTGATAGATCGCTCCTTTTAAAAAAATTAGAACTGATAGGTGTTCAAGGTGTAGCTCTGCAATGGTTCCGATCTTATTTTGATAATAGAAAGCAGTTTGTAAATATTAATGGAATCAATGGAAATCTTGGTAATGTAGACTTTGGGGTGGTCCAAGGTAGCACGTTAGGGCCTTTACAATTCTTAATTTACATTAACAATCTTGTGAAATTAAATATTGAAGGTGATTTTTACCTTTTTGCTGACGACACCCTAGTTTTATTCCAAGGCGAAACTTGGGACTCAGCTTTTGCCAATGCCGAAAGAGGCGTGTCAAAAATTAAAAAATGGTTTGATCAGAATGTGTTAACGCTCAATGTCATTAAAACAAAATTTATTCCAATCTCCTTAAGAGCTCGAGGGGACACACTTCGCAAAGAAATCAAAATTCATTCATGTGGTCTTGAAATCGGAAACAATTGTGCTTGCCCGGTAATAAATCGAGTTCAAAATTATAAATATCTTGGAGTTGTGTTTGATTCAAAATTGTCATGGGCAGATCACGTGTCATACTTAAACAAAAAGCTAAGAAAACTAATTTTTGCTTTTCGCCAACTTCACCATTTTCTTGAAATAGATGAAATTAAAAATGCATATTTTGCTTATGTACAGTCACTGCTTGAGGGGGGGATAATTGCCTGGGGCTGTGCTTACAGCAATGTTCTACAACCTCTTGTTGTGACACAAAAGGCAATCATAAAAGCGGCACTGGGCAAGGGTAAGCAATACTCGTCGGATGCTCTGTTCACCGAAATGAATGTACTTGATTTAACGCAAATATACATCAGAACAGTTTCGATGTTTATTTACAATCATCATGAGTCACTCTTTGATCGTCCACAACATGACCATAATACTCGACATGCACTAGGCCAAGGCATACGCTTACCAAGACTTACAAAGACATTTTCTACAACAAATTGCTATTACGTTGCACACATCATTTACTCAAACCTTCCACTAGACTTACGAGACTATGACAGACACTCAATTACAACGTACAAAAAACACATTGTTCACTGGCTAAAACTCATTGGGAGGGATGGAGCTAATAGATTATTAGTTTCCATATACAGACAATAGGTGATACAGCTGATACAGCGTGTGTTTGTGTTTGCACGCGTGTCTGTGTGAGTGTGTGTGTGTGTGTGTGTGTGTTGGGGGGGGGGGAGGGGGGCGTTTTGGGGGGTTAATGGTAGGGGAAAGTCAACGAGTCAACCTGATATCATTTTATCTATGTTCCAATGTGATTTGCCAAAATTCCGCTAGCGCTTTGGAATCATGCCAGTGGATAGAAGTATTTTGTTTTGTTTCTTATTACGTATAAAAATTTTTTTTTTTTCTCTTTCATATAAAAGTACAGAATGACTCACTCCCACGCACGGGTTCTCCCATGTGGGATTAATTTCGTTTAGTTCAAGTACTCAGTTATTTTCTTATGGTAATCTGATACTGTATTTTTGTAAAAATGTAAAAATGATTACTTTTGCGAAATAAAGACATTTTGATTTGATTTGATTTGATTTGATCATCGTATCCCAAAATCGCGGCAAAATCATGAACATATCCCTTTATCATGTGACATTATCATCCTCTGCTGCAATCACTGCTAAATTCTGATCATGTCCCACAGTCATGTAGACATAGTCATCGTTTCCCGCAGTTGTGTAGATATCTTCATTGTCTCCTGCAGTCATGGCACAGTTCTGAATATCTTCTACGCCCTGCGGTAATGGAGGTGTGTAACTTAAAATTTCAATTGTATATTGTTATGAATACTAATTACATAGTGGTTGTGAAATAACAAAAAATGCCCCTATTTTGTTTCTGACACCTGGTGGTCCTAAGGTGGCTTGAACGAGATGAATTAATTTTATAATTTTAAGACACATAATAAACCAACCTAGTGACAGGTGACGGAATGAGTTGTCCAGCCATATGTGCTATGGTAAGGAACACTCCTCGAGCAGCTGCTAACGTGTTTTGGCGGGGGTAGCAGTAAACCACCCCCTGATCAGCTGGACTGGTCTCCGTTACCCCTTCCTGTGTTGCATACACCACCCAGAACGGCAGTTCCTCCCCCGCCCTCTCCACCGTACCCGACACTATTTGCTTCACCAGCGGCGACTGCTCGACGGTAACCTAAAAGCAAATTTTTAGTATTTAAGGTATTATTTTAAACATTTTCTATGAAGATTGGTAAAAGTGAGTTTCCACAACATTTTTGGATACAAAATCTACTACCTACCTTACTCAGATGGGAAATTACCTGATTTTTTACTACGGTTTTTGTAATAAGATTTTAAAGTTGTGCCAGTTTTTTTTTAGAAAATAAACGAATTGAACTGAGCCACTGACAGAATGTGATGATGTAAATTACTGATTTCTGCTAAATACGTTAACTTGTTAACCAAGCCAAACTGATAAGACAGCTTATCGTAAACTATAGCATTTTTTAAGTCGTAATAAGTTTGGTTGTATGTGATTATAAAACTATACCTTATCTGGCTGTGAGACGGGTACTTGAGTGATATCGCATTCAGCGACTCTTTGTAACTGCAGTGTCACCTAAAAAAAGTATCATCAGTTTTATTTCTGTGAATTTTGTTATTAAAATAGTTCAAAATACCCCCAGGGCAGCATACCTGCAGACTAAGCGAATTCCCATTTGCCTGATTGGATTTACAATGAAATATCTCCTAAAAAAATATCATATTTATTCCCTATCTAAATAGCATTAGTTTAACAAGTAACTTAGGTTTGCTGCAACAGGGAGGGTAAAAAGTGTGTTTTTTTTATGTTAATAGGCCTAGTTTAGTATAAAATAAATGCATTTTCCAAATCCATAAACAGTCAAACTACAACAGTTTATTTATTCTCCATAAGAATAACATGGGAATTTTAAAATAACAATTTTTGTTGTATTTTCTCTCTAAGCATTAGGCGAATGATAACACTTTAACATACTAAATTATTTGTGTTTTTTTTTAAGCTCTACAAAATGGTTGTACAAGAAATTGCAAAATTTTATGTTTTACAGGTTAAAAGTGGAAAACCACCATTTTTATCCCGTAAAACCCCCCATGAAGAACAAATTTCCTATAGCCCGATCATGCTGGTTCGCGTACTCGTTCGAATAAATGTAGGTTTACATGTTTATACCAAATTGAATCAAAATCTGATCATTTTTGCTTAAATTATCGTGCTAAAGGACACATATACAGGGTGTCCATAAAAAACGTTTCAGGACTTTGGGAAATGGATCCCCATACTAAAAGGAAGAAAAAAGTTTATGGGAAGGTATGTCCGAAAATGCATATTTACCCAGATATCCGCCATTTTGTTTTTTATACAAAAATATTTTTATCTGTGAAGTTTTTTATTCGATGATTATGAAATTTGGTAAACATGTTAACATACACAATACCTATAATAGAAAAAATAATAAATTTGTTCCGATTGTAAATTTAAAAATGGCGGCCATTTGAATTTTTCTAACTTAAGTAACTCAAAAACGGCTAATTCTATGAAAAAAGTTAAGAGTAGTTTCTTTTAGCATTTTTAATTGCCTATCGAACAATACCAAGATCAAAAAGATCGGACAAAAGGTAACTGAAATATTACGTTTTTTCTGTAAAAATAAGGCAATGTTAGTCGGGGAACCCTCAATTTTTGCCTTATTTTTACAGAAAAAACTTAATATTTCAGTTATCTTTTGTCCGATCTTTTTGATCTCTTAGTTATTTAAGTTAGAAAAAATCAACCGGCCGCCATTTTGAAATTTACAATCGGAACAACTTTATTATTTTTTCTATAATAGGTCTTGTGTATGGTAACATGTTTACCAAGTTTCATAATCATCGAATAAAAAACTTCACAGATAAAAATATTTTTGTATAAAAAACAAAATGGCGGATATCTGGGTAAATATGCATTTTCGGACATACCTTCCCATAATCTTTTTTCTTCCTTTTAGTATGGGGATCCATTTCCCAAAGTCCTGAAACGTTTTTTATGGACACCCTGTATATATATCTATGAATTTGAACGGATTGTGTTTTTGTGAACTAGTGAAGCCAAAGTATGAAAAGGAAAAAACAGCTGTCTTCTCAGATAATTTCCGTGTTGGTAAGCCTGTTTTGAATGTCTCAGTTTTTTCGGATAGTCAGGGGAGATATATAGGTACTACATTAAAACAAAAGTATCCAGATAAGCTTCAAACTCTGGGATCTGTGATGCCAAATGCTTGCCTCCTTCAAGTCGCCGAGACTGCGTCACATTCAAAGGGTGACATTACAGTGCTTATGGGTGGGACCAATGATACTCTACGTAAAGATCTATCCCCTCTCTACTCTGGTGTGGAAAAAAAGCTGCAAGACATCAGTGCAAATTCGCCTGTGGTTATAACAACAATACCAAGAAGATATGATTTGCATCAAAATGACTCCCTTCACAATGAAATTGACCTTTTAAATAACTACCTTAAAGAACTAGTGGCCCGGCTTGACAATGTATATATTATTGACGTTGATAATTTAAAGAGGTTTCACTTCACGAAGCATGGTCTCCATATTAATAATAGAGGCAAAAATTTCTTAGTTCATCTGATATTTAATACAATTAAAAAAATTCAACCAAACTTATTTCATAGTAAAAAAGAATTGAACACAAACATAACTGTCACAGATATGCACATGTCGGAAGTCATTAAGAAGTATGGAGGCTGTAAAACTGTAGGCTTTGCACACTCTATCTCAGCTGACTTTAGCGATCCTCGCCATATGTCTGCTGGAGTGGCTGTAGTTTTCAAAAAACATTTTGGTAAACCTAGTCCTGAACAACGTCTAACTGAACACCTAGCCTTACAAGAAAATCAAGGTACTTTCATATACAGCCTCATCACTAAAGGCAAATACTACGGTAAACCCAAAATTTTTGATTATGATACAGCTTTTAAAAATTTGACCCAGGATTTCAAAAGAAAAGGTCTAAATCACTTAATTTGTTCACCAATTGGATGTGTGCAAGATAGGATTGAGCTCTACCACTTTATCACCAACCTAAAAAACTTTCAACAGGAAACTAAGGCTACGGTTACTATTGTGTCGTACTATCAAAAATCTCACCGACAACTAAGAAACGGTTTGGCACATGAAGAATTTCAGCATCGACTCGAACAATTAATTCGACTGACAAGACCCACCAACTTACGAGCTTCCGAGAGTCAAAGTGATGATCTTCCATCTGATCCTTCAAAACTGCAAGTTCCACAGCAGCTAGATAATTCTACAGTCAACTCCCGCTTACAGTATTGTGAGAGTCAACAATCCAGTCATCCTGCTTCTCCACAAACTGATTACATCTGCAGCAGTCCCGGAACTCATGACATCAGTAATGAATACAAGGAAATACAGAGGCATACTAAGTTGTCAGCTACTGAGCAGGATGCTTCTATGTCTGAAGCTGTTGCGGCTCCAGGTCCTTCACCCCACCATGACCATCCAACATCACAGAGGCCAGACGATGATGTGCCTATCCTGGCCAGCCTCAACACCTTCCCTCCACTCATCCCATCACACCATCAGTTACAGCATTGTGAAAGTAACAAGTGCAAAAGTGGTAGTGAAAAGCAGAGTACAAGTGGTAACAACAAGCAGAATACAAGTAGTACTAATAGTAAAGATATTTTTTTAGAGAAATAGATAATTTTACTGATGCACATGTCAAGTTAGCGTCTGATAGTAAATTTGGAAAAGATATGTTTTTATTACATTTTAACATTCAGGGTTTTCTAAACAACTATGTAGACCTTAATCTGTTTATTGGAAATATGGATTGCAAAATTAATGTTATATCTATAAATGAACATTGGCTTGATGTTAAAAGTATAAATGTTTTAAATAAACTAGATGGTTTTGTAATTGCTGACTACTATGCTAGAATAGATCAATGGCGGGGGGGTTCATGTTTAATGATTGACAAAAATGTTAGTTTTAAGGTTAGAAATGACTTAAAATTTTTAAATGAACAATGTTGTTTTGAAGGATCTTTTATTGAAGTCAAGGACTGGAATTCAGTTTTTATTTCAGTATACAGAATTCCAGGTAGGGACATAGATAAGATATTTTTAGAAAAGTTTGAAATGTTATTAGACAAAATAGCTTTGGAAGCAATGTCAAAAAATGTTTTTATAATGTCAGACACAAATATAGATTTATTTACCGATAAAGTAAGTACTGATAATTTACTAGAAATTTGTGATTGTTTTGGATTCAAACCTAACGTTCTTGTTCCAACTAGGGTAACGAGTATTTCAAGTACTTGCATTGACAATATTATTTCTAACTTGCAGACAAAAAAAACTAGCAGTTTAGTTTTAGACATAGGTGCATCAGACCACAAAGTTTTACTTTTGTCATTTGAGAAAATGTCCTCTCCAAGACTTAAGGGTGTAAATAAAAAACTTACTCGGAAGTTTACAGAAACAAATTTTCAAACCTTTGAAAACACACTAAATAATGTTATTTGGAACCCTTTTGAAACCTTTAATGTAGATACAAATTACAATAAATTTTTTACAAACTTTCTAAATTCATTCAACGAGGCATTCCCCAAAACAGTAGATCGTCCAAAGAATAAACGTAACAAAAATAACTGGATAACAACAGGAATAAAAATTTCAGCAGAAAATAAAAATAGGTTGCACCAAGAATCAAAATGGAATCGTAACCCTCAGTTTTTAATCTATTACAAAAACTACAGAAAGGTCTTTAAAAAAGTAGTTGCATTAGCAAAACTGAAAGCTAATGACGATTTTATTAAAAAATCTAAGAATAAAAGTAAAGCATCTTGGGTAGTAGTGAAAAATGAAACAGGACTTAATAAACAAATATCTGATACTCCAGTTGAGATTAAATTCAAACATGAAAGGGATATACAAAATTGTGCAGTATTGGTAGCAAATAAATTCAATAACTTTTTTATTAATGTTTCTCAGTATGCCAACAAATCAACAGATAAATTAAAAGCCACTCAGTTACTAATCGAAAATCATCCACGTTCCAAATTAACATTTAAATTTAGAAATGTTTCAATTGACGAGTTAAGAAAAGTTGTTACATCTCTCAGTAACACTAAGTCCTCAGGTTGGGATGAAATTCCTCTTTTTGTCATTAAAAGAGTTTTTAAATTTATAGAACATCCATTATGCCAAATAGTGAATCAGTCCCTTGAGAGGGGGGTTTTTCCTGATAAGCTAAAGTTGGCTGAGATTAAACCTCTGTTCAAAGAGGGCGATGTCAACGATCCCTCTAACTACCGCCCCATCGCCCTTCTGCCTTGTTTTTCAAAGATTTTTGAAAAAATTGTAAAGATTCAACTAACAGAATATTTAGAAAGCAATAATTTAATAAATCCTTCACAGTTTGGTTTCCGCCCAGAACTCGGTACTGAAAAATCCATAACAAAAATGATTAACTACATTGCGGAAGCCTTGGATGGATCGCAGAAGACTGTGGGTGTGCTATGTGACCTATCCAAGGCTTTTGACTGTGTGAATCATGAGATACTCATAGAAAAATTAAGTATTCATGGAATAAAAAATACTGAATTAAAATGGTTCATATCATATTTAAAGACCCGAAAACAAAGACTTATTTTACAAAAAATGCAGAGAAATTATAAATCAGAGTGGAACATTAACCCCAATGGAGTTCCTCAGGGCTCCATTCTCGGCCCTTGTTTATTTATTATTTATGTTAATGATCTATGCAATGCTACTAAGATGTCCACCTTTCAATACGCAGATGATACCGCTTTAATATGCACAGGACAAAACAATGAGTTCATTCAAGCCTCAATAACTAAGGAATTTCAACTCCTTGGGGATTGGTTTGCAGTAAATGGCCTGTCCATGAATGTGGCAAAAACTCAACTAATTCAGTTTTCTGCATCCAATATTAACCAAGAAATAATTGTAAATACAAACTTAACTACAATTCATTCACAACAGTCAATAAATTATTTGGGAATAGAAATCGATTCACAACTAAATTGGCAAAAACACATTAAAAACCTATCAAAAAGACTACGCTCAGCAACATTTGTTCTCACAATAATTCGGGATACTACTAATCTAGAAACACAAATAGTAGTATATCACGCATATTTTTCATCGATTATGAATTATGGAATTACTGTATGGGGCTCATCAAGCCAGGCCAAAAAAATATTTATTCTCCAAAAAAGAGCTGTAAGATTAATGGCCAGAGTCTCCCGTAGAACACATTGTAAAGATTTATTTATTAATTTTAAAATTTTAACTTTTTTTAGCTCTTATATTTACAAATTGGCATTAATGGTTAAAAGTGATTTCGACACATTCATGGACTGTCAACAATCTCATCCACATAACACAAGATTCAAAAATATTATAAAACCAGTTCAACATAGGCTTAAAATCTTTCATTTATCCCCTCAGTATATGGGACCAAAAATTTACAATAAATTACCCGCTGGGATTAAAAACATTGCCTCATTCTCTAAATTTAAACTATCTTTAAAAAATTTCCTTTTGGAGAGGGCATTTTACTCGTTAGAGGAATATCTGGAAAATGAGTATATTTGAAAGATATTGCTTCTCCCACAGGTTTTTAGCTTATTATATGCTTTATTTCTTTTGTAAGCTATTTTATTTTAAAATGTAGTATAGTATTAGTATTAGACTTTGTGACAAATCACCTGTCAAGAGAATTGATGTAATGTGATGATGTTTAATAAATAAATAAATAAATAAATTGTCACAAAAATTTAAATCGGTCCCGGGTCCAGGTCTTACCATGAGTACTACGGTAATAGCTTATTCCCTAAATGGGAAATGCAGTAAAACAAAGATATTTTTATTTACTATTGAAACTGATTTAAAACCAGTACAAAACTTAATTTGATATTTTTTATAAAAATGTGGAGTGAAAATGGTGACATTCCAACTGGCAGTAAGTTTACTGCACTCTATCCACTAATTTCCCCCAAATAATGTGTGGCTTGAAACATTTCCATTTTTGTATGTAATTCTGATGGTTTCAATTCTTTTTCAGTTGTGACGAGCATCAGTAGTGATTCATAAAAGAAATTCTACTGTAGGGTCAAATATTTTGAAGCCAGCAACCAAACCTAATTGTCTGATAGTAATAGCTACAACAACATCAACTATAATAATATAATAATATTGAACTTAATCTAGAGATGTTGCAGAAAATACCTATAATTGTAAGATTTATTGAAGATCACTTACTTCGCAGGGAGGAGTTATTTTATTCAAAACATCATTCAATGAACTGTTGTCGATTTCTTCCCCGTTAATACTTTTGAGCCAATCTCCTGAAACCAAGACATAATCTGTAAGTTTTTAAGTCTACTTTGTGTGTGATTTAGTGCCGTTAGCACCTTTTACATGTTTTGATGAGAGGATGGTCCAAATCCTGGTCTTGTTACTAGCACCGATCTCTTGTTGAATAAACAAAGCCGGTCGTCATAACAAGAATCAAAAGATATTTAACAGGTAACAGTTTATTTTATTTAATAATTTAAATAACAATGTCTCGAGCTATACTCAGGCTTAGGTTTAAAAGTGTTAATGATTGTAGTGTTTTACGAACCGACTTTGATGTTACGTTTCTTGGAGGCCTGGCTGTTGGGGATGAACCCTGCTACCATGATCCTGGTCTGGTCTGACAGGGTGGTCAGTACCAGTCCCAGCAATGTCTCGGACAGGGTGGCTCTACGGCCGAGACTACTGCCGTCCCCGACCACACGCAGCATCACTTCTCGGCACTCCCCTTCCTACAGCAGATCATTACTTAGTTACTTCACTCACAAACTATACTTTGTGTAGATGGGCGGAACTCAAGGTTATTTGTTGGGGACATAGATTCTGGATTCTACAATTTTCTGCCGCAATCTTTGTTACCAGTAATAGAATGTGCGGGCCTTCAGTTTTGTTTTTGTGAGAGATGCTGAAGTTGACCACAAGGGCAGGTTGGTATAGAAAAAATTTGAGATTTATGTGTTTAAAAACAAAAGTTTCCGCAATTTTTTCACATGATTCACCTTGAAGCTAAATGCTTTCTCTATTTTCTTATATTTTGACAGGATTATAAATATTTTCATACTCTTTCCGATGACTAAGAAAATAATTAGTCATCTTGTACCTTAACCTAAGAATGAACATCTGTAAGTAATTGTAAATTAAGTACCAAAGAAAGTGTAGAAGTAAATAATTTATCATCACAGTCAAATTAGACAGAAACCAGTAATTTTCATCTGCACACTCTGTTGGTGGCGCAATAAAACTACGTTCGTTTTTAATTTAAAGTTGGATGGAACTTAAAAATGCTTAAAATAGAATTTAATACCGGCATCTAGCCTACCCATAGTCAAAGGTTTTGTCTAATATTTGTTACTTTACTTATGAACAGATAATGATAAAAAGAATATTGTGATTTAGGCCTAAAGTATTTTTTTAAGAACAATTTGAGATTGAAAAAACTTACCTGAGATTCTCTGAACGTGACTTTACTTCCTGTCTTATTGCTTGATTCTGAGTCTTCCACATTTTTAATATCAGGTTTTTTTCGAGTGCTCCTTCTGCTACTTCTTCTTCTGATCAAACGAACTAGTTTTCCTACAGCAACGCATGACAAAATAGACTTAACTAAATGAAGTAGCAAACATACATAAACTTTGAACTTCTAAGTGGGTAGGCATTTGATTATGTACTTTGAAAAACTATTTCAAAGACAGGATGTTGACTTAAGCTAGCCTATAGTATGACTAAGAAATTTAGTTTTGGGTATATATTGGATCTATAATTTTAGAGCTGTGCATTTTCATAGGCTAACAAAGCCATCATAGATAAAATATTTCAAGGCCATAGAACACCACAGAGACACTTGGGCAGGGCCGTCCGAAGGGGGGGCAACCGGGGAAAGTTGCCCCGGGCGCCGCGGCTGAGGGGGCGCCGCGCATTTATATTAACATATAGTATTAACATATATGTATTAACATATACATTAAATATATATGGGGGCTATTTGTATTAACATATAGTATTAAAATATGTGAATGCGACTTTTACTGGGGGGAGGGGGCGCAACGACCACATTTGCTCCGGGCGCCACAAACCCTAGGGATGGCCCTGCACTTGGGTGAACTAAACAATACTGCAACTCAACTTTTATAAGGCATATAACTACATTTTAAAAGTTAAACCTAATTTGAACTAAAATTCATTCATAGAGCTATCGCCCCTGGACATACACATATTGAACTTTAAACTTGCTGGATTATGTACAAACATGTCACTGCCTGTTTTGGGGTTTAGTGTACAGTGAAAATGTAATTTCCCATTTTATGTTCTTTTATGAGAAGTAAACAAATTATGCAAAATAAATTAACTGCTGTTAATTACTGTTAACTCCATAACAAGGGGTAAGTAAGTATCACTCAAGGGGCCCATTTGCTTTTTCCCCATAGAAAGTAAGGATGCAATGAGTGAATTTATGATAAATTCTTCTTATTACCTTTAGTTGTGATTTTCCTCTTTTCTTTGGCTGAAGAGTCAGTTGCATTTTCATCCTTTGATGCGGCCTCTGGTGAAGTCAACTGTTTCTGATGATATTTCGGTTGGGAGTACGACTCAATGTAAAATAGTTCACCCTCGGGAGTCACTTCATTTTCCCATTCAATAATTGAGCTAACAAACAAATAATACTGTAAGTCAGGTGCTCATTAATTAAAAAAATATATAAGTAGGCCTAGCCTATCTATGTATTAAGCCTGCTAGGCACTAATATATTAATAGGCCTAAGTTAACGGTTTTGATGCTCCATTAAATGACTAGGCCTACTTTGATGATTCCAAAATACATTGTATCTTGAGTCAACCACCCTTATTTACGTAGTGAATCAATACTTAAAGCCATGTTCCCTCGATGCACAGAAAATATACTACTTTAACCCAGAATGCTAACCACAGGGTAAAGAGCGTTAAGTACTTGGAGAGAACTTTGCCTGTCAATTCGTAGGCAGTGCCACCAGCTTTGCTATGCATAGCAACGCTGATGCTCGATGCTAGTAGGAAGGAAGGTTGCCTCAGGTGTAATTTGATACACGCTAAAAGGCAGGTCTAATTTAAAACTAAGGTTTTTTAAGCTAGGTTAGTTATGCTATCCTAATGTTTCAGATAATATATCAAGATATCCTTAGATATTTACTAACCAAAACGTACAGGGAGTTGTAGCTCAACCTGTACAGCTAGGTAACAGTTGTAGCCAACATCTATATTCCTTAAATGTAGGCAAGCCCACTTTTATAAACGGACAGACTGGGCATATGCCCAGGGGTGCCGGTGGTTGGGGGGCGCTCTGAACCACCGCCCACACTAGGAAAAATAGGGTTTCATCGGCCGGGATTTCAAAAATGAAATGGGTGATTTCAACTTTTAATTAAGTGATTTTCCCTTATTGCTTATTTTCCCTTAAGCTGGATTAAAGGACGACGCCACCCTTAATTGCACCTTCAGTCGGCACTTAGGAATTGTACTTTCAGGGTACCAATAAGTTAACCTAATATAATTAATTCTGCACCAGTAAAAAAAATATAAGAATGGCTTCTGTACAAGATTTATTGTTACACACTTACCTAGAATTGCAATCGCTATAATATGAACTACAACTGCTTGAATCTGTGTCGGACCAGTCTTCATCAGAGTAAGGCAAGTCTCTATTTCTATTGATAAAAGTGTCTTTGTCATTGTTACGGTTACCCCTTAAGTTTACACTCTCTTTTAAAGACAAATCTTTTTGCAAAAGACTTTGCTGCTCTTCACATTCGGACATATTATATTGGTAAGTTAATCTACGTTAAACCACAGGTTAAACCGTCATACCAGATACTTTTTTTATAAAATAACAAAAATAAAATGTAGGTCTAAATTAATTTAGTTTGGGTAACAACAACTAACTGGAACTTTCAAACGAAACAAAGTAGTAAAGTAAAGCAAAACAAACACAACAATATAAACATAAACAATCTGATTTCTTGCTATGCTATGCTGTGCTGGCTGACTTGACTTGACAGTTCGACAGTTTACAATTTGGAAAAAAACTGCTCTAACCAAGTTTGCCAACGCAGCCATGTAAATTAAACATAAATGTTCAATAATATATTTATTCATTTATAGCTACATGATGATGGCACTATGAACAGCACCAATAAATGACTGTAATATTTAAAAAAAATCTAAGGTAAAATAAAAAGTAACAGAAAAATTCCAAAACAATAATTCTGTATTATCTCAAATTAAGGTACAATAATTTACCTTGTCACGTAACTCCAACTTATTGTAAAGATTAGCGGAATTACTTTCATACTAGTAATTATGTATAGTAATCCAGACCGGGGCCGTCAACGTCAACCTGAATTTAGTAAAGTAATACAGTATTGGCATTTCCTGTCTTGCTAACTTCCTTGACAAATTACTAAATTATTTGGGATGGGAAGAATACTTTAATAGAATAAATTACCATTCTGGGTAGTTGTATTTTTGTTTCAATAATTGACTGAACTTTCATTTAGTAGTATCTGTTTGGGTTTAAATATGAAAAAGCCTAACAGCCTTCAGAGGTTGGAATTTTACAAAAAAATATAGTAAAACATTTTAAACATTTTTAAACTTAATGAGCTGTCAGAGTATTTTTTGGGCCCTATGAGGGTATTAAAATAAATATGACAATCTTCACTAAGCCTATGGTTATATTATATTTGCTCTATTCATGAAAAAATCAGCTCAATTCAGGTCAAGAAGTTTTCGTTATTGACATACTTCAAACATTCATCTATAATATTAGTTCCTTCCACCCAAGTCATTGACTTGATCAGTAATGCACTAAAATTATCAACACGCTAAATACTCCGTTTCTCAGACATTATTTTTGTAGAAACAAACACGATACTTTTTTATAAAGTTTAGAAAAAAAGTCTATAAGTTGATGAATTTTGCACTTTATTCGCACATATACCACAACAATTTAGTATTTGACACAGGGGCGTCATTTGGGTCGGGGGGCAAGGGCACATACCACCCCCTGGTTCCTGGACTAGAGAAAAAAATATGCTGTACTAGCTAATATACAAATATTTTCTCCTGTCAAATCCTAAAAAGCACGACAGACAAAAATCTTCATATTCTTCTACAGTAATTTGAAAAGAAAAATGATTTTGAGTTTACATAAATTAGTAGTTTTGTTATTCATTTACTTATTTTGTTTGGTTCTGTACGATGAACCACATATATACTTCTAGTTTATATACATGAACATGCAGTTTTTTTTAGAAGCATTGTTTTGTCATTTACTTTTATGAATTAATTATTCAAGCATTAAAATTATACTCGTGTATCAATTTTACGTAACTTATTTTGAACACTGTAGACTACCTGAACACTGTAGTTTAATATAGTTAAATAGAACCTTTTGTACTTTTGTGTCAAATTATTTTATTGGTTTTAAAATTTGATTTGCTTTTAAGTACTTAAATACTTATGTGTTTTATTTAAAAACCAAACAAACTTTTATAAACAATAGGCTATGAATACAACCGTATACTCATTGCTACACCTATGTCTAAATGTTTTACAAGAGAAATTGGTCATAATTTAACATCAAACATAATATTAACACCATGGAACTATTGATGACGTTTTTTAGATGACCAACTTACCAACATCTTACTAATATTATAAATGTGAAAGTTTGTGTGTTTGTTTCTGGACGCTAGTTTATTTAGCTGTTGTCATAAATTCAAACAAAAAGTTAATAGTACCCTTGTTGGTAAACCTTGTAACCTTATAATGATATTGAACATCATAGAACAGAACCAAATTGTTTAATTGAACAAGCTGTTAATATTTATTAATTTATTTTAAATATGAAAAATTATAATAAGGTTAAAATGGGAACCTTCGGACGAGCCACTGGGGCAGAGCCCGAAAGTCCGACCAGAATGAAACTACTTAGTCTTCATATTTAATGCCTAAAGAATCAGTGTACCAAATTTCAGCCTCCTACCCACAGCCTCATTTGCCGGGTGTACACCTCCCTCACCATCGTCAATTTTTTTTACACACAAATAGATATCCTACTTCCTACTAATATTATAAATGAGAAAGTTTGGATGTATGAATGTATATGTATGTTTGTGACAAGTAAACACGAAAAATACTGGTCGGGTTGGGCTGAAATTTGGCATGATGATAGCTCACATTCCCGATTAACATATAGGCATATTCTTATCTCAAAAATACTTTTGGGCTCCGCCCCAGTGGCTCTGCAGTTCCCCATGTTAACCTTATGAGTATTCATATTTAAAGGGAATTAAAGAATTTAGCCAGCTGTTTAAACTAAAAGAGTTGGTTCTATCATAGATAAAACATAGTCTATGGTTCTATCATAGATAAAACATACTCCCTTAGTAGATTTCTTATCCTTATGGAACACCTGAAGACAATTTTTTTGTTAGTTCATGTACGGTTTATGTAGTGGTCGTGTTTTGTTTACAATTTGTTTCCCGTTATTACAGCCATTTAAAACCTCGTTTAACCAAATAATACGATCTAATCATAAACAATAAATTGTCCCCTAGTTATATAACCAAACAGTAAAGCACAAATCAAGAAATTAACCCTAAAATAATGGAAAAAAAGTTTCATCGACACTAGCGCCTTTGTGTCACGTACATGAACTATACACGAAAAACGTGGTTCAAAATGTACAATGGGATGAGAAGTCTACTTGTGTTGGTTAGTCTATGGTTCTATGATATGCAAAAAGCATTACAAATTTATAAGATTTACCAAGCATATAAGATGTATAAGATTTACAGCACTATTATTTTTTTCATTTTTATGAAAACAGCTAATTTGAACTAAGCAGCAACAAAAAACTGTGATACACAATTAGAACTGTCAAAGTAGGATTGTTTACAGTTATGTTTATGTTTTTAATTTCATGAAATATTTATGATATTTTGCGAATTTTTAATAATCTACCTTTTTTCTATTGTGTAGGTGAAGTAGTAGAACATTATGGCTATGGTAGATGTGTAATACTATCGCATACCGCAAATTTGAGGAAGCAAATTTTCTCAAACCGTGTTTTCTCACAATCGCAAACGCAAAGATCGGGTATAACTGCAATACGCATTTTATACTTATTTGCCAACCCCGTACGAAGGACGGGTACTCTGCTAGTAAACCAATAAACAAGGATCCATCTTGGGTCACTGACGAGTGACGATGGCAAAATAAATTATTATGAACAGAGTTGGCAGCACTGACACCCCCCACCACTATTGTGATAAGTAGACCGACCGAGTGACTGACCGAAACCGACACATTGGATTGGATTGGATTCGTTCGTCCATTCTCCCTCCAATCATTCCATTAATGGTTTGTTCCACTGTTCCGTTCCAGTTTTGATTCTGTTCCGTTCTGTCTCTGTCTGAGTGAGTTCATGTTCACCGAACTTGTGTTTGTCAGTATCCGTCACAATTACAATTTCACAATTAATTTTTAAATAGGAAATAAGTTCTGTTAAATATTTAGAATTCTCATAAATTAAAGATATGGCTGAAATTGATGATGCTTGGCTTAAGTCAGCTTTAGTTCAAGAATCAACAATATGTCAGAAGGTAATACAGCCTAGGCCTAGCCTACTTGCACAATTTAAATATTGTTAGACACCTAACCTTTAATTTAAGTTGCAGGACCATTTCTATTACAAATCACTTATATCATCTGGCTATGTTTTCCTCTGTTGATTATGTAAATATATACCTCTTAGTTTTTAGTAGGCTCTATTTTGAAAGTTTCTGTGGTCTAGGCCTATCTTGGTGATGATTAAGCTAGGCCTAGCCTACTCGTTGAGTGCGGCAAACATTCAAACAGGCGCTTGCCAATGGCGGCAAGGCTCGGGTGAAGCCCCGACGCGGCACCGAAACAGCCAACACAATTGGCATTCAAACATTTCAATCTGACAAATAACAAACGAGCAGTGGTGATTGTAGTGTCTTACCCGGAGAGTGGACTTAGTTCACTGAATCACCCAAAGGTAGCAGCACTGCCTGGATCTGTAGTCAGTGTCTTTGTAATGTGGCTTGAAGAGAGAAAATCCATGAAACCGGGACAAAAGCATTGTCAGAGGGGATTTTAGGGAAAATTTTTGTACCTACCAACCTACTCAAAAAGCTCACATTCTAAGCTACAGTTTAGCAATGATTATGATGTTCCCCGGCAATGGCTGAGCTCATAAGTTATTGAACTAATGTAGTGGGGGTGGCGTGACTACATCGATGTAGGCCGATAGGAGCGCTCGTGGAGTCACTACATCAATTGATGTAACTTAGTCAGCACTCAACGTGTTAACTTTTAGGCCTAGGCATAGTTTATGATAATATAAGCCTATCCGATCAATCTAATGTTACCCTAGTCAATAAAAAAGATAAAAAAATTGTTGATGTTCGGTTTTAAATGATTCATGTCAAGGCTTAGCCTAACTAGAAAGAGATAGGGCTAGATATAGGTGATAAGATAAGTTGACAGCTCAGTCCTAAATAAAAAGATCTAAGTTTACTCTAAAGGATTTCACTTTTGGTATCTTTTAAGGACTAAGGCCTAGCCTAGGCCTACCATTTGAAAAATTTCAAGTTTAAATAAGGTATCTTACTTGCTACAAGACAATCCAAAAATTGCAGATCACGCAAACAGGTTTAACTTATATTAGATTTGACTCCTACATGAAATCGTCATCAGGCAGTCCAAAGATGTTCTGTTTCTATCTTCGCAAGAAGATCGTCTAGGTTTAAAAAGTAAACTATACTTGTGACAAACACAAACACCAAAGGTAATAATAGGTCTTACTAATCAGCTAATGAATAAGTTAAAGGGCATTACGAACCTTGTAGGAACAACTTAGGCATATATTGTTTTAAAGTAGTTAATCCATGTCCATGTCCATCCAATGTTATACCGGTAGTGAATAACTTAGATCATGTTTTTAAAACCCTAAGGCCCGCCGCACATTGGAGCGAGGCGAGGAGCCGACCAGGTGCAGGCGGGATTGGGGACTTTATCGTGTCACTGCACATCGAAGCGAGGCGGGACAGAGGTTTCTTAGCTTTGGTCCTACTGTCGCGAGTAGAGAAATATTCTTTGGACCTTATTCATTCTAATTGTGAGTTTAATAATTTAGTTTGACTCTAATCGCTATCCGAAAAACGTAAAAAAACGTTTTTGAAAACGTGATTACACGAAAAAAGGTTAAGCCATGGGGAGTATGTCTTAACTACTGAACTGCCAGACCGGTCTTTTAGAGAATATTTTTGTGTGAACAAACAACAGTTTAATTATATCTATAACTTGATTAAAAGTGGCATTAGTGGAAAGGCATTAGTGGAAAGCTCAAAAACATATAGCCATCTGAATTAATGCTCCGTTTCTATATCTTTCACTCACAAAACACTTGAAACCCAACGCAGGCACGAGCGAGGTGCAGGAAAACTGTATTCCAACTACAACACCACGGAGGCCTGACAGAGGCTGCACAGCTGTGTTGCAATGTGTGGTGCTCCATTTAAACACGTGTATTACAGAATAGCCACGCCTCGCCTCGCTCCAATGTGAGGCGGGCCTGATAGCCTAATTTAGATTTTTAATTATCAAAACATTCAATGTCAAATGCCTAACTAGGCTTAACTTACCTGTAAAAGTAACTTAGATTTAAGTTTTAACCTCAAATGCAAATGAGCGAAGGATATTAACAGGAAGAGAGATGAGAACTTGAGTTTATGTTTGGTAAATGTTGATTTTCGGGCAAAGCTATACACAACGTCCATGAAATGAGTCAAAGCCAAATGCGTGATCTGCAACTATTGGATTGACTTATAGACAGATTCTTTACAACCTTTTTAATGTAATTTTGCAATCCCAATTAAGACTATTTCTTTAATTTAAATTAGCCCAAGTTCAGATCAATGTTTTAGGTATTTTAGGCTTCTAGTGTCTGTACTCTTTTACTAGGCACTGCATGGACCTCAATGAAACTTCATGAAAACAATTGGCAATTCTCTTTCGGTACTCAACAGGTTTGCTGTAAACAAGAGTTTTGTAGGTTATTGCTGCTAATCTATACTTATAAAAGGCAAAGCCCTCACTGACTCACTGACACACTCACTCATCACTAATTCTCCCACTTCCCATTTAGCTAGGAGGCTGAAATTTGGTACATTGATTCTTTAGGCATTAAATAGGAAAACTAAGTTGTTTTTATTCTGATCGGACTCTCGGGCTCCGCCCCAGTGGCTCTGGAGTTTCCCATGTTAGCCTTATGATTTTTCATATTTAAAAGGAATTAATGAATCTTAACAGCTGTTTCAATTAAACAAGTTGGTTCTGTTCTATGATGTTCAATTGCATTAAAGTTACAATGATTACCAACAGGGTGCAGCACTATTATTTATTTTAATTTATGACAACAGCTAATTTGCAACCAAAAGGTGAGTGAGCGTAGCGAACGAACTTCAACCTGGAGACGAGTTAGCGTAGCGAACGAGCTAACCTGAAGGCAAGTGAGCGCAGCGAACGAGCTCCAACCTAAAGGTGAGTGAGCGTAGCGAACGAACTTCAACCAGGACGTGATTGAGCCATGCGAACGAGATTATCTTGAAAATTAAGAAGTTAAACGGGGCAAAGCCCGCGGGTACAGCTAGTACATTTCTAAAGTTCAACTTTTGTTCCAGATCAAACAAATTGGTATAACATCAGACTCCCAATCACCTGGGATTGGTAAAGCGTCAATAGACACTCCAAGGCCAGACCTGTCAAGCTCTTCTAGTGAGGACAATGTTGTTATTTCAAAGGCCGAAGCGTCATTACTGCAAAAGGTGGTCAGAAAGGGCTTGATTGAATCAAAACATGACATTGAAGTCCAAAGGAAAGACCCAAATTCACCACTTTACTCAGTGAAAAGTTTTGAAGCATTGCACCTGTGAGTATTATTCTGCTCATGTAATTTGATGCCAAAGATTAATGGCAAACAATCAAACTTAAGATATGGTATGATTTTATAGGAGCCTATATTTTTTTTAGTTAGAAGCTATTGATTGAATCCTGTAAAATAGAGGCCTACTGTAAGTTATCTCAGCTCTTGGAACTCCAGATAACTTTAAAAAATAATCGGTAACTAAAAGTGGTATATTATTTTACATGGCTAGGAAGAAGGTGTTTCTTAATATATAGTCGTATGATAGTTCTCGTGCGAAGATTGCCGAGCGTAAGATTTCATAAGTACTGTTTTTAAACACCTTATCGGATGAGTCACAGAAGCAACAAATAAGCGGATATACCAACTAATTTACCAATTCTTTTTGGTAATAGCCAGGCTTACCTGGAATTTGGAATGAGAAAGAGTCCCAACTGGCAGAAGAAACAAAACAATAGAATTCACTTTCACTGTAAGGAAGGTTGTCTCTTCAACTAGTAGAATTTTTAACAAGGGTCCTTGCTAAAAATAAATGCTGCCAGTAAAACAAAAACAAAATTTTTCCTTCCCTGTAGCAGCTGAGTACTCAATAATCTAATGATTTTTTTTTTACAAATCTCACATATTCAAGGAAATAAATTAGTAAAAATCCAACCATTCAAACCTAGGTTCGCTTGGACTGCAGGTTTGCTGCGTCGAGGCATTGAGCCTAGTAGCCTATTTGAGAATAGTGCATGTGTCGGTGATATAACACTCTCTGTAGGCTACTTGCTGTAACTAAGCCTAGCCCTATTTAAAATTTATCCAAGTAGGTATTGATAACTTTTTGATGATTAAAATGAAATCAACTCATTTAGTGATTGGATAGTTTGAGTCATAGGCTACTGTATGGATTTTTCAAACTAGGCTATGCAGATTAGGTACTAAAGTACTTGTTCATTTCATTTCATAGGCCTATTGTAAAGGTTGCATGATTCATACAATCATTTTGTGCAGGAAACCCCCTTTACTGAAGGGTGTTTATGAAATGGGATTCAACGCTCCGTCTAAGATACAAGAAACTGCTTTGCCGACCCTTCTTGCTGATCCGTGAGTAAAAGTATATTATTTTACAAGTAGAAAGTTGGTGTTAAAGTTACCGGTACTTAATATAATATACGATAGATTTTGTGCGAGGCTTGCCGAGCATGAAATTTCTTACAAGCCTTATTGATTTTTTTAAAGTGTTATGTGTCCTGACAAATATGTATCGTAATTTTTCTTCATTGAGCGTCTACTAAAGAAAAGTCATATTATGCATTTTGTTGGTGAGTTGGTGGCTCATTCAGTAGCGTCACAGACTTCGGGCCCAAGGCAGCAATGTCGTGGGTTCGGATCCGGGTCACTGCTGTAAAATTTTATCAGTACAGTTCACCTTTGTTCTGTACCGGCCCACCCCTTGCTTTGCTGGATACTTTCCATGCACGGTCAGTTAGTCTATGTGGACAGGTAAATGCAAGGTTAAAAGAAGCCAACCAACCTCTTACAAAAAAAAATGTTTAAACTGTTGCGTGTGAGTAGTTACTAAATTTAGTGTACCCCAGTGGATTTTACCGTAGCGGTTCTCCAGCAGACTTACCTTCCTCCAGCAGACTTTGCCGTACTCCAGCTGATTTCACCAAACTCAGGACAGCTGACTATACCAAAGGTCCCTTTCTGTAAAAAATAACTTTTTGATCTTCAAAAAGTACAGAAACCAGCTGATTACTCTATGGTGTGGCAAAAAAATTGTATCTGTAGGGATTTAAAGCAAAGAAATTTCAGTTACAGGCTATTGTCTAGTGATGTTAAAAATTTAGTTTCCCACGACCAGCTGATTTTCCCTTCCTCAAAATTACTTAGTTTTCCATTATCCTCCAACTATGTGCCTTGTTGTTTTTCTCAAGTAGCCTATGTTTTTAAACCTTACTTTTTTACTGGTTAACATGATAAGCGGTAAACATTTATTTGCATAAAAAAAATAGACATAACCTAGATATTTCATAAAATGAGAGAGAATAGTCATTCATAACCTGCACCCTTGGTCTTTCCAATACTCCAGATTTTTCCAGTAGGCGTAGCTTTGCTTGTACATGAATCTCACATTCACACTTTTTTTCAATAACCATTGGTATAAGTATAAGTATTGTTATTACTAATTAGTTTTATAGTTTAAAATGTTTTATTAAAATTATTTCAGACCTCAGAATATGATTGCACAAAGTCAATCTGGAACTGGAAAAACCGCAGCTTTTGTATTAGCAATGTTGTCAAGAGTAGACCCATCTCTGAACTACCCTCAAGTGAGTTGAACAACGTATATAATGCAACCATCAACAGGTACCTTAAACTTGTGAACAATTGTCAAAATTGACTGTTTGGTTGCCAACTAAAAGATAAATAAATACATATTTTTTTTCTCCTCAAAAAATTAGTTAAACTGCACAATAAAGAAAGAACCACAAAAAAACTTTTACTTATAATTATCTTTGGGAAAGATGTGGCCAAAACTGGGTATTTGTTATTTCAGATAGGCCAATTTTTGATAGCTGAAGACATTTTCACCTTATAATTAAATACAGGGGAAATATATTAATCTTGATTGGTGCCCTAATTTCTCAGGAGTAGGCCGTGTAAACTGGCTTATCAGGATCACACACAGTCAGTCAGATATTGAATTAAGATTTATTTGAGCTTTCTTAGGCTATGAGTCCAAACTGGCACAGGAAACACAACACTTTACAACTATATACACAAAGCATTAGTAATGTTTTTTCATTAGTAATATTTTGTGTATATAGTTGTAAAGTGTGTTTCCTGTGCCAGTTTGGACTCTTTCCCACTCAGATATGCCATCCTCATCCTCTCAACAAATCCTAAAAACCTAGGCCCTTGTGTTATGCTACACACTTAATAGCCTATTAAAAAGTTAATTAGGCCTAAACTAATTTAAATTTTTGTATTTGCCTAGTTTAGTTTTTATCCGCTATAGCCCACATTTCAATGTGATTTATAACACTTAAGTTTTACTTTTAGGACTATTTCTATCGCTATATAAATTTTTGTTTCTAGGTTCTTTGTTTATCGCCAACATATGAGTTAGCCATACAAATCGGTGATGTTGCAATGAAAATGTCAAAGGAATGCAATGACATCAGGATTCGCTTTGCAGTTAGAGGGGAAGAAGGTATGTCTACACTATTAACAATTGTTCTTTATAGAACAATCCATATAGGAATTTAGTTTTAGTGCAGTTATGTAGTTTCGATTTGGCACTCTTGGATTTTTTAATAGTCCTTAATATTTATAAGTCTGTATTAATATATAAAAGTTAGGTTTGCAAGCTAATGTGCCACAATTTTACTTTCTCTCTGTGCACACACAATTTTTTTATAAGCTAACGAGGGAGAGTACGTTTAAATTTGCTGGTACCTTTTGTTTATGTTGTGATTAAATACTTAATTTGTTAACTTGTTTTTTGCAGTGGAAAGAGGGACACAGTTAACAGAACATATTATCATCGGAACGCCTGGAAAAGTGGTCGACTGGGCGCTTAAGTTCAAATTCTTTGATCTCAGCAAAATCAGAGTATTTGTGCTTGATGAGGCGGACGTTATGATTGCGACTCAGGGTCACCAGGATCAAAGCTTCCGCATTAGAAAGTAAGTCTTCATCACTCCCTACAAAAAGTAGCTGTTTACAAAACAGCTGATATAAAAATGAAAATTTCCAATCTCTAATATAGAGCATAGAGCTAGAGAAAAGCGATCAGCTGTTTTTCCATTGCTCTCAATCGTTTCTCTATTAGCCCACTGTGTTTTTAGCATTGTGCTTGCCTATGTTGTTATGCAAGATGTTGATTTTGCAAACTTCAATCCTAAAAAATATTCAGCTGTTAAATTTAAAAAAAAAATGTCATCTAAAGAAAAAAATTGTAAGACAACCGATTTTTTCAGCTTTTTAATTTACATACTAATCATAAAAACGCTCTCTTTCATTTTAAATTGTCAAAGGGTTAAAAAAGTTGGGGAAAACTCCAATCCATGTTGTTAATAATCCATTAATTATTCTTAACATCTAGGCTCGTCCAAACCAGATAAGGACAGTGGCAAGAGTGGGACAAACTCCCGCGCGGGATTCCGTAGCACATGGTGATAAATGTGAGCACCCACACAAGAGTGGTACCGCTGCCGTCGTCGCGTTGTTTGATCGTCCTGCCGGTTTGAAACAAGTTGAATTTTTCCGCTCGCACCGCCACGGGACTACATGGCCGATATGCCGTTTAAGTATGACCTCTGTTTTCAAATCAAGGAGTTCATCAAAACATGCGATGGTCATTCTAACATAAACATAGAATCGCCATTTGTCTTTTCTTAGATCCAGCATAAGGGTATGGTACTCGCCAAATAAATTTATAGTTTGATAAACTTTGTGAACCCAAACAGACGGTTATCTTCCACCTTCATCTTCATCCTCAGCTGTTGCTAGCATTTTCCTAAACCTTTTTTTTTCTTGTAGCCTCAGAATCATAGCTTGAACTCATAACACACAATAATATAAACATTCAATAAACTAAGCTGAAAATGAACTGAGGAGACATTCTGCTTTCCGCTGCCTGCCACTTCGGTGTGGACTACCCCATTCACGCCTCGTACCACTGCCGCTGGTTACCGCCGGTCACTCACCCACTTCCCACTCCTGCTGCTGTCCCGCTCCGGTTTGGAAGAGTGTTCTCTTTGGTAAAATATTAAATTTAAATTAATGTTAATAAAAATTTTACATTTGTTTTAATTTTAGAGCATTGCCTAAGGAATGTCAGATGATGTTTTTCTCCGCCACTTACGATGAATCTGTAATGGATTTCGCTGAAGCAATTGTTGACAATCCCGTCACAATCAGACTAAAGCGAGAAGAAGAATCCCTGGACAATATTAAACAGTATTACGTTGAGTGTTCAAACCAAGAAGAAAAGTATATGGCGATATCTAACATTTACGGAGTCGTGACGATTGGCCAGACAATCATATTCTGTCATGTAAGTACTATAGTTTAGTTTGGTTCCAATATTTGTTTATTCGTAAAATAGCTTTTAATTGTCACAATAAAGGAAATCATTTTCATTGAGGTTCATCACAGCAGCAGAGGATGTGAACAAAGTCATTTTAATTAAATAGAATAGTTAAAAAGTATCCCTTGATAGTACTGAAACATGATTGGTGAAAAAAGAGATGATTTTTTTGTATTAAAGAATTAGACAAACAATGTTATCTATACTATTATAAAAAAGAGGTGGTGTCTGTGTGTATGGGAAAAGTAAACGCGAAAACTACTGGTCGGATCGGGCTGAAATTCGGCATGATGATAGCTCATATTCCCGATTAACATATAGGCATATTTTTATCCCAAAAATCCTTTCGGGCTCCGCCCCAGTGGCTCTGGAGCAAAGGTTCCCATGTTAACCTTATGAGAAATGGAATTAATGAATCTTAACAGCTGTTTCAATTAAACAAGTTGGTTCTGTTCTATGATTTTCAGTAGCATTAAAGTTACAAGGATTACCAACAGGGTGCAGCACTAGCATTATTTCTTTTACATTTATGACAACAGCTAATTTGCAACCAAAAGGTGAGTGAGCGTAGCGAACGAACTTCAACCTGGAGGCGAGTGAGCGTAGCGAACGAGCTAACCTGAAGGCAAGTGAGCGTAGCGAACGAGCTAACCTGAAGGAAAGTGAGCGCAGCGAACGAGCTCCAACCTAAAGGTGAGTGAGCGTAGCGAACGAACTTCAAAAAGAACCGAAATTTCTTAAACCATGTCCTCACTCATAACTGCTATAAGCATTTGATACTTATATGCCAACCCCGTACGAAGGACGGGTACTCTGCTAGTTATATATATAAATCCCTTCACAAAGTAAACCCACATAAAAACCGTAAATGCAACCAACTGGTCTTAAGAAATTCTGCATTAGCTCACCAGTCGGTATTGAAAACAAAGTTCCCCTCTGGTTTAAATTTAAGATAGTAAAAATGTGATTCAACTCAGCTGAATTTTAATTTTCTTTTAGGCTAATTTTATTATTTTCTTTCATCTGTACTCAATCATATGTTCTCAAAATTCAACTACTGTATTTGTAAACAGTTCATATATTGTTTGTTTTGTTCATTTTTACATATTTCATCAATTTCTCTTTGCTTGAAAACGTTTGTATTAAACGAAAATTTCCAATGTTTCATGTCACATTTATCATAACGCTATCAAGAAATCCCAAAGAATAATCTATATATATATAATCTATCTATATATTAATAGGCAAGCATGTTTCTTTAAAACCTTTTTTCTCAGCTCGTGTGCATCGTGGGGTAAATCTACGCATACCGTTAGAAAGCTATTTTCCTGTAGGTGTGCAGAATCCCTTTATGAATTTAAATAGGCTCAAAGATAAGCACAAAAAATGAGTTTAAAAATTTGAAAAAATTAACATGGATCTTATGCGTTGCCATGCTGGTGACGAAATAACAACGAAATATAAACAGAAAATCAAAACAAATGGAAGAAACTCCAATCACATGTTTTATTTACAGTGTGGGGTGAAAATAGAGAAGTGAGTAAGTTTACATTACATATTTTTGGTCGAGTTTCGACCACTGGACGACCTCTCGTAACTTCTAAAACATATTACGTGTTATTTATCTTACGTAAAGTAAATAAAAATACTTTTAATTTCACTTCAGAGATATATTTTAAACTTATACCGTCTTGTTAAAACTGTATACCGATAATCAATAAAAGTTTACATTAAATCAATTAAAACCTCACTTGATATTAATAAACAATATAGGCCTATAGCAAACATAAACAACAATACCGTAGATGACACATGTAAATATGTAAAAAAAAAAAAAATAAAAAAAATGGATCAGGAAAATGGTTTTAGTATTAGTTATAATTTCAGATTAAGACGCATTCATGTACACATTGTTGTATGTCTGAATAAAGATTTATTTGACTTGACTTGACACACGAAACTACACTCCGTGAATCTAGTCGCGATATTGTAGCACTAACTGTACAAACACCAACCAGTCCTTAAGAGTCCTTGGAGGCTAGCGACAATCTTGGATGATTTAAAACAGCTGCTGGAGAGTTAATTATCATCCAAAAATATTTTTTCCAAAAACCAAAGTGATCATAACTTAAATATCTAGGGCACTGTGGGATTAGACATTTTCTGTGTGGTTTTTTTATATTTTTATATATAATCAGATACATCTACCATCCTTCCTTCGACCTAACCGTCGCCAGTCTGGGAAGGGTAAAGTTTCAAGACCACCACAAATTCTAACGTTAACTTGTTTGTAGACGAGGAAAACAGCTAGTTGGCTAGCAGAGAAGATGACTAAGGACGGACACGCGGTGGCGCTACTTTCGGGAGAACTTACAGTTAATCAGAGGATCATGATATTGGACCGCTACAGGGAGGGGAAGGACAAAGTGCTCATTACCACCAATGTTCTTGCCAGAGGTAAGTATCGTGCGTAGTTTCAAAATATATTATGCAAGTTAAATGTACGTTCTACGGAGATCATTAAAATATATAGCTTGAGGAGGATAGAGGTGCTGTTTTTTACCTCGCTGATGAGTCACATCCTCTCTTATGCCACTTACTGAGTTTGTCTGTCGCAGTTGAAGTGTCAATTGTCATGTTATGTACTCCATCATTTATATTAATTCTGTAAACGAGTTTTTCAATCAAAATTGTGAGAGTTTGACAGCTCGCAGGATGATGGGAGAGGGCTCAAATTAAAGGTCTTGGTAGGGAGTCGCCGAAAAACAGCACATTTTGTCCAAATTTACCAGAAAATGAGAAACAACACAGGGTGTCCACATTCTGGAAAGTCAGGGATAGTCATGGAAAGTCATGGAAAAAAATTATGGTTATTGAAAGTCATGGAAATAGGCAAAAAGTCATGGAAAGTCGTGGAAATCCCCAATGATGGCTGGATTTCAAGGGACCTTTCAATGCTTTAGTCGGCTGTAACCGCGACTATTTTAGCATTTTTCCGAATTTTTCACAAATGTACCACAATTTCAATTTATACAGTTGTCTTAGTTTATGGGTTTTGAGTTTGTATTAGTTCATTGTTGTACCTATTGTACTCCATTGTTATCTGTTAATACATATTTCAATATTTTCTGTGAAATAACTTGTCTAGGCAGTATTATTCGTGTGTGTACGGTATATTATAATTTTTGAGTTAAGTTCGTGAGTCATGGAAATCGATGGTTAATGGTCATGGAAAGTCAGGGAAATTGATGACAAAATTTCTGTGGACACCCTGCAACAAAAAATATTTAAATTGCATTGGGATTGAAAAACGTCTGCTTTGTTTACTTTAAACATGTGATTACAAATGTATTATCATTTTTATTCGACTTTAAATTCTGTTGATAGAGTGCATGAAGTTGGTTTAATCCAGTAATTTTCAGAGCTGCTATGTGAAAGATCATTTGATTCATAATTTGTTAAAAAATAAGAATTTTTATTCATGTTTATTACTAAGTTAAAAACAAACGTTTACTTTACTCTCTTGCTGAAATGACGCCCTATAACTATAACCAGCAATCGAATAAGCTGTTTCAAACGTTTTTATCTACAAACTGACGAACAATAACATTGCAGGAATTGACATTGAGCAAGTTACCCTGGTGGTAAACTACGACCTACCTGTGGACCAGAACTACCGCGCGGATTGTGAGACATATCTACACAGGATAGGACGGACAGGGAGGTTCGGCAAGGTGGGCATCGCTGTCAACTTGATAGACTCTCCTCAGGCACATGAGATACAAAGACAAATCAAGGAGCATTTTGGTGAGTAGTTGTTAACTAGTTGCTTTACCCTTGCTTTCAATTTTTTTAAATCCTTTTTTGGTAAAGATCGGTTTTTTTAAGGTTTTCATCATAAATAGGCCTACATTTAACAGGCATACCTTCCTGTTGAAAATACATTTGCATCTGATACATTAGAAAAATCTAAAGATGTAAGTTTAATTTATGACTAACTTATTTCTTTTAAGTCTACTGTAGAAAATAGAGAATAATAACACTCATACATTCTTTAAATAGAGAATTAAAGACAAGTTTACCCCTTAGTTTTATGAAATGTAAATTCATCAATGTGGGGCATAATAAAACAACATTTTTGGGATAACATTTAACAAAACGTAAATTGCATTAGGCTGTTATTATTATTTTATTTTTATTTTTTTGTTGCCATGAAGTATGCGCTCAAATACTTAAGCACTAGTATAATGTTAACATAGGCTAAAAATAAAGTGTTAAAAAGCCCTCATAACTTTAGAATGAATGAAGATTTTTTTAAACGGTTTGTGGCATTGTAATCTGGGTAAAAATCTAGTTCGAAATAATGGGTCACAACCACAACCGCACCTTTACATTTGAAAAAAATATTTTGCATCGAATATGGCGGATCTAAGATATAATTGTTAAGAAAATAAACTCATGTTTTATGTTTGTTGTTCTTACATCAGTACATAGTTTCAGTTCACCAACTGCAACTTAGTTTTTTGGGAATACAGTTGAACCTCAATAGTTCGACACTTTGTGGAATTAAGGGGTGCCGAACTATAGGGAGTAAATGGAGTTTAATATACAGGAAAGTAAAATCACAAGTTTTAGGCCTAAATAGAAATTACCCAAATTTATTAATACTAAAAAGCTTAACAATTTCAATTGATATTATAAGGCCTTACCTTAGCAATCCTGTTTTTTGATTGTTAACAATTTCACTGTTCATTAGTCTCAAGTCAACAATAAATGACAAATTAATGTTCAAAGTCAGCTTACATCACAATAGTAACCATAATATCACTTGACAAAATAGCTCAGCCCATGTCGAGCTACAAGGAGTGTCGAACTATCGAGTGTCAAACTAGCGAAGGTTTACTGTATCTGAATAAAGAGCATTTTCAACAGTGTAATCTTCTTTCAGGCAAAGAAATAGAACGCCTCGACAGCAACGACTTGGAAAAGCTCGACCAATTGAACCGAATTTGAAGACCAAGACATCAAATGTTTTAATCGCAATCGGCTATGTTACTAAGATATGAACTAAAACAATTTTTTACTGCAGTGACTTCTATGAACAAGTGTAGCCTTACTAAGCATCAGACTTTTAGGTCTAAGTCAGGTATTAACACTCCTCTTTTTTAAGAATAATTCCCTTTTGTGTTTGTAAAGTTTTTTTTAATTTCATGTTTACTTCACTATTTTGTTTATGTATAAAATGTTTACTTAAAATACAGATTGTATATTTCATTCTCATTCCTTGTTTTAATGTTTATATTTTTATTAGCCTATTTTTATATTGTAACAATTATTTTGTTACTTGTTGATTAACACACATTCATGAGGTATGATAAGAAATTTAAATAGAATTATAATTATCTCACACAAACATATTTCATTTAATTGTTGCCTCAAATCTTGTGTTTAGTATTTTTTGGACTTATATGTCAGTTAAATCAGCTGTTTTTTATTGTGACTGTTACATGGTTCCGAACATAGCCACAAATAATGAAAACTTACTCATCCGTTCTTGCTTCCTTGAGTTGTTTCTATCCCATCTATTGCACAGAAGAATCTTAGTTTTTTTTCTTAAATCTTAGTCATAAAAGTGTTTTTTACTGCAACAAAAAAAGCCGTTTTCAATACATGCAATGCGGGTCTACCACAGCTCTTTTACTCTCTGGGGAGTACAAGTCAGCTGTTGTTAACTCAGTTGTAAATTTCAATTGTATGCAATCACATGTAGGCTATCAAAAGTATGTGACGGTTGTTTCATCGGATTTAGCTTATTGTTGCCTCCTTGTCAGTAGTTTGTTATATTGATGGTCCAATGTACACTAGTACAATGGTAATAGACGAAATCCTTGCTAAACAACTGTTTGTTTGTACTAGCAAAATTGAAAACAAGTTGGAAGTTGTTTTCAGAGGTTATCTTCAAATGAAAAGTATTTTCGTTTTGTAACATAGCTTTCTTAAATAATGGAAAGAGTGCAACACGACAACAAAGTCCATCACACAGGCAAAAAGTGTATTTTCAACCCTCGCTCATACTATTTTACATCTTGTCATGGTTACAAAACCATAGTGAAAGGTCTTCTACTTAAGACTGTCTGACTTCCTTCCAATCTAGCGACTAAAACTATATTTCGCACCAAATATGGTCTCAGGAATTCAGCTAGACACTGAAAATGGGCTTGTATCAATTTAACGTCACCAATAAGTAATAAAACTACAAACACAGCAACAACTAATACCATAGAAGCAAGGGTCGCCGGATATTTACCCTCATGAAAAAACGCCTACGTCATTATGACGTCACATGTCTGGGGGTAGATTTCCGGCCGTGAACTTTTAGGACGGATAAATTATTATTTATTTTAATCAACTCACATTTCATGGTTTACTTAACAGTTGTAATTAATCAAAATTCCAATAAACCTGACACCGAAATTTTATCCTCGGAAATCTACCACCAGAAATCTACTCCCAGTGGTCCCCCATTAGTTAACGTTACAGATCAGGCGCTAAAATCATGGAAACACATTTTCAGCTTCAACGATATATATTTCAATAACATCAATACATATAGAAATTTAAAATTTTCATTTTCAATCGCATTATATCTTTTCATAAACAATAAACCATACTAACTTTATAGACTTAAAAAAAAACTAACAATGTCTTCATTTGTGATCAACAAACTGATATGGAACGCTTAATTTCATCAGAGAAGTATAATACCTGAGATGGCAAAAGTATAAAATATAACTATATACACTCTGAACAAAAATAAATTGACTATCTTTCATAAATAGAAACAGTTTTGGAACATGTTTGTTTATAGCCTAACCCTAAAGTTATTATTGTTCTGATGTTGTACTTCCAACTTTGTTTAGTCTTTTGTTTATTGTTTGGCATTGACGATAGTGACAAAGTCAGGTTTTAGAGAGGCTCCTCCCACTAAGAAACCGTCAATGTCGCCTTCCTTTCCAAGTTCCTTGGCATTCCCAGCTGTCACAGAGCCTCCGTAGATGATCCTTGTTTCTTCGGCTACTTTGTCGGAAACTTTGTTCTTCAGCCATTGTCTGAGTTTCAAGTGAACCTCTTGAGCCTATAACACCAAATCAGAAACAAAAAAAGTTTGTTAAGAGGCAACAGTTCAATTAAGCAATACAACCAAAATTCTAAATGCCCATAACTTACTCAGTCTTTAAACTCAGTGTTAGAAAAGTAAATTGAAGAATATTTCTTTACAAATCATTATGTAGGCCTAAATGCAGGCTTAACCTTAAAACAAAATTACATTAATGAAATAGTCCACGAATTTTCTTTTACTTTAAGATCTTTGTATTATAAATAATAACAGTTAGATTCATGTCTAATACCCGTTGCATGCCATAAGATAAAATTGCTTCTCCCTCCCAAAACCACCTGATTCTAGAAATGTTATAATAAAAAATAAACTATTAAAAATTCTTATTTTCACTGAAAGCAGGCACATTTCATATATATTAAAATGTAAATGTAATTGGCCGCTATGAAAGTTAACTCACTTGTTGAGGGGTTGCGGTTTTGCCCGTTCCGATTGCCCAGACGGGTTCGTAAGCTATGACGACCTTTGACCAGTCCTTGATCTTATTTGCAATGGCTTGAGTTTGACGATACACCACAGCTTCAGTCTGTCCGGCTTCTCTCTCTTCCAGCTTCTCTCCGATGCACGCAATCACGGACAGTCCCTGTTCCAGCGCATGGGCCACCTTCTCCGCTACCAACTACATCAGAAATAATCATAATTTAAGTTATAATTTTTTTAAAGTAAATTTATTAACATTGGGACAGTTTTGAGATTCCAGTAAAAATGTCTTAAAAATAGTGTACACGTTTCTGACATTTTTCAACAGTAGTATAGTGACAATATTTCCTCATGAGATATCTTAATGTACAGGGTGCGGCAAAAAAAAACTATTCACTTTCTGCAGCGCACTGTTCAGCAACAGGTCGTCTGAGGGTGGTGGGGGTAGGTTTGTTGGAAAACCTACGATGCCATTATCTGTAGTCAATAGTCATAGAGCAGTGGTCACCTGAGCAACGTGCATTTGTTATGGTCGTTTAAAAACAGTAATGATTTAGTCTTTGCAACTCAGCGGCATTTCCATGCCTTCTTTAAATTAGGTCGACATGGGGAGGTTCCATCGCAATTATCTGTATAGATAGTCAACAAAATTAAACAGATTAATACAAATTGATCTGTAGGGATATGATTTAAGATCGAACCTCAAAATTAATGTAACAGGCGGTCAAGTAGATGCTTGTTTTCGCGCGGGCCTCCAATGACTTTTTTCTACAGTACCACAAACTCTATTGAATATTAGTTGTCTGGCGTGTGATCTGCTTTGGACGGCTTGCCCAGCTTCTTTTTTAACGCAGAAGCTGTTATTCTTAAAGTTGTGACTACGTGATTGTGCTACTTGATGGAATCCATGTCGCCCTAATTAAAAGAATGCACGGAACTGCCTCCGATTTGCAATGACTGAATTATTACGAGCCTAACCCCACCATTCTGAGACGACCTGTTGCTAAACAGTGTGCAGCATAAAATAGATCAGTTTTTTTGCCGCACCTGTATATCACTCTCAATGTGTTGAGATAACATGTAGCTGAATATTCATTAGAGTAATCTAATAAAAGAATGAAATAGATGATTGAAAAGTGGTAATTTACATCTCTGTTTGCCAATCAATTTGGTATGATGTAGAGAGGACATTTTAAGGTGACAGTGATAAAATATTGCAACACACCTCATCGGATTCTCCAAAAACGTTTCTTCTTTCGGAATGTCCAATGATAACCCAGTTGACACCGACGTCTTTGATCATGGCTGGGCTGATCTCTCCTAAAAATATTATTATCATTAAACTTGAAAATTAACATGCAGCTGATTGGTAAGTTAGTTTTACTATTAACCTTGATCATGGAACCAATTTATTAACAAGTTTGTCTTCTTCCTACAATAAAAAATAACCACACTACCTATAGACCCTAATTGGTTTGGGTGGATGTTTGTAAAAGTCAATTAAGTGGGAAAACAATCATGAAAGTCCAGCCGACCAAGAAACCAGAAATTTCATGTGAATTTTGATAACATAAATTTTATATACCGGTAAGTTTACTGAATAATTAGGTAAAATTCATTTAAACACTATTTGATCGCTTTTTATGGTGTGGTATCAATTGATGAAATCGGTATAGGAGAAAATGATCAATATCTGGCTTGCGAATGTGGATATCAAAGGGGGGGGATAAGTTTTGCCTGCCCTGGGTGTCGAGATGCTCTGTCACTGGAATACTGGTAATAAGTAATCCTACGAATACTTATATAAGTTAAATATTTTTTACCAGTAAATGCTCCACTTGGAACCTTGTAACAATTCTGGGCTGAAGCTGTCACATTACCCGGAAGGTTATTCTTTGTGTATTCCAAATAAATAGCGGGTACTCCAACCACAACCTCTGAAAAAGAATAGGGTTTTAACAAATACAGTCCCGATCCAAAAATAGAGCAGATACCTTAAAGCAAAAAGTCCTATATCAAGCCATTTAAATTCATAAGTACCGTACAGTAAAACTTAAAGTTAATGATCATTTAACCAAACAAGCTATTTTATACATACAGTTTTGTTGTAGAGGCCTACTTAGTAATAACTCTTCAACTAAATTAGTCTAAACGTTGGAAGTAGGAAACATTTGAGAACTGGTTGCATCATTTTCCCAGTAAAGAACACCAGGGCCTACTTAAATTTGTTTGGTAGTTTAAGACTAAGTAACTTAGCGGCGATCGCCTCACACGTGAATGTTTTACATGCTCTGATGTAAAAATTGGTCATAAAGGTACCAGTAACTTACAGTGTAATAGTGATTTTACTTGATATCTGATCTTTCTGTTAATAAAGCTGCAATTCGTCAGTTTAAGACTTAAAAACACACACAAGAATAGGCTACCTACTCAAGATTATTGGCAGTGTTCATATTTTGTGATTATCACTAAGGGGGACGGACGGATATATCCATCCACCTTATGTTTTTTGTGGGCCAAAGACGGATATCTGTCAAATCAAATTATATTTTCTTCATAACTTTTGTACAAAAATTAGTTCAGCCCTATCTGTTTATGATCCATGAATTATTTCAAGTGAAATAAATTAAGTACAAAACACAACCACTTTAGTTTTTAATTTTTGGAAAAAAATAATTAAGCTCCAGCCCTTCATTTAATTTAGCCCTGGAAGGGTTAATAAAAACACACTTAACACGTTTGCTGCTACGGACGTTCCGGAACGTCAGCCGTGCCATGGCGCCAGGAGCTAGGAACGTTCCGGAACGTCACCATTCATTATTGTTTAATGTTTCCATGGATCAGCCAGCTCGTCACGAGTGTCCTATATTTCTTTGCAGCTCGTGGGGACGTAGGCCTACTTTTATGTGACAATAAAAAATATAGTTTCCCAAAATCACCACCAGGGTTGATAGAACAGGGCTTTGTCCCACCTCTTTCCTGCTAGATAGCGACACTATTTTACCGACTGCATCCTGGGTAGTGCTGCTATCTATCAGAATCACTTAGTACTATGTCCAAAGCCAGTTTTATTGCAGAACATTGCCATCCAGAATAACTACTGTTGTTTTTACATTAATTCAGTGTATCGGCGGCAATGTTACGCAGGCGAGCGTCAGTTCAGCTCCTGGCGCCGTCCCGGCATCTAGCGGTCAGCAACGAACGTGTTAATTAGTTTCCCTGTAGCAGCAAACCTAGGTAGGCTACTCGTTAAAAATAAATGTTAATTTAATAGATTCATTGAAAATCAATTTAAGGAAATGGAAATTCGCTTAGTCAGCAGGTTTGCTGCAGCGGGGGTATTTTCATAATAGGCCTAGGTTCTAATTAATGTAAGGACCTAATTAAAACTAGTATAGGCGTAGGCCCTAGATACTTACCAACATTTGGGTCTAAAGGTCCTTTCTTCAAAAAGTCAATTATTTCATCAACTCCCTTTTTGTTTCCATTCATCTTCCAGTTACCTCCAACGAAGAATTTCCTACCCATGTTTTCTAAGTTACTTACACCTGTAAAAGATTTTAAGTTAGAATTTCTAACCTCAATAACAGCAAAATTTGAACAGTAGATAATTTATCAGTAAATGGCAGTGAACGACAGTCAGTCAGACTGAGACAAGACAAGGTTACAAGGTCGAGGTATGAATGAATGAACCTGGACCTAGGACTCGGGCTGTGGCGTCTCAGTGACCTTGGTTTGACCTTTACTGATGACTGACAGATGTTACAACATACTGATAACCTCGCAAAGAGTATACTCCATAGAGTTCAAATGTACCTGAACCAGGTTGTTTTTTTTTTATTCAAAGATTAAAATTGTGGAGTTGTGATTAATACCATTGACTATATACACATATCATTCATCCTCAAGGAAAATTCAAAAAATCTTTTTTTTCCGTTTTTTATTCAATCTCCGTTTGAATCTTCAATCAAACAAGTTTAGGTCATTAAAGATTATATGCAACCCAGCAGACGCACAGGCAGAGTTCGCCTATGTCTGCTGATTCCACAAGACCATTCAATTATAACTAGCTACAAAATTAAAGTTTATTATGTCCGTTTTGCTAGTTTAGTATAATTCAACATTAAGTTCACAACTTTGTTATTTCTTGTTTTGTTTTTGATTGTTTCATGTTGTAAACTTAATATGATAGTAAAAAGGTAATATTGTACTTTGTAGCAAATTTGACGGAATAAATCATTCATTCATTCATTCATTCATTCATTATATGCTTACTGTTTACTGTTAATACTGTTTTACTTAAAACTAAAATAATTTACGCTAATTAAACTGCAGCAGCAACTTACAGCGAATAAATATGGCTAAATTAGTGGTAATACCCATTATAAATTAATACTGTAGTGTTGTTTTAACAAAATCTTGAATTATTTACTTTGGATAAGCATATGATCATATAGCTTAAGGACCAGCCAATTTGGAAAATATTCTCACAATAACCCCTGGGCTGGAAATATATCAGTTTTATTTCTGGTACAGTATATATATCTAATATCTAGTTTGTGGAGGTAAAATCACATACTGGTTACTGGTTAGTCGATGGTTGCATCTTTAGCTCAATGAAAATTATCCACACCCGCAAGAACATTGAATAGATTCTGCAAGTTCTCATCCTATTATAAGAAATGTTGTGTTATGACTATATATGCAAACGAAACAAATATATATGTTTGTTTGTTTATACACTCCCGATACATTGATACTACCACAAAACATTGCCTAATGTCACGCCTAGAGAACAAAATACATTTTTATTTTAATGTCGTGAACTATAGTTCTATATTTAATTATTTCAGAAAAAATCACAGTTTCATGGGGAAAGACAAAGCCAAAATACCACCTCAAAACCAGTACCACGCAGTACCGGAAAAACAAATTGGCGCCGCGCGGGGTTTGCATAAATTAAATTAAACTCGAACGAAAACATAACCAAAGTCAAAAGTCTAACCTTGAAAACCGAAAAATCCCGCTATGCTATATAGTTTCTCTGTATTCTCTAGAAAATTGATCTGATAGAGTTAGCGTTTGATCAAGTGTAAATTAATAACTGCTGTAACTGTACAAGTAAGTCATTGATTGCCAAATAAATGTTGATTTATTCTTCGTGTTTTTAGGACGAAACAACAACATGTTAGAATGTTAACATTTCTAATACTGTAGAGGTCTTTGTTGTTCATTAGCTAAACTTAGGTTGTTTAATAACTTTATAAAAAATCAAGGGAGGTCTAAAAGTCTTAGACTAGCCTATATTGCTTGTCACATCGTAAGTAAAAATGAACCATCCTTCTAGAGTTCCTAGGCCTTGTAGGATTTTGAAAGATAATGCTTCAGCAACAGGAACTACTGTATGGCTTGGTCTTAGCTTTCCCCTTTATTTTTCATTAAATGGTAACTTAATGCACCTAGGCCTAACCATTTTTTTCATGAACCACCCTACTTTTTTGTTTACGAATCCTTAAAATTTAAAACAAACGAGGTCAAAAATAGATTTTTTCTTTCAGTTTTATACATCCTATTTTACTAGTTAGTTAAAAATCTCCACATTGTTGAACGGGTACACTTCCATATCTGTTGGCACAAACAACCGAATGAAAATATCGATCGATATATCGATTGAACAATCGATATATCGAACAATTGAATTTATATATAGAACAATCGATATTTTCATTCGGTTGTTTGTGCCAACAGATATGGAAGTGTACCCTGTTGAATTTAAGAAAATAATTATGTTTTGATTGCTTTGCACCAAGCCATATATTGGACAAGTTACTTACAATTCTGCTTAGGTGTAGGCCTAAGACGGCGCTGCATTCTGTCACAGTTAGTTTGAAGGTGGTGTGTTGTTTGTGGTGTGTGGGGCTGATCCCTGTTTTGGAATTTCTTGGAGTAACTTAATGACAGTTTTTACTCTGCCATTGGTGCTGCTAAAATTATGCATCACATAAAAAATGTCAATAATATTTTCTTTTTATCTAGTTTAACGAGAAGAGGTCATATTTAAATTCACTCTGTGTCTTCAAGGATCGTACGTAACACATTTCTTTAAAAACCATGCAATTAAGTATTCAAGCATACAAACTTTAAATACGGTATATATATAAATAAGTTAGATAGGCCCTAAAATTATAGTAACTTTTAAGAAATAAATATAAATGTACTACCTTGAAGTAGACACTCCACTGATAGTTAAAATTGTATAAACAACTGTTTTAGAATTAAAATGAACACGGTTAGAATGATTCACTGACAGAATGCGCTGAATTAAAACATTATTGTTCAATTTTTACACACCCAACATTCTAGAGTAATCATGCCAAATTAAAAAGACAACCTCTCTTGCAAACTATAGCATTTTCAAGTGTCCTCCAACTATTATAGTGTGAAAAAATAAAACAGAAAATATAAAACTTTACTATTAAATTTGTGTTGTTAAAAATAAATAAAACTGATTTAATAATACATTGTTACCTGTAAGTAACTAGCTTTCCTTGTTCTTGTGATTGCTTGAAAGTCAGTCCAAAGCACCAAACTGAGAATTGAACTTTATCTCAGTTTGCAATCACTATTTATATTTCATAATTGATTGATTATTTGATTAGGCTTCTGGCTTATTTTAAATTATTTTTGACATTAAACTGTTTTTTAAATCACTAAGTTATTTATTTTTTTAATACGAAACTAACTTATTAAATTGCCTGTTTTAGATAATAGGCCTAACACTATTTCACTACTTAGGCTGCTCACCACACTAACTTAATCATATGATTGCTTAGAGGAATTAAATATTCGTTAGGGTATTTTAGGCTGTTTTTCTTATGAAAAAACTTTATCTATTAAGTTCCATATTCAATTCCTAATCACAAATTGTTTTTTCCATATCCCCCCGGTCATTTTTATAAAAAAAATTTATCTTCAAAATTAGAGATACAAGTTCCTAAATGTAAATCTGACTTTTTATCTGGGAATTCCGAATCACTTGTTAATAGAGCCAATTGCCCTAGCCAATAAAATTATTTTTACTGGTTAAACACCTGCATGGACAGGTATGAATAACATTTCTTACCGTAAATTATTTGATTTGCTGTTAGCGTTAGCCTACATATTATGCTCTGTTTGAATAAATGAATGAAAAAATACTTATATTTACAGAATAAGTGAGTACAATGACAATCTTAGCACTACATCGTAAGTTTTGTTTCAGAGCCAATGGAAAGACATCCCACGCATAATTTATCAGTTACTGATGATGGAAACTTTTGTGCGTTTGTAAGTGATGGATTCTTGATGGTTTATAATGTTTCCAAAAATAAGCTGTTGTACAAATGCAAGGGAAATTCTGAAACCAAGGTACTTCTGTTTGTAAATGATAACTAGACTAAGCACACGTTTTAGCCTTATCTCGTGTCAGTTCTGGTAGGCTACTACGAGGAATGTTCAGAAATAAGTAACGTTTCCGTCTGATGTTGATTGCACTCTTTCTCGTGCAGACACGTTGGCCTCAATGACTGTACAGCCGTCACAGCGGAAGTGTCGTTGTGCTGTCCGTTGTTGTGACATTACAGAAAAAGTGTGCAGCAATTGAAAATTCTGTTAGTTATGAGATGCAGTTGTGCAACTTGTGAGGAGACAACGTTATGAGTTAGAAATTGTGCATTAATTCTACTTTTCCGATGAAGTGCTTTATGGCCTCGACCTTCCCCTGTTAGATAAAAGAAATAATAATAATTAAAAATGAGTTACATTTTTTTTTTATTAGTGCACTTTCAGTTTCAAACTGGTTAAACTAAATTTGACGTCCAAAATTAATACTTGATTCCCAACACAGCACTCTGATGACAGTGAGGAACTCCGATTGCATGTCAGCAGGTGGCTGAGTTTGCAGGCAGTGGAATTCTACGACAAAGAAATTTCAAAGCTTGTACCAATTTGATGGTTTAAGTACCTCAATAGTATTGAAGTACCTCACAAATTAAGTACCTCAATTTGTTTGGCGACTGTGTAAAAAAGTAGTGTTTTAGCTGCTTTTTGTTATCGTACAAACTTTTTATTTGATTCCAAATTACTTACTTTCTGAATAGCCCTCACACAATTGTCTGCAGTACAGTTGACTCTTGACGATTCAACACTTATTAGTAATGTACTTTACTTATTTGCCACGCAATGTGCAATATCATTCATTACTGTGAGGAGAGGACCTTGGACTCTGACTGAACACCACAACTGTAGACACAAGACTCTTATCACACACTCAATGCCTTCTAACACACGTTCAGCATTAACGGTAAATACTCATATAAAATCTCTAAAAATCAAGTATTGGTTCCTTCTTAAAGGCTACAATAAAAACCTGTTTTAATAAATATTACTTTTTAAATTGCTTTAATTTGTAATTTGAAATATTTTTACAGGACCTGAAATATTCACCATCAAAAGATACAATCGCGTGGCTCCAAAGTTCGTCAGAGCTATTCTTTGTTTATGTAAAGAAACGGAAAACCTCCAAAATTAGAGGACACTCTGATCTGCCTTTCACTGACATTTTATGGAGTCCAGATGGCAAAAGTTTGGCAGTATTTTCTAGTTTGTCGGTATGTATACAAAAACTTGTTGAAGAATTACTAGGTACTAGGTACTTTTATAAACGTTGAATTCTCAGTCTTAGTGGAAAAAAGTTTAACTTCAAAAACCATTTAAATATTCTATAAATCTTCCTCAGCTGGGTAGTTTAGAGGCTATAGGGCTCGCTTGGAAATCAAAAGAAAGATTTTCATTTTGATCCACAGAAAAATCTGTAGTTTTTTAAGGTTCAAAACTGGACCCCACTGCTGTCCTTAATAAATGGTCTTGTCTATAGTAGTACAGGACGAATTTCACTTCATTCTACATGCCTCATTCATATATTGGTTGAAAATGCCCTGTTGGTAAAAATAATTATAATTGGTAACAATAATATTTTGTATTACATTCATCTTATTCTTTTAAAACACTAATCAGCTGTTGTTGCCAAAAGATCAAGTAGGATTTGTTTTGATTCCGGTCGTCAAGACATTATGCATGTTTCAGGTGTTTATTGACATATATTCTGTGAACTCAGAGCAGGCGTGTTGTGCAGCAAGTATCAGCGGGGCGAAAAATGACCAACTCGGACGACCGTTAGCTCAGTTCAGCCCTGACGGAGAATATTTTGCAACCGTCAATATTTCAACTCAAGGATACGCCATAACCATATACAACTCCGGTGATTCGTCTTGGGATTGTGTTCAAGTAAGCTATGTGTTATGTAGAAAATTCGATATGAGTGATTTGTCCAAGAGTTTCCTCAACATCAAACACAGTAAGGCTGTTTGGGCGCAAGCTTTTGAGAGTGTTTCACATTGTAAACTATTAAATATCTTAAATGAATTAGGAATAATTGGAAAAGAATTACAGTGGTTCACTTCATATTTAGAAAACAGAGAACAGTTTGTTGAAGTGGACTACATAATAGAGCAAAAGAATACTAAATATATTGAAAAGCTTAGATCTCAGCGGCAGACACTACGATATGGAGTACCCCAGGGATCGATCTTGGGGCCTCTTTTGTTCCTCTGTTACATTAAGGGGTTGCCAGAGATGATCCCGGTCAGTGATGGATCTATGTGTCTGTATGCCGATGACTCTAATGTTTTGTTTTCAGGAAAATCCAATTCAACTATTGAAAAATCCTCAAACAGGAGTCTTCAATCTATAAAAAAGTTTTTGGATGAAAGAAATCTGCTTATCAGCACAACAAAATCAAATCTAATATCCTTTTCAACTAAACAGTCAAAAACAGCATTTGAACCTAATATTTTTATAAAAACAGACAAAATTGATCAGGTAAACCAAACAAAGTTTCTGGGACTGGTCATTGATGAAAATCTATCTTGGGATAATCACATAAACTATGTAGTAAATAAATTATCATCTGGCGTTCATGCCTTGCGGCTGATGTCCAAGGTTTGCAGCTTGGAAACTCTTATGATAATCTATTATTCTTTATTTCATTCCCACATATCTTATGGAATCGCCATTTACGGAGCAACAACTAAGGAAAATTTGGATAGAATACTTATAAAACAGGAAAAAGCTATTAGAGTGATCATGAAATTAAAAAGAACAGATTCAGTTAAAAATATCTTTCCTGAATTGGGTGTGTTAACAGTTAACAGTTTGTATATTTATGAGACAATTGTTTTTGCAAAACAATTTCATTTATTATCCTCTGCAAGTAAATATAACACACGCTTTCAAATTAACCTTCCTAGACATAATTTAGAATTCTACACCAAAAAACCTTCATATACAGGATTAAAATTTCTTCAAAAATTACCCATTTCACTTAAAAAAGAAAATAATACAAACAGATTCAAAAGCCAACTAAAAGACTTATTGATAAGAAACCCATTTTATTCTATCAACGAATTTTTAAATAGTAATTTCGAAACGTTCATTTGAATTCCAGATACCAAATAGTTTTACTCTGACGTAATCAATTTTATAATTTGTTTAAGTAATAACACTCATTTTTTAGTTTTACTATATAGATCCTTTGTAATGAATTACTTTAATTATTTAGTTTATAATTTTTTCTTTATGTTAGTTTAATGACGCTATTTAAGACATATTGTCTAAACATGAATAAAGAATATTTGATTGATTGATTGATTGATTGATTGATTGAAGCTATGTCAGCCTTAGTCAGTAACACGACTACAAGATCGCGCCACTTATCCTACACTCATCTCCATTCGTACTTAGCTTAAGATATCTACCTTAGTATTGTCGCCATTTTAATTAAAAGTATTAAAGTAATAAGCGAATTGTGGCAACGAGCTCAGTAGTTCTCCAAGTCGCAGCCGACTGCTTTAAGCACGGTGGTTAGTGCGGCGTAGGCAATGCCGATGTATTTTGCTACGGAATATTTTATTTCCTTGTTACCCTCAGAAAACAAAATATTTTAATGAACTATGTCCAAGTAGGCTATTTTTAATTTTATTTCAAAGTGACAGGTATATTATTTTTTTCATTCTGTGACCAAATAATTTCAACAATTTTTTTAAGTACAATTTATATGAAACTTAACAAATTATTTAGGCAATATTCTGTCCAGACCCTACTATGTATAAACATTTGACAAAATGACCACTTTCAAGCCCCCCAAGTCCTATTTCATTTGTAAAATTGATATAACAACCATATTTTTTTAAATTTTAACCTAATACAATAAAAGAAATTTGAAAATAAATCTTCGGCTGATACTTTTTTTAACTCCTCTCATAGCTATAAAATTTTGAATTTCATAGTGCAATAACATTTTTGGGTTCAAGTTCATTTTGGGTGATAGTAAGTTTAAGCTATCTGAGGGATTATTATTCACATTTTCTACCACAACTAATTAAGATAATTAAAAAAAAAACTCTGTATATTTAGTAGGTACTAATCTATTCATAATTTACGACTAAGCGACAACTTACCCTTACTCAAGGTATCCCTGTTGTTCAGAGAATGGTGTGTAATGACAGCCGAGACGTCGGTGGACTACTGTGGTGTCTAGACTCGGCTAGTTTGCTGGTCTGGCAGTCAGGATCTTCGCTGCAGCTGCGGTTGTGGACTGCGGACGGAACTGTGGAACGCAGTCTTGCTGCAGACGATGCAGCAGTGAGCTGCGTCTGCCTGTCTGACTGCGGAAGAGTGGCTGCAGTGCTCACTGCTGACTGTAAGGTGTGTACGTTTTTGCGTTTTCATTCTTTGTAAACAAATAAAACAGCTTTAAAGCCAATAGAATCTGTACAAGCGTATACAACTAGAAATGCCTAGAACATTTTAAGATTATTTGATATGAGTTTTTTATTAGCCGAGTTGTTAGCACCAAGGACTTAATTGTACGCCTAATGGTTTGATCCTCGGCATATCTGAAATATTTTGAGAAGTTTTGGACCACTTTTTTTTAAAGTGTTTTTAGTTCTACCTCTACCTTACAAAATGCAGTCTACCATATACACTAAGATAATGTAAAACCTGGAAGTGGAAACCACCCAACTACTATTACAAATTGTATAAATATCAACAATACTTTAAAATGGTGTAGATACTTGCTTAAGGTAGTCCTTGAAACTGTGTGAAACTAGTTTCAGCTCTAAATTAAAGCCATCTTCAGGTTGTAAAGGGAAGTCCTATTTTAGTCATTCTCTGCTGAATTCCATCAAATTTCAAATATAAAACAGTATTTCCTTAAATTTATACAAACGACACAAAATCGTAAACATTAAAATCAGCTAATTTTAACTGTCCAATGAGCAACATATGAACTAAGCAACCTAGACTCAAGTTCCGTTGGTTTGTGTCCTGTAAATTGAACTGATTATTTTTTTAAATTTGACAGACTAAGCAAAAGATAACAAAAGTAGGACGGCCATCTTCAGTCTAAAGATGGCTTCAATTCAAAGCTAAAATTAGTTTCTAGAAGCTTTTTCATGGATTATTATTAAACGGGTATTTGAAAAAATATTATTATTTATCGCCCAATAAATATCCGGAGACTATAACACCATCATAAAGTTGTCACCTACCTTTGGTTTTTTCTAATTTAGTTTTTTTTTTTTTTTGGAATAAATGCTTGGTTGTTCATTTATTACATTGATATGGTCCTTTTTGAAATACTTTTTTGTGTACTTTTTCACTTAGGGTATATACTGTAGATATAAAAGATAACTTCACCAAGTTTTTACTGTAGCATCCGAATCATCGATAAATATTAAAAGTAGTTTTTGAAACTCAAGTGGTGCCGGTGCCATTCTCACTAAGTACTGGAATGTATACGGTACTTAAGTTTGTCGTCTTCTGCTGAATACGGTCATTTTTGTGGATGATTTTTTTAGTTGCTATGTGCAATATGTAGATTACTGCAAATTGGTACAGTTCTTACACCATTTTTAAAACAGACCAATTATTGTTCAAATCATTATTTTTTCCACTTAAATAATTAAAATATTACCTCTCAAATGTGTTTGTTTTAAATTGGATGATTTGCCCTCTTTGTTGAATGACCCTGCAGATTTTCATTTCATATTTTTGAATCCTTTTAAAATTATATTTTGCAGGTGAGAATATTGGATTTGCTGACCTGGCGTTTGGACATGACGGAGGTTTTAATCCACAATCCAATAATACACAAGTCTTCAGCAAGGAACAGACTGAAAGCACCAGATGATACTTCCATACAAGTTAGTAACTGTAAGGAAATTTCTGTATCTAGTTATATGATAGAAGAATGAAGTATATTTTGGAATTTTCAAAGTAGTTTTCACATCATATTCAGTGGGGCAAAATTCTAATTGACACAATGGAAATTACGAGGGTTGTTTTTTTTTCAACCTCCGATAGGCTATGAACAAAAGACAAGTTCATATTTTATAAAACATTAAATTTATTACCAAAAGTTTGGTCCATTTATGGTTACTTTTTGACATAATCACCAAAGAGATTGAGACATTTGCTATATCTGTGCACCAGCTTTTTAATACCCTCTTCAAGAAAAGTGGCCGCCAGTACATTCAAAAAACAAAAAAAAATCAAAAAACAAAAAAATGTCAAAAAAATAAAAAATCAAGAAAAAATAATAAAAGGACTTCAAAATTTCTAGAAATTCAGTAAACAAAGCAATAATGGTGAATTTGTGGTTTATTTAACCATCCTGTCAAACTGTTGAACCAAGTCATCTGAAACGACAGTAATGAGCTGGTTCAACAAGTTGGCAGAATGGTTAAATAAACCACAGATTCGCCATTATTGATTTGTTTACTGAATTTCTAGAAATTTTAAAGTCCTTTTTTTATTTTTTCTTGATTTTTTAACTTTTTTGACATTTTTTTGTTTTTTTATTTTTTGTTTGTTTTTTTTTATGTACTGGCGGCCACTTTTCTTGAAGAGGGTATTAAAAAGCTGGTGCACAGATATAGCAAATGTCTCAATCTCTTTGGTGATTATGTCAAAAAGTAACCATAAATGGACCAAACTTTTGGTAATAAATTTAATGTTTTATATGAACTTGTCTTTTGTTCATAGCCTATCGGAGGTTGAAAAAAAAACAACCCTCGTACTAGGTACTGATTAAGACAAGTGCATGTTTCAAACGAAATGTTTAACATGTACATTGAGTAGTCATTATAACGAAATATCAACGTTAATATGAGAAAATATACTATGTTATGAATATTTATTGTAATACCATGGAAGAATAAAATTTAGAATAACGTTCTGTTTAAAACCTTACTCCATATTGTATGCCCATTGGTCACAGGTCGTTTGACAATATTTTGCCTGAGTATAATTAATGCAAATTCTATAATTTTAGTGATTAAATATTAAATTGGTTGGAATAGAAAATTAGCGTACAGCACTTACAATATATACACAACACAATAATTATATTTCGTTCTAGTATAGGACTTCTTCAGGAAGTAGACAGATTACGTTTGCTAAACATCTTTTCTGTTCAATCAGCTGACTACAAAATTAAATTAGTTAGTTATGACAGAAGATTTATTATACATATTAAAGTATATCTAAACATTGTAATGTGGATATTCTTTTATGTCATGGAGACCAATCAATTACTCCCTAAAGCCTTAGCTTTCGGGACATTGAATGGATTCTAATCGTTGTGAAAAATATTGTTTCTAATTCAGCCCCATGAGTTTTGCCGCAAAAAAACAGACACGACACCTCGTTTTATTAAAGCATAGATTGATTAAACTTTTGGTTAAGTATTTCAGCTTGAGTTTACCTCTATTTCAGGTGAGAAAATAACAGAAACATTGTACGAACTGTATAACGACGAAGCGCCTGGTATATATTCTGCGTTGGCTCAGTTCAGTGTTGATGGACAGTACCTCGCTACTTACGTACCTTCATATCCGAACACTCTGTGGGTGTGGCGACTAGTGGATGATACTCCTCTGGACACCGTGATTGTACTCAATGAGGACACTAGCGTAAAAGGTAGGCCTGCTGTTAACACGTTGTCTCTGACAAATGTTTTCCTGATTTTTAAAGTTTTTAACAACTACGTGTAGACACCAGTGAACACTGTTTACTATGGTGATTATCGACTACAGGTTTATTTACTTGACAGAAAATATGCTGGGCAGTTTTTTGTTGTTGTTGCAAAGGAATTAGTTTGAACCCTACAGCTAAATAACGTTTGTCTTTATTTATGCCATTGACAGTTTTCCTGTTTCTTGTAAGGGAACAGTACAAGACAAACCCTTGTTTTTTATAACAATAAAAAGTTGCTTTGTACACGTTCACGCAGTTAACTACTCACGGGAGTGCGTGACGGGTTTACCAGTCAATTTAGCTACAAAAGCCATTTATGGCTTGTCCCCAGCAATTATTTTAAGCTCCATTGTTACCGAAGAACGTTATAATCGTTGCCAGCCTGTATTATAAAATGCAAGCTTTATTTTGGTGTAGGTTGGTACTAAAATTTCCCGTTGAATCCCGTCTGGCAATGCTTTTGTCCCGGTTTCGGGGATTTATCTCTTCAAGCCACATTACAAAGACACTGACTACGGATCTAGGCAGTGCTACTATAGGTTGGCCGCTTAGAAAGCGACCTGCACGCTAATGCTAACCAATGCTAGAGGAGGTTTCTAAGCGGCCAACCTATACCTTTGGGTGTTTCAGTTTCAGAGTTCTCTCGGGGTAACACAGTACTACCACCGCTGTTTTTTTTTTTTTTTTGATTTGTCAGACTGAAATATTTTAATGCCAATTGCGTTCACTGATTCGGTGGTGCGCCGGGGCTTTGCCCAGGGCTCGCTGCCATTGGCGAGCGCTTGTTTGATTAAAAACATTTGTTAAAAGCATTTTAATAGTTCACAAGACAATTAACTTGATTTTTCGCCTCTCCAAGGAGAGAAAAAGCAGTAGTTTGGATCAAATAAAACAATTAACTAATTGATCAACAAATAATGAATTTAAAAATTGGCTTTTTCTTGCTATATATTGTATGTGTCAACCATTGGAAGTGATCATTGTCCTAATAGCTAATCAGTTTCGACACAGTAAATACACATTATTAATATTCCAACCCAAATCCTCAGGACCAAGAGAGGCAGCACTATTTCAGGATAGTTGGTACTTTTACTCTTGTTTTACATAGCTTTGGTATCTTTTTAGGTATTTTCTGGCATAAGGAAGAAGCGATTTTGGGAGCCAATCTGAACCCAGGAAGAATTCTAGTTTGGACACCTGAAAAAACCGTAATTATAAACTGCAAAGACAGTCCTTGGCCTTTGACTGCTCAAGAATATCTAACTTCTGTAAAAATAAACGAAGAACTATCATGAGTCTGTGATTAAATATTATTTTTTAAACTTTTTATATTTTTATGTATTTTATTGCAAGTGTTGGATTTTTCATATTAAAATATTGGCATAAAAAGTGCATTTTAAGTTTGTGATGGTTTATTGTAGAGCCCTTTTATACAGTATTTTTTTTAGTGTCAATGAAAGTAGAGTTTTTAATAATGGAACCCAAACACTTTTATCCAACCACATTTTTTTGGACGTACCAAGGATCAAACCTACCACTCTTGATTCTCGAACCAAAGGTCCGAGATACTAACCTTTAGGCTAGCAACACATCTATATAAATAAAATTAGAGTTTTGTCTGTACATTGCTCAGAATTATATATTTTTAGGTTATTTATACGTCTTATACATCAAATAAGCAGAAACGAGTCTTATCTCAATTTCTGTCTGTCTGTCTGTCTTTTCCTCTGTCTGTAACACTCAAGACGGCATTTTACGCTGTCTTCTCCTGGAAAACGAGAGTACCTATCAAGATCCAAGTAATTTTAATGTATTCACTGGATTGGCGAGATTGTCTTTATTAAAATATGGCCTCACTACTTTGTAAATAATATTACGAACGTCCAAAAATGTAGTTTTGTGCGATTTATGTCAAGTTTTCGTCCAATTTTTATTGCATAATCATCTATGAAATAACGAACAGCTGTTCGGATCAAGATTATTATTCCTAGCTGTCACTGATATGTTTACAAATGTTGTTTACAAATACCGCAACCTTTTTCAATCACGTTTTGAATGCAAATCCCAACCAAGTGAGATTAAAAACGTTTTTCTTGCATAACGGATTTAATTAATCGAAAGTGCAATAATATAGTGTAATAGTGTAACCGTAAATGAAATTAAATAACTAGGCATCATCCAGTTCAGGAACCAGAGATTCTTTGTGTATAAATTGTTCTTGAGTTTTGATAACCAGAAAGAGGACCTTGAATCAGTGTTGTATACGGCTGGGAAACTTAAATTTAATAATGATCGTCGCCAATAGCTTAGAAACATGGTTTCCACTCATTGACGGCACTTCAATGGCGGTTGTGTAAAGTGTAAAGTAAAAAATCACAACTGCAGTGGGTGATTGTAACAGAGGTTTATGGATTATGCTAAACTCGCTTTTCTAATGTGTTATTTTCTGTTCCTACCATTGACTATATATATATAGTGAATAGTACCTACTCAACGTGTGATGCAATCGCTGGACCTAACAGCCAATAGGCCCATAGCCCATCTCTTGGGTACGTACGCCTACCCAATTATTCATAACAACCTTTTCGACGACGATCCTTGATACCGGTACTTTTCCCTAGAATACACGGCCTACCTACTTAAGAAATAAAATTATAAACGTCCAAAAACCCAACGTTGTGTGATTTTTGTCACATTTCCTTCTAATGTTAATAGATAGCCTATACCAATAATTGTTTAGAGAATACGTAATCTATTAAATAACAAAAAGTTTTTTTTTTCAAACTGACACCGATAAGTTTACATTAAAAGTTGTTTACAAATAAAGCAATTAATGGGAAATAACTTTGATTGCTGTTTTAAAATGTTTTACGAGAAAATCCAAAACCAAGAGATCAATAACCTCGGGACTTGATTAACTCATATAATTGGTCAGCTGTGCTATATTTCTCAACTGTGAACGTTGGTTTTTGGTACCGGTTCTATTCCTTAGAACCGTTGGTACTGTTGGTAGCAGCAAGAATCATTTTTAAGTACCAACACATCACTGTATTTTACAAATTAGTTATCGTTGGTGTTGCACCTTATTTATTACAGGCGTATTTAACTTAATTGATGTCTTAACTGTACAATTTTTGCTTTTTCTTTCTTGATTCCAAAATGTTTGTTTATGCTAAGAAAACGATAACGCATTTTAGTAAAACATTTATTCAGCAAACCATCATGAATTGTTTAAATGCTTTACGTTGTTTATGTATCAATAGTTCGTGGCCTATTTTGGTAATTTTTATTATAAATTACCAATCTAGATCGTCTATAGTACTTCATTTCATATAGTAAGCCGTCATTTCGGGTCATCATCGGTCCAAGCAAATATAAATTGTTATGACGAAATTTGATGACATTAATAAAGATTTCAGATACTTATTTTATAAGTACTTTGTTATGCTTAAAGCGTAGCAAATTTCCTAATTAAGTTCTGTATTTTTGTGTGTATGTCTGTTAGTAAAGCATTAATGTCCTTATTTCTCAGTGTTTCACGGAAAGGACAAAAGCACCTTTATAATGAAAATGTCAACCTGAATAAAGTGTTAAATTGTGAGGTTGAGGTAGTACCTTAAATACTTTTAACCATTGTGGAAGGTAACTTTCAATTATAGGCCTACATTAGGGCTATGCCTCATAGATCTATAAAGCATTTTTTAGTTTAATCATTGGATTTAACATATGGACCAACACGACCGAGGTTACATTTAATTTCGAAGCATTTGTTTTGGCTTAAAACTATCAGATACTGTATTTGTGAAGGTTTATATATAATAGTTTTACCAGCATATCTGAAAATATGCAAACCAACTTCTGTTCTTAATGAGAAGGTTTCAACTGACTACAATAAGATACCCGTGCGTAAAACGGGCACACAGCTAAACTACAATACAATTGTTCACTAGACCACTATTATGAGATGGGATCTTAAGTAGGGCATGTTTTAACACATGCAAATATGGATGGAACATGAGCTGGTTTCTTTATTTTGTTACTGACTTAAATCAGCTGTTTCCTCAGTCAGAACTGTTTTAAATTGAAATCCCAATGATCATGGACAAGGTCCAGTTTCAAACAATCAAATAGCTAATCATGATAAGTTTTTCCGACGACAAATTATGTAACCAAATGTTAATTATTTTTAACAATTAATTTTTAAACTTGTTGATATGCTGAAAAACAGTTAGTAAGCAATTTATTTAAGTCAAGAATTGGCAGTCACTCGATAGTGATTTTGATGGGGACAAAACAACAACCACATTGGAAATATGTATAAATTTACTAAATATTTATTTTTTGACATAAAAAAATGATACATTGTAATTTAATTAGCACAACAATACAATGTATCACTTATCACATAACTATAAAAACAAAACTTTAATAACTCTTTCAAAGAAAAGAGATATAAAACTTAAAATAAAAAACTAATCTACAATTTGTTTAAGAAATAAAAAACAACTACTGATATATATGTGATTAACATGTCACTATAAGTCTTTTATTGTAATAAATATAGCACTTGGTTGGGAGTATAAAATCCACAAACTACAATTTTTTTAGTCCGTGTGCCAGCCCAGTCACTGGTAAGTCGTACTTTCCCGGGGATTTCAACACTCGGGAAAGATCTCGGAGCCGGTCGCAATATATCAACTATCGCAGAGATCATAGTGAATACTGAACCTAACCGGCAGCTCGTGTTATTCAAACAAGAGAGAACCGGCCGCGTAGCTCACACTGGAGTCGTTCATATTGCAGCATTGACTCGACTGCGCGTACTTCAAGAACTTGAGATTCATCCTCTCCGTCCGTTGAAGATACGTGGCCGCCTGGGGACAGAATTGAAAGATTATACAGTGAAATAAATTGGTAACTGGCAATTTGAAAGCTACATAAGTTAATTACAAGTGTCCCTACATGCACGCCTGAAGTGATAATTAATAGACATGTTTTAGCCCCTGTGCTGAATTTTTGACTATAATATAAAAATATAATTACCTCGTCACAGCTATGTAGTTTCCGTGTACATCAAAATGCCATAAACAGATGTGTGTATCCACCATATTTGGTGTTGTCAAACTTTACAAACACACTAAACACGATAAAAAACATTAAAAAACATATAGAACAAGAGACAAGCCTGTCGACGCACATGATGTCCGATACGAGTTCGGAAGCTGGCAAGCTGAGTACGGCAACATACGCAGTCAGCCTTCGGACATCATGTGCGTCGACAGGATTGTCTCTTGTTCTATATGTTTTTTAATGTTTTTTATCATGTTTAGTATGTTTGTAAAGTTTGACAACACCAAATCTGGTGGATACACACATCTAATGATGGCATTTAGATGCCAAAACGGCCGTAAAATACGGAAACTACAGAGCTGTGACGAGGTAATTACATTATTATATGAAGTGAATCGCCCTTGGTGCCAGACTAAGGAGGGGGTCTAGTGAACTTACGTAGCTAATTAAGACATGAAATGTCTTCCAACATTCTATTGGGCCTGATGATGAAAATAGGACTGGCCAATATTAATTAATTAAAGTATTTTAAATATTTATTTATGATCTGATTGTAAGTTAAAAGTAAGTTACAGTATGATTGTAAATATATCAAGTAGTTTTAGAAGATATATTATAATTTTATCCTGGTGTTACAACACGAGCTAAAAATACATTTGAAAAACATCTTGCCTGTTTTTTTAACGGTTTCTAAAGATAATTGACAGTTTTGAACTAAGCGTTACCTGAAGCAAAACCCCAATGGGATGTCTACCACAAATGGTGTTGGCGTAGCGTTTCAAATAATCGGTGAACGCAGCAGGGTTGAGTGTCTCGATGATGTCCATACCCTTCACAAACATTTTAGGATCAATTAAATCACAAACATAACACATAATTTAATGTAAAAAGTTAAATTTGATTCACAATTATATTTCCATATTTTAACATTAATAAGGGTCAGGAAACTGAGGCTAGGCACAGGCAACCGAATACGAATAGGAATACTAGAAAAATACCGGTATGGATCATAAACAAAACAAATGACGTTTTTGGCACGAAAATAAACATTATTTAACATTGCTTAAATGGAACTGCCAAAACACATGTTCAATGCTATTATTATAGGATTCGGGTCAACAACGTCATTTGTTTATGTTTATGATCCATACTGGTATTTTTCTAGTATTCGTGCTGGCAACCAATTACAGAATTGAGGCTGAGATGGACACACTTAGACAGGTTTATTCTAAGTGATTGCGGGCCAGAGTTTGTTACTATAGGTTTAGTCAAAATCTGGTTATTTTGAAAAATATTGACTTAGGTTTTATGAACAAAATATTAATTGCAGTTCTGCACCTGGCTATACATATTACTGAACATGATCTTTTCCTATTGCGGGGAAATGGTGAAGATCTTTTGCGGAAACAACAAAATCATGCACATCTTCCTCGATCATGACAAAACCTAAAATATATTCTGCGTTCTTGGCGAAATTTTCTGCAGAAACCTCAATACAGTATCATAATATTTATTTTATAACAGACCCCTAGTTAATTCACATTTGATGAAATTCCCCATTTGGAGATTAATACCTTTTTTTATGTAAAACAGCAAAAAGCAACTTTTTTTACCAAATGCGGAAGATAGATCTTCGTTTGAAGTAGGCCTAGTAATAGGTTGAATCAAGTCAATCATCAACGTTGTTGATTTGAGTTAACTCAAGTTAGTCCATTTCCAACTTGGATTGAGTGGCAGCTATTTGAATTACAGTTGTAAGTCTGTCTGTCTTGAATCAGCTACACAAATCAGGTCCCAAACTCATTAAATCTCCAAAAACTAGAATGAAACGGCAAAACATACGACAACGTGGCGTTGAGTAAACTTAAATTTGAATAGGCCTACTATCATAGTAAAACCATAAACAGAGCCGGTAAATCAACAAAACCTTTATTTATTGAATCCTTTAGTTTAGAATAGTTTTATCATTCAATTTTGTTAACTCACATCATAACTCATATCTTATTGATTACTATTTTATTTTTATGTTCTGATAATTGAACTATGACAATGCATCTATTCTGTGTGTACCAACACACGTAAAAAATGTTGGGGAGTGTTTTAAAAACTTCTACGAGTTAACGCTATTTAAGCGAGTTACGTACACTACTTTACCTACGATAGTGTTTTAATTACTATAAATCACTACTCATAACTTCTGAGAGGTTATGTTTTCGTTTATAACCCCTCATAGCCACTGACAGTGATAAAGGAGAACATTGTACCAAAAACTAATTGCAGCACTCAACAATTAAATTGGCCTGAACAGCTGATCATTTGAAGTTCGAGAGTTCTTGAACCTCATTGGTCTGTTACACGTGTTTTTATGAGCAAAACTATGCTGTCATGAAAGTGAACGATGCTGTTATATGAAACTTTCAATTAATTCTAAGAACTAAACTGAAACGGCTACTTTAAAAAAACGGTCATAGGTAAATAAATATCTTTGTATTTATATTATAGTTGTATAAACCATTACTTACCATCCGATCAAGTTTGGTGATGGACTGGTAAATCTCTCCCCAGTTGCGATCGTAGTAAGTGTAGCGGAAACGCTGCCCCCAGTGACAGAAGTCGGACGAGATGATGAACAAGTTCTGCGGTTCCGCTAGATACCGAGCAAAGATGTGACCGTACGCAGCCTCACGCTCGGGGGTCAACGAGCCGACTAGGACCGGCACAATGGTGAACTGATCCTTGTACCTGAGTTAAAGAAAACCATCAAATTCTTCCATCATACTTTCAGCATAGACAAATAGAATTAATATAGACTGTCAAAGGAAGGTTCCGGCGCCCACCGCTAGGAGTGCCGTGTAGTTACTGCACACACCGCTGCAGGCGAGGAGCGCAGGAGCCGTATGCGACCAGCAGACGCTGCAGCGGTGTGTGCCGTAACTACACGGCAAACCTAGTGGTGGACGCCAGAACTGACAGTATATATTTATTCTATTATATGCTTTCAGATAAGATTCATATAGACACGCCAGTATGCAAATTTTGGTGAAGATAAATGCTAAGCTTTGACTAGGATCAACTGATTCTTAAGCTTGGACAATGGGCAATTTATTAAAAGCCTGATGATTAAGGAAAGCTGGGTCCAGTTTATAATTATCAATAACCTACTGATATTTCTCAAGATCAACTCAGATTTTGATTACTAGACAAGCATTATTATCCATTCAGCCAAATAAACTGTTCACACAAACTTTTATTATAAAAAAAATGTTAGATCTATGTGAGAAAACAACATTTTTTTAAACAGTTTGCTAAGTGGGTTTCAAAGTTAAAACATTCGCCTACTAGATTACTCGTAAAAAGAGTATAAAATCATAGTACTGGTACTTAAATGCAATAACAATTATTACATAAAATCACTGCTTAACATGAGACAAAAACGATTAATAAAATTTGATTTTAATTAGGCTACTTTTAATGATAATTGCACCACTTTTTATTTTGTAAAACTATATTTTAAATTTTTTTTAACTTTATTTAATTTACAATTTGTTCAAAAGTTGAACAATAAGCAAATGAAATAACAATACAACATTAACTTGAAGAACATGAGCTAGTATTGACCACTGCCAACACTAGCTAACAAAGAGAATTTTGATAACACTTAGCCGAATCTGAATGAAAGGTCCAATATCGTATATCGCTTCAGTCTGTAAATGGTGTTGCGATTGTCCAATAAATTAAGTGTAAGACGATTTTGAATTATTATAGGGATGGTCAAGTCTCGAAATTTCGGGAAATTTTCGGGAAATTTTCAATCTCGTTACACGAGACGAGATTACTTTTTGGCCGAGATTTTTATCAAGACGAGAATAAAAAAAAAAAAAAAAAAAAAAAAAAAAAAATTAAAAACGCCTGCAGAAAGTCAATGCAATACCCGCAATACAGGAGCGTGTTGTAGTTGCGTTTCCTTTTCGAAGGCGTTCTTATTTAATTAATTCTTTTAATGTAAATATTACTTTAATTCTTTTAATGTAAATATTACTTTCATTATTTTAATAATATTACTTTAATAACATTTGAGAAGTTTTGTTAAGTGTAAGCAGTGTGAGGAATGTTTTATTACTATAAAAAAAAGTCAAAACAAGTAACTATTTTATAAAAATTAATATTGCTTTTATTTTATGATTTATTTTATTTTAGGATAAGTTGAACTCTATCCTAACTGATATCACCATGTTTCCTAATCGTAGGCATTTTTAATAAGTTAGGCGTGATTAATAAAAAAATGTTATGCTGATGTTATTTAATGAAAGATTGTAAATATTCTTGCCTATTATCATTATTTTAGTATTTAAACAGTCATCTAACAATGTTACAAAATCAGGTAAAAATTTCGAACATGCATTTCCCGTTGTGTATGAGAAGAGAAATCTCGTCTCGATCTCGTCTCGAAATTTTATGAGAAATAAAAAATCTCGTCTCGTCTCGTCTCGAACTAAAAATCCAATCTCGTCCATCCCTAAATTATTATTTTTCATCTAAATTGTCCTTAACAAACATAGCCTACTACTTTGATTTTATGATGAAGTGATTCTTAAATGGTCATCTTTCAGTCACGAAGTAATCTTTAAAAGGAAAGATAGTATTGTGTTGTTCATATTTCCAAAGAAACGAGCTTTGAAGCCTATTAAAATTAGCAAGATGTTATAGGGTATCCTCGTACTATTATGTTTTTTTTTATACATGTCTAAAAAAATGTTCATAGTATCTATAAATGTATTTATGTACGCTTATCTATATATATAAAAGGCAAAGCCCTCACTGACTGACTCACTCACTCATCACTAATTCTCTTACTTCCCATTTACCTAGGAGGCTGAAATTTGGTACACTGATTCTTTAGGCATTAAATAGGAAAACTAAGTTGTTTTTATCCTGATCGGACTCTCGGGCACCGCCCCAGTGGCTCTGGAGTTTCCCATGTTAACCTTATGAGTACTCATGTTTAAATGGAATTAATGAATCTTAACAGCTGTTTCAATTAAACAAGTTGGTTCTGTTCTATGATGTTCAATAGCATTAAAGTTACAAAAATTACCAACAGGGTGCAGTACTATTATTTTTTTTAATTTATGACAACAGCTAATTTGCAACTAATTTGCAAGGTGAGTGAGCGTAGCGAACGAACTTCAACCTGGAAGCGAGTTAGCGTAGCGAACGAGCTAACCTGAAGGCAAGTGAGCGCAGCGAACGAGCTAACCTGAAGGCAAGTGAGCGCAGCGAACGAGCTCTAACCTAAAGGTGAGCGAGCGTAGCGAACGAACTTCAACCAGGACGTGATTGATCCATGCAAACGAGCTCACTTATGAAGTTAAACGGGGCAAAGCCCGCGGGTACAGCTAGTCATGTATACTTGTGTATATTTTGCAAGTATATTTGATTTGAATGTAAACAAACTAGGTATTTTTTCAAATTATTTTTAACTGACAAAACAACTAATTTACAAACTAAGTCTCAGTAATAGCTAAAAAGAGTAAATAATAGAAAAATACAACTAGCCGCCGTATGTAATAATCATGAAATTGCGATTTTACCTATGATCAATAGAATTATACACTTTAAAAATCCACATACTCTTCCATTATTTTAGCTATGAAGGGAAGATGCATTTCAATGCTGTGTTCATCTTCATCCACTTCAAGATTCATTCGGTCAAACTGACCGGCAGCGTCCAGTTCTGCATATACTGCAACAAAAAGATAAATAAACTATTATTGGTCCAAGACTTGATCATTTGCAGACAACCCTTCACATTAGATAGATGTACCTTTAAAGCTCACTACCAGTTGTTAAATATTAATCACTGGTAGATAATAGTTTATCTATTTATTACATTCAAGGTTTCGGGCTTTTCCCTCCCAATACATGTACAGTAGACCCCCTCTTAACCGACCCTAATGGGACCGGACCTAGGTCGGATAACGCAAAAGGTCGGATAAAACGGATAATCCCTAAAATCATAACATGATGAAGTGCTATTCATTTGGAATTATATAATCATTATTTTGAAGTCATACTAGCATTATTTATAAAATAAACTACTCTTATCTCCTTTTTCATATTGGTAGAAAAGTCACAAATAAACACAAAACACGGTTAAGTCAAATAGGCCTACTTTCAGTGGAATATATTATAATACTAGGCAAGAGTCAATAAAATTCCTATTTTAATAACTTTAGTACTGCAATGTATTAATTGATGCTTTCCAAATACATTGTAATACAGTACAGAACCTTTTGTTGACATTAGATACAAGCGACCATTTTGTTACAAGACAGGACGTTTATTTATAGCCTCTCACTGAAGTCTCGAGGCACAAAAACTATCTTGACCTTGGATTGGATAACCCCCCATCCCTACAAGTTGCGTTGTTTGTTTACTCCGGCGATAAGATAATCAGTTCTCAAAATCGTGACGCACTTTATGATGTTATAAATTTGCCGCGCAGATAAGTTTAACAAATCAGATCAGATGTGCTCGAATACAGATATAGCTACGAACGATGATGACAAACTGACAATAGGCTATGCTATATTTTTTGTGATCAACACAAAATAACTTAGGCTATTGTTAGTCATATCCTGTGGAGATAAGCGTATGGTTCAGTTCTCATCGCCCAGCGTGGGAGCGGAAATGCCGAGATTCCTAGAAAGCGGCGGTTAAACCGAGCTGCTCTCAAAGCAAGGTCGGTTAAAACAAACTGCATTATTTTACGATCGAAGGCGGATAATCCGAGTATCGGTTAATACGAGGTCGGTACAAAATGTGTCCAACTCAGTTTTAAGTCTACAACAAACTTCTACAAACTAAATCAATAGGTGAATGTACAGGTTGATAGTCAGTCTCAGCAACTATTTAGACTAGGCACTTATTGCTGTGAAAACTACGTCCGAGCTTGTGTCATCATACTTCGCAAATATCTCTATTTTGGCTTACCTTAAATCTTGTGCATCCATCCAGCAAAATTTCCTTTTATTTATTAAAGTATTTTGAGTAAAAAATTGGAACTAATTGAATTTACACAATTTAATCATTAAGTGGTGATATTTTGTTCATACTTAGTCTACAAACTTCGTAGTGAAAAAATATTTACAAGAGAAAAGACTGCTATACCTTGGGTATCGATTCGTAGATCATACAACGGAGTTCGGTACTTGACAGCAGACGAGAGTGCGCATCCAGCGAGCCGCACATGGTGGGAGGGGCCAAGGATGAATATCCGCTGCCTGTAAGAAAAAATTGATAAGCATGAATGAACATAAAATATAGGCTACACCAAAATTTTATGTACAGCCAAGGTATAACTTTAACACCATACTTTAACTTTACTCTAAGGATTTAAACATTTCAAGAAAGAAACTGACAGGTTTTATTGTTTTTTTTTTTTTGTAAACCTTTATCACCTATTTACATTTTTTTAATATAACGCTCCGAACCCTAGTCTTGCCGATGTTCTGTTCGAGCATCATTAATTGATAGCCAAATAACAAATAGCATCTGAGTATGGAAAAAATCTAGCTTGTAGACTTATCAAACCAGGGACCTACAGAATTTGAAGGTACGAGCACTATAAATGCTCAGCTGTACCTGGAACGTAGACAGTTGATTTTACAAGTTAGCAATGGTTATTTATTATCTAGACTTCTTCTTGCAACTTAACATTAGGTCTTCAGTATTTTGTCTTCTTATTCCTTTTTGGTCCACATAACTTTATAGTGTAAAACTGTCATGCAATAGTAACTGTATAACTTAAATCTATTTTTATAAAGTACAAAATATATTTCAAGGCCAACTTACACAACTGCTGGACTGATCTGACGATAGGCAAAGGCACTGCAAGCCCCACAGTACTGGTATCCTGCATGTCTGAAAATCCACTTTAGGTGAAAACAGGTTTACGTTGGGTACAATTACAATTAGGCTACAAAGTTAAACAACACACTTGCATTAGACCCTACATTCAATTTAAAAAATATTTTAACTTACTTAGAAAAACATGTTGCAAAATTATTACACTAATAAAACTTAACAACTTATTTATAGCTAGAAGCATCTTTGGCTAATTGATGTTCTAGGATTAAAAATTAACCTAGAATAAGTTAAGTTATACATCCAGAAAAATATATGAAATTAGGCTATGTTCCATTACATTCAGTAGCCTAAACTGTTGTGCTGAAATAAGTTGAATAGAAGAGTAGGCCCTACTATACAAGCATAAATATCAAGTGAATAACACTCACGGGGCAATGATAGCACGCGCTGGTCCATGTGTTAAATCAGCAGCATTCAGCCAATTCTCCAGCTGTTTGTTAAGCTCTTTACCTAAGATTTAAAACATGATTAAAAGCGTAGGGCTAAATATTAAAAAAGTCAATACCGGTAAATCAAATACTGTTTTAAACTTAACAAAGTCAAACCAGTTAGGAGTGCACCATTAATTCATGATTGTTTTGGGTCCTAGCCTACTTTTACATAAGTTATTTTCTTGATGACTCTTAAAGAAAGTATGCCTTGTAGGTTAAGGTGGCCTACCTAGATTCAGGGCCTTTTTATGCATTTTTTCAAACTTCTATAAAATTCACATTAAGTTAGGGCCTAATTTTTTTATCAAATTATTTGTTAAATGTTACAAAACCCTTAAATAAAGTAAACTACTGGTATTGAGTTAGAAGTTCAGGCCTATTGACATAAGACATAAGACATTTATTGATCTTTAGGCAAAATTACATGCAATCGATCTTGTCATGGACGCTTGAAATGCACAAGACAGTCCTATAACGTAGTCATTAAGTTTATGTTTAAACATCCTCAATCAATCAATTATTGGTCTAATAAAAGTAGGCCTAAATCTTTATATAGGTAGGCTTTATGTCATTGAAGGCGCTTCCTCTGTATGTTGACTAGCCTATTGATTTTTATATAAATGATATTTTATATATTGAATTAGATATTGATAATTATATAATTCATAATTTATCTTATAAGTACCTATTTTTTGTGCATGTAAACCTTAATTGATGTAGCTTGATTGCATGTACTTGTTTATTATATTGACATGATCTATTGCATTTTATGTATAATGTTTAATGATCAAATAAATCTATCTATCTATCTATCTATTGACTAGCCTGTTGACTATTGTAAACCAATTACCGTAACTTATAATCGAATGGTCAATCCTGCAAGGAAAAGGCTAGTCAACATACAGAGGAAGCGCCTTCAATGACATAAAGCCTACCTATATAAAGATTTAGGTCTACTTTTATTAGACCAATAATTGATTGATTGAGGATGTTTAAACATAAACTTAATGACTACGTTATAGGCCTAGCCTACCCACTATTAGGCCCTATAATACAGTAGGTATCTTGTATTTCCTAAATAGCAAATGGTTTGAGGGCTGTACCGTGTTTGAATTTTGACTCAAAAGAAGCTTTTTGTTGTGGTTTAAGATTTTTTAAATCAGGAGTTTAAGGGGATTCGCCACTGAAAAGGGTGAATTTTTTTATTTAATGAGGAAAGTCGTGAAACTATTTTTTTAGTAGGGTAAGAATATTGTTTAACAAAATATGGAAAAGTTTTGGTTTACTTCTAAATATAAATTGTATAGGTGGTAAAAAAATAAAATAGAGGTTTTTCGATCATTTTGTTAGGGGTTTTAAAAATCGATATTCTGAAGAGAGTTCTTTATGGATTTTAATAAATTTGGTGTTTTTTAAAAGACAGTTAATTATCTAAACGTAATATTTAGGTAGATTCATAATAATATCTCAGATACTTTTTTTGCTGTGACACATTAAATATAATTTTTCTTCAGAAAAAAGAATTAGTTTGAAAAAAACGTTATTGTTCAGTACCTAATTAACTTAGATACCTAATTCTACCTAAATATTTTCCTAATATTGTCTAGAATAAGTACCTGTAGTAAAAATTTCAACAATGTACCTTTAAGTTAGTGGCTCTCAAGATATATCAAATGTTGTTTTGAAAAACGTGAAATTTCAATGTTGCGGAAAACCGCGTTTTAATAAGAAGGTGTCCTATGATCTTGTAGCTATCGTAAAGAGCGAAACCCCTTGGTTATAACATATACCGTTAACATTCATACATGGATTATCATACTTTTTGGATGTAATAGGGTCCAATGTACAAAGAAATGTGAAAAAATATTTTTACCATTTTTCATGATTTTTACCTATTTTCAGTGGCAAATCCCCTTAATCGGCAAACTTCTGTAGGCATAGGCTACTAAAGATATCGTTAATTAGGCCTATCAAACACAGGGGTTTTCTTAAAAATGATGGGCCTAAAAAAGTTTGCGTGAAGAAAACCCTGTAATTTGAATGGCTAAGGTAATTCTTCATTTCCAAGTGGAAATTAAAATAATTAGCCTACGAGAAAGTAGCTTCCATCGACTTACTGGAATCGGAATACCAACTTCCTGAATGAGTAGCTCGTCTTGCAGCCATTGTAACTTTATGTTAAAGAAAAAGTTACAATATCAATTTGAAATGTTTTAATATCTACACTCTTTTTAAGTAGCCTACAATCAAATGCTCCTCGTGCACTTAAATAAGTGTAATATAAATGTTTAGTTAAAAACTCTTTATGAATAATTTCATCCAAACAAAGAACTTTGAACTAAACAAAATACACACTTCACAGAAATCAGTAGTTTTAGACAGATTACAGACAGAAATTAGACAAGACAACAGAACAGAACAGAATAGAGAAGAAGTAGAAGTTGACACTTGCAGTTTGCAGTCAGCAGAGCAGATAAAATCAGTGTGACCAAAAGACTACTTTGACTTTAGTGTATCCCACTGGCCACGACGGATATGCCAATTTTACCCACTTAATATTTATATAAAAGCATGGATTGGGATAAAAAAAACTCTTTTATTTGTAAAAATTACAAATGTAATAGTGGTTAATATATATCGAGTAAGTCTAAAGCTACGTTTCCATTCCTACAAATTTGTAGGAATCTTTCGTTATGAAGATGTATGATGTATCCTTGGAGCTAAGCCACCTCCTTTTCGTCCCTTGTCAGTCAGGCGTAAAGTCTCCGATCTAATGTTTCTGAAGAAGATAATCTCAGCTGACTTGTTGGGAAGAATCGACCTTCGAGTGTTGAAATCGACAAGATCTACACAACTGTTTGAGAGGAGATATTGCTCTACACAATATGTGTGCCACAGCACTATGCCACGTCTCCATCGCCTTGGAATTGGAAACTGTCTTCCTATTCCTGACCACTTCTTCTCCATGTCCGAGTCCGATGAAGTCTTTAGAAATGGGCTGAAGAGCTTCTACGCTTTAGCTGCTGTTGAGATTATTATACTGTTACTTGCTTTTTTGTTTCTTTATCATTTTAGTTGTTGTTTAAATGATTTATTTTAGTGTTACTTGTTTTTTGATTCTTTATCTTTGTTAGCTAATTGCCGAATTTGTTGCATGTTGATTGTCAATTATTGTTGTTATTTATTATTATATGTTGGTATATTTTTGATACATTCTTATTTATTAGGGTATTTTTAGTCAGGTCATCTTCATGTTATGTATGAGATGTATTATTATGTAAGTCTGAATGCAACGTTTTGCCATCATTGTAAGTATATGAAAATGAAGTTTTTCGTCTGTAAATAAATAATAAACAAATAATTTGTGCCGGGCACATCTCATCTCCGAATTTATCTGGGGAGTATGTTTTATCTATGGTTTTAGCGCTGGAGTCTCTGAATTTTAGAAGGTTGACCTGAGTTGTAAAGTCTAATGCTGCTGGTTAATGGAAGTTTCGTAAAGAATTTTAAGGTCATTTTATTCTTGATGAAATCTTCTATAGGTTTCATTCCCAGTTCTAAATGTATTTGACGGGTTCGAACATAGCAGGGTTATTTTAGAATTATCCTTAAAACTCTATTTGTATACGTCTGCAGTTTACGAATTGAGCTTGATGAAGCAGTTCCCCTTACCGGGCAGGCGTACAACAATATAGTGGACGTAGAAGTGTTTTATAGCGAGGGTTCCATTTTTAATAGGAAAAAATGATTTTTTGTTGATTAAAGGAAACAATTTTGATAATCTACCATAAGCCAAATTTAATTTGTTATTAATATGAAAATTCCAATTTAACTTTCGGACGAAGTATACACCTAAATATTTTTGCTTGGTCAGGAAGAGTTCCATGCAATTTGTTCATCAAGAATTTCAATATTTGGAGAATCCGACGGCTCTCGGAGGGTAAAAATCTTCGCTTCACTCTTATTCGGATTTATGGCTATTCATACTCCATTTCGTGAACCATCCCATCAAATCGTTTGAGGAATCTTGAATGTTATTGGCCACAATTTCGATGCCATGGTGAGTAGAGTAGAAAAGGAGGGTGTCATCAGTAAACACGGCTGTTTGGATCTGAATGGCAAATCAGAAGTTTATGATTTGAGCTTTATATTTTGTTATGAAACGATAAGCTTTTGTTGGATGAGCTATCGTTTAAGCTAGGCAAATATTGAAATAACAAGAAACAAATTGTTAACAGAAAGACTAACCAGAGGCACCGGGCACCGGACGGAACTTACGTCAGCTCCACAAGGATGACTTAAGTTATGGAATATGATTACCAATATATGTTTTACGGTTTTACTTAGGATTAGGAATATGTTTGGTTTTGGCTAGCAATAGACTTCTGTACTTGATTTAATTTGATGCTTAATCAAATGAAGCATGATTGATCCATATTGATATAATAAGGAATTAACATGTTAGAATTACCTATACAGTTCAGTACTTTGTATCTACTATTATTTTTTATTGAGTTAAGTTATTAAATTAAGTTATTAATATTACTATTATTAAGTCAAGTTAAGTAGAACCATAGACTAACCAACGTATGTTTTATCATGGATAAAACATAGGAGTATGTTTTATATGTTTAATCTATGGTAGAACGCATTTTTTAACAACCTCTCTGTTTACAAATTTGCTGTTATTTTGGCATGGTATAGCTATATGGAACAGTAATGTTCAGCGCAAACATTGCTGCTGTAAACCCCGTAGCTGACTAAGCCGGCTGATTGGTTCCGTTTCGTTTCGTTGTCGTTTGTCTTGTTGTCTTGTCGATTCGGTCTTCTGAACGCCATATTTGACGCCATCAGACGCGTCTCTGTGGCCCCCGAGTTTAATTTTATAAAATAAACAAAGTTCAGATCCCTTTATACCTTAAATACTATCATCATCATGTCAAACAATGCTGTAAAGACGGAAGTGAAGCCGGAAAAGAGGGAAACCAATGGACCAGAGAATTCTCATCCTCAAAATCAACACCAACAACACGGAGGCAGAGGAGGTGGCGGCGGTCCCCGTGGTGGATTTAGAGGTGGAAGAGGAGGACCAGGTGGTCGGCCTGGACCTAATCGGTTTCAAGGATCTCCTGGAGGAAGGGGTCGACCTGATGTAAGTACAGATATATTTTCATTTTCTGAGAAAATAAGTTTCAAATGGAAGCATAGGCTTAGGCCTAGGTTAGGCACGATAAAAGATAGGCCTATAAAGTCCTACTGACCTAGGCCTAGGGCCTATTTTAATTAATTCATGTAAACCCTAAGCTAGGCTAGGCTACTTAGGTAGCTTTCCTTAAGCCAGAAATGTTTTTTTAAGTAGGCCCAGGCCTACCTAGCCTACGTGGTAGGCTAGGCCTGACTTAAGTTAACTTTAATAGACCTATTTTGTGTACTTTGATATCATCCGGAGGCCATCCTAGTACAGCATACTGTGGCGGTCATGTTATGTTGGGTTATCACAAATATGTTTGTAGAATTTCCCCTTTTCATTTAGAATCAAACAATACCAGATGAGTCTTAAGTTACTTTCGCATGTCAAATCCCCTCCAAGTAATTTCGGTCAAGGTGAGGTCATTGACCGGAGCCACCTGACAGTGCCTGTATCTGGTGTGGTAGCTAGAGGCGCGAACGCATTCAACTCAATCCTTGTCTACATCACTGCCTTCTGGGAGTCAGAACTCAAAGGCCTCTAGGCCTAATTGTAATCATGTAAAATTTGGACATTTAACACAAATTAAAACTGTCAATTACCCCATGCTACTGTATTTACACTATTCCTAGGGCAGAGAAACTCACAAACGCTGCAGAAGGCATTATCCTGCAAAAAATTCTTACTTATGGCCTTTTCTGGTACTGTACCGAATCTATTTATATCCTGTTCGGTCTTTAGGGATGAAGTAAGGTTAAAGGTGACTGCATTGTATTGAAAATTCTTTTGGAAGAGTGATGTTACTGTAAGTAAGTGATAAGGAATTGCAAGGTCGAAAGAATTACGAAACGTTTGGGTACAAGTTTAAGTTATCTGTTGCTGAGCTGTGAACAAAAAGAAGATATAACTTAAGTATAGCCTATTTTTTTCTAGTGAAGGATAATGTTTCAAAAAATTAAATTATTATTGTTACCTTACAATATCCGTTTAGTGTTGGTAGATAAACAACTAGGCTACTTACATGTTTCGTGGCGACTGCCACATCCTCAGGTATCCTCTTCTCAGATTCGTCATCAATTTAAAACATAAAACACAGAACACACGTATAAAAACACATTACATTTATTTTGGTACCGTCACGGTGCGTGCACGCGTTTGGTCGGGCCGGCGGCGACTGGCATTGCAGTGTCCAGTTCAAGGTCACGTGACGTGTCGATCAGCTGATTCCTGGTTTACTCTAATTATTGTGTCAAACAATGCGTTGGCCTGGGTATTTAATTTATCATTTAAAAGGTTGTTGCCGACGGATTTTGCTGCTTTGTAAATTTTGAAATTTTCTAATGCTGTTATTCTGTTTCTGTTGTTGCATCTATGGAGAATTTGTAGGTTTTCATCTATTGTAGAATAATTATGGTTGGTGTTAATTAAATGTTCAGCATAATTTGAAGTTTGAGTTACTTTGTTTTTAGGCAGGTGTTCATTGAACCGTGTTTTGAAAGACCTCCTACTCTGTCCAATGTAAAATTTTGGGCAGTCGTTGCAGGCTATTTTATACACCCCGCATGTTTCGTATTTATTTTTTATTTGTGGCTTTTTGTTCAAAAAATTTTTTAGTTTGTTTTATGGTCTTGTAAGAAATTTTGTAATTTCTTTTCTTCAAAATGTTTGTAAATTTGTGGCATAATTGGTTAAACTGAGAGTAACATACCGTTTTTCCCTATTTGCATTTGGGCGTACATTTTTCTTTCTATGCAGTATTTTGTCGAGCAGTGTGGGGTCGTAGCCATTGTCGGCTGCTATGTATTTAATAATCTCTAGTTCTTTGTTGTAATCGTCTTCATTCATTGGGACGGTTTTCAATCTATGTATAAATGAGTTGAATGCTGCCATTTTGTGTGAGGTTGGATGGTGTGAAGATGCATGAATTACTTGGCTGGATTGGGTAGGCTTGCGGTAAATACTGTATTGGAATTTGTCACTATTGCGTGTAATGGTTAAGTCAAGATAATTAATTTTTCTGTCCTGTTCTATTTCATTTTTAAATTTGATTTTTGGGTGTCTGTCATTCAGAAATTTGGTGAAAAGATCGATTTGTCTGGCATTGCCTTTGAATACGCATATTGCGTCGTCAGCATACCTCTGATAGAATATAACTTTATCTTTATATTTTGATGTTTCGTTGATGATATGCTTAGTTTCAAAGTCGTTAAGAAACAATTCGGCTAATATGCTGGATAATGGTGAACCCATTGCTAACCCTTCCTTCTGTATGTAGTAATTGCCTTTGTATTCAAAGTAATTTTGTTGTGATATTACTTTGGTTAGGTCTATCAATTCTTTGATTTTGTTTTGGCATAACGTGTTATTTTTGTCAATCGTTTCTCGAGTATTGCAATAGATTCCTCAACGGGTATGTTGGTGTACATGTTCTCAACATCAAGAGACATGAGAGTATGTCCGTTTGCGGGTTTGATTTCATTTAACTTGTCAATCAGTTCAATGCTATTGCGTAAGCTGACGTTGGGGTTCAGTTTTATGTTGTCTCTAATTATTCTGACTTTATTGATTTTTGCTTCTTTCTTCCTTTTGGTTAACCGATGTTTCGGATGACCGGGCTTCGGATAATCGACGTTCTACAGTACTGTATATTTACTGATTTTGACTTGTTACTAACTGTAAATCGCTATAAAATCCATATTAGTTATTAAATAAAATCATACATTTCATTTTCCAAATTTATAAAAGTAGGCCTACTTAAAAAGGACATTTTAGCAGAAAATAGTCTTCTTAGGCCCACTGAAGTAGGCTAGTTCCAAACTACCGAGTGTTCTTTTTTTGTGGCATATTTTTTACTTAGGTTGGTATTATTAATTAAATTAATGGCTACAAAATCCATATAAATTACAATTAAAAATGATAAAAAAACCTATAGGGTTTTAAAGGCCCCCTAAATAACAATCCCCAAATTGTCAAATTAGGCTATTTATTTATGGAATAGGCCTAAATAAGTCTTTAAAATAGAAATGAGGTTCCTAAAACAATTTACTACGCGAGGTTAGAATCTAGGAAATCATAAACAATTTATTTAAGTTATGATGGTGGTTTAAGTTTTGATGGCTCATGGTTGGATACTTTTTGTAGCAGAACAACCAAGGAGAGCATATGGAGCAGGATGGAGAAGGTGGCCATGGCCCAGCGGGTCGAGGAGGAGGTAACTTCCGAGGTAGAGGTCGAGGTGGCTTTAGAGGAGGAGATGACAGAGGCCCTCGTTCACAAGATGTAAGTTAAAAGTTTATTTGAAACAAGTTTGTTTGAAAATAGTTTGTGTCATAAATGTAGTAGACTCTCGATTACACTGAAGATATTCAAAATGTATAGTCTTACTTTTATCTTAGCCGATGGGCTGACTATTTTGTGTAGGCTTACATTTGTATTATTGGTTCTCGAATATTATTTTATTTGTAGGCTAAATAGATGTGCGCAAAACAAATTTAAAAGTGTCTACACTGAATTTTTTTTTTTTTTACTTAAACCGGTGTGTAAGTTCAACTATACATTTTAGGTCAATGTTGAGGTTAGTTGTTATTTCCCGAGTATTTTCGGATAGGTTTGTACTGTTCACGATTCTGATAATCCACAATTCAGCCGCTCATTGCCCATTATCGTGGATAATCGGGATTACTTTGAACATAAACTATCAGAAATAAAAACCGCTTTTTTTAACAGTTTTTGTGTAAAAGGCAACTTAGTTTTAACTAATTTTCATTAGGCTATAGTACAATCCAACATTTTGTAACCCAAAAAAAATTATGGTAATATATTACAGTATCTAATAATTACAATGGGTAGCCTACCGTATAGGCCTTTAACTCTTAACATTTATTTTTATAGCTAGGAAGTTAGAGTTAATGGAGAAAAACGTGTTGGGGATAAGCTAGTTTGAATTTAAATGGGCTATAGTTATAGAGGGTGGGGAATATATTGTCATCAGAAACCTTCAAAAATACAAATAGATCTTGTTTGATTTTTAATCCAGTTTGCATACAGGAAAAAGGCAATTCAATTTTATTCTGTTAACTAGAACCAAAAAGTTTGCAATTCCTGGAGGTAATTCTGACTTACTTATAGCCTATTTATTGCTGACGGTAAATTTGTTTAGTTCTATGGAATTCTCAGACATACTTAAACAATATTTAATTTGGTTTTAATTTTTTGTTATGTGCTTCTGAAAAAAGCAATTTTTCCAGGACCGACTTACTGACAAATTGTTGGGGATTGGTGGACCAACAAATGACCTTCCTCCGAGTTCAAATGTGGAGAAAAAGTTTGCTGGTCGAGCCCGGCTGTACATAGGAAATGTTACAAACGACATCACTGATGATGATTTGAACGGACTGTTTGCATCATATGGAGAAACAAACGAATTGTTTGTCAACAGGGAAAAGAATTTTGCTTTTATTCGTATGGTAAGTTCTATTGTGTTTTTGTTTAATTTACCCATAAAGGTGTCAAATGTCTTTTTATTATGTTATGATTTTTATTATGTTACGCTTGCAAGACAAGAGGACAAAACATTCTAAGTGTAAACCGAAACTAGCGATACTTGTCATGTAATTTCTCGTACAAGAATACTTAGATCAACATAGGGAATCGACAGTGTTTTATTTATTTAGCTAGCATTTTTTATTTAGCCTGGTTAGTTTAAAATTACTTAGCATTTGTTCTTTTTAGGACTACCGATCAAATGCTGAAAAGGCCAAAAGGGAACTCGACGGCTCTATGCACAAGGGACGAGTATTGAAAGTCAGATTTGCTCCTTTGGGGGCAAGCGTGAAAGTGAAAAATCTTACACCATGGGTGTCAAATGAGCTTCTAGAGATGGCTTTTGCTGTTTTTGGAGAGGTGAGCATGGATCTATACGTTGTCTTATTTGTGGAGGTAGAACAAATTATAAAGACCAATAATGCTAAGTTACCAAAGCCTGCTAAGTTATCAGGATAATTGCAGCAAGTTACGAGTTACGACAGGTTCCTCAACAGTCTAGTTCAGAAGCCAAAAGTGTATTCAACTCCCTCATAATTTACTTAATGGTATCTCAATTAACTACTTGGTCATCTCATGGTTTCTGAAATTCAATGATAGGCCTAATTATTTAAAAGGGGGCCTGTGCGCCAATTGCATATTTTAGTTTTTAAAATAAAATAATATAAATTATGTGTAGTGGCTGGTCAGCAGCATCTAGCCATTTGGAAGCATTCTAGAAGTAAAATTAAGGCTAGGGGGCTAAGCCTTGTTGGTATTCGTTATTGATAAACAATATTCTGTCTCTCAGCTAGATTACAAGTTTTATTATGACACGACAATCGAAAAAATTATTTGAGTAGGACTTGGGTGAATAAGCAATGGGTCAGAGAAACCCTTTTTGTATTGTGTATTGTAGTGTCTTTTTAACTTCACATATTATTGGCAAGTCCTATGACCAAAAGATTAGGCCTACTAAGGAAGAAAGGAAGGAGGAGAAAAGTGACAGATGTTTATCCAAAGTAACTACTAACCCTAAAAAAATCGTTACCCTAAGGCTATAACGATTGATTGTGTCAACAGGTTGAACGAGCTGTCGTCATTGTTGATGAGAGAGGAAACTCCAAGAGGGAGGGAATTGTAGAGTTTGCACGCAAAAACAGTGCATTGGCAGCTCTGCGAAAGTGTGCTGAAGGTTGCTACTTCCTGACAAGGTGTTTACAACTTGATTAACTTACATATTTTAATTTGGTAATGATTAGTTTTCTAGTTATGGGCACATCAATGCTAGTTAATTGTTATCTGAAACGGTAGTACAGATAGCCTAACAAAGGTCAATGACTGCACAAAAAATATCACAATTGTACAATTTTGTATTTTTTAATGTTAAAATGCAACTCATGACATTAATGTCTATTTTTACACAGTATTAGTGTTTTATGGGTTTGTTGTATATTTTAAACGTGTCATATTAACTTAAACATTGATTTTCTTAGAAGCTATTTGAACACTAAACTATCTGAATCCGAATACATAACTCTTAGTATCTGATTCGCTCTTAACTGAACCTAAAAGTTCTCAAGTCACTGTCTGACCCGAATCCGATCCAAACTGAAATTTTACTATCCGCAAACCTTAATTTTGAGGGCTGGCTACCAAATCCCAAAACACTTATTTTTAATTACAAAGTCTACGTATAGGTACTGTCACAGTTTTCGCCACAGACTTTAAATATTCAAATTTTTCAGCTCCCTTCGACCTGTGGTTCTGGAGCCGTTTGAACCCAATGACGATGTCGACGGCTACCCCGAGAAGAATTTGCCCAAGAAGAGCGCAGACTACTACAAAGCCAGGGAAGTAGGGCCAAGAATGGCTAATCCAGGTAGTTTTGAGTACGAGTACGGCACACGATGGAAGCAGCTGCACGAACTGTACAAACAGAAGGAGGAGGCATTGCTGCGAGAAATGAAACTTGACGAGGAGAAACTTGAGGCTCAGATGGAGTACGCCAGATACGAACAAGAGACTGAACTTCTCAGGGAACGTAAGTTCAGTTTACATTTTGTATTTGAGTATATTACATGAGGTTAGATGTAGATTCCCGCTACTCCAAAACCCTGCTATTTCTAAAATCTGCCAATTCCAAACTAAGTTTTGAATTAATTATTTTATATTTACAGTAGGGGTAATTGTTTTATTAACAAAAAAGTTAAGCAGACAATTGCGGACTACTTTAAAGAATAATGCTCAACAATCTTAAAATTTATAACCTGTCATTATAGCCTTTCATTGCCTGTTATTGTTTGACGTATTTATAACTTGTATTTATAGCCTGTATTTTTAGTCTTTCATTGCCTGTATTGATTGTTCTTTTTTTGTTTTTGTCTACATTGCCTGTTATTAATGTCTGTTGTTTTTTATTGAATATCATACTTACCCAAAGTTTTTTTCAAGCTCAGTTTTGTTTGATATAATTGTATTTAGTAATGTAGTGTAGTTGTAAATTATGCCATCTTGTTATTGATTATGCTAACTACTATTGTATAAATGGTGTTACCGTGAATAAATAAATAAATAAATAAAAGCTTATTGATTGTGCATAATTTTTATCTCCATTTAGTTTACGCTATTTGAATTTAAAATATTTTTATAGTAACTTATTTAACCAATTTCTCATACAAATAAATTTCCTGTTTATTTTACAATGCATATTTTACTAAAAATTATTCCAAAACGAGACTGGAACACACTATTATTTATGACATTTATTAATTAATAACACACACATTATCGTTAAGGAGACAAAAGACAGGAAAAGCAGGCTTACCTTAAAAATTGTAGGCATCCCATGGATGTAGCCTATTCAATTCCAAAACAGACCCTAACCTCAACATAAACAAACCTAACCTGAGTAGTTAGCTGAATACATAGGCTTTTTTTAATACTGTACTTCTAAACATGTGCTTTGTAAACAAACTAGTGTAAAGCCAACATTACATAGTGATGCTTGCTAGCCTATGTACAGTTTGATTATAAAATTATAGGACAAGCTATATTGTTAGTAAATAAATTGTTTTATTTGTCTAAATTAGTTTTTAAAATAATAATATTTTAACAAAAACACACTCCTACATGGACTGGACAGGACTAACATTTATAATTGTCTTCATCTGATATACAAGGATGACAAAAAAATTGTATGTTGTTAATCTATGGTAGGCTTATTACTTAGGGTTGAATGGCAAATTGGCCAATTTAGTGTATCCATAAAAGTTATCTTTATTACAAAAATAATATTAAAACTTTTATAAGGTAACTATTTGAGTGAAATTGGTGCTATTGTTCATATCTCCCTCAAACATTATTTGTCTACTAATTTGCAGAGCTGCGTCAGCGTGAGTTGGACCGAGAGCGCCAGAAGCGTGAGTGGGAAATGAAGGAACGCCAGGCTGAGGAGCAGCGCCGAGCCGACGAGGAGCTGATGCGGCGCCAGTCAGAGGAGATGTCCATCCGAATGCTACACCAGGAAGACGAACTACGCAGACGCCAACAGGAAAACAACTTGTTTATGCAGGTACGCAGGAGACAACTGTAGTGACATTTGGGCCTTTTGTTGAATGGGGTTGTGGGGGTGAGTAACTTGTAATTTGTTGCATTTAATTTGTATTTTTTTTTTTTTTAAACAAATCCTTAACTAGCCAAATGACTTTCATTTAACTTCATTAAATAATTGACAAATAATCTTTTCTAAACTTATTTGTTATCACAGTTTGAGATCCGTGTTGTCTTGCCAGCAATATACTAGCCACTATTTGGAATCCGAAGGCTGTTAAGGTTAAAAGTGATCCACATCATTCATATTGCAATTGAATTAATGTAATCTTTAAATATACATACAACCTTACACAAAATCTGCCTAAGATAACCAACAATTGTTTTCTGTACCTACATTTTAATCACAGTTTGAGATCGGTGACCAATGCATTCTTTAGGTCAAGCTGTAGTAAACTACCATTGAAACAGGGGGCGATTCTCGTTGACTAGTTAATTTTCTAATTGATTGGTATTTTGTACAGTAAATACAGTACAACACACAGTACAGTAAGTTACAGTAGTTGTGTTGTTTTGTACAGTTGGGGTTTTGTGATGGATATAATTATTTCAACTTAAGTAGGATTGAAAAGCATCGTGTTGGTTAAGTGAGTACCAGTTGGTATTCTAAATTTTAAATAGAACAATTCTAATTTTTGATAATCAAAATTCAGCCTCTGCTTTTTACTAAAATCTAAATTTTTTTATCGTTCTTCAACATTTCCACTTTTATTTGTAGAAAACACAAATCATTTTCTTTAATTAAGGACTCTTACAAAACTTCTAGGCCTACTGCTTACTTATTAAAGATGTGGATTGATAATAATCGATACACAATTGTGTATTTCGTTACAAGATACTCACTCCAACCTCTTACTTAAGTTGACTTGTAAAATGTTGTTTTTGTTTAGTTAATCATAAGATAATATTTATACAAATTGTTTGTTTAAACGTTACGCTCAAGGAAGTACTTTAGGTTTAAGTTTCTTACAAAGTTAATATGGAAAACTTTTTTGACTCCATTATGTTCCTACTAGTCATTCCATGGACACAGTCAATGACGATTTTAGATATTAACAACAAATAGGATTGGAATTTTGTTAAGTTAGTTGTAGTTTTAGTTATTAACGTGTGCAATAATTTGAAAAAAGAATAATGTTAAATGGTCCTTTCTTCCAAAACATTTAATGCTATTGCATCTGGTCTTATTGTTTTTTTCTTTAAGTTGGTGAGATTCATTTAAGTTTAAATGTTTAAAGAACTAACTTCAATCAATAATCTATTGTTTTGTTGTTTACATACCTTTATAATATTTTTTTATTAAGTTTAGCTTTTTGGTACCCTTTCCTAATATGTAGGTTTTTAATTATATATAAAATGTTTTTCTGAGAGTGGTCGTGAAATTAGCCAAAAAGACGTTATTAATATGTTGCTAAAACTAAGGAAGGTTTTTTTGTAAAAAAAATCCATCTGATTAAGGAATTGTGTTAAATATACTTAAGGTTAGTTTAGGTTCCAAATAGGCTATACAACAAGTTAAAAATATTTTAAGTTATGAATTCTCCTCTTTCATAACTGCATCATGACTATTAGGAGGAAATATATCCTAATTCTTAACAAGAAAGATATGTAGGGGGAACTCCAGTTACATTAACTCAGTTAAGATTAAATTGATTGCTTTTGTAAGTTTATTGAGTTAACTATTTGTTAGCTGTATGCCTAATCATAGATTAATAAAAGCTTAATGCTTGTGAAATTTTTTTAACTTGTCACAATAGGCCTAATTAATCAAATCTTTTTGTTCATTGAGAGTTGCAATACAAAAGCAAAATAAGATTATTGCATTTAAATATTGTTTAGTAATGTTATTTAAATAAACCCGTTGACATTTTGTTATCTTTAACAGTAATTATTTAAACATCGACAGTATCGGTAATTGTGTTGAACTTCTTTGGAAAATAGTAAAAGTATTTGAATTGAGTGTGCTCCTAAGATGTGAATGAATCTATTCATTAATCAATAAACTACGCATACTGTGTATGCTTATGATAAGTGTGCACAGAATATTGGAATATTGATCTTTCTTGTACATTGTATGTAAATAATTAATTAATAAAATTTGATTTGTAATGAGACATTGACTTTTTTTCAAAACCATTTTCTCCTTAAACTAAGAAAAAAATAGAGTTCTCTTCATTTCATATTTTATGATTTTAAAGATCAATGTTCCTGTATTTAAAGCAATCTTTTTTGAAAGAACAAATTCATTCAGATCTGAGTGAGCATAAATTGATTCGAGCAATTCTTTTAGCATTGCACAGTAACTTCCGAATAACTTGATGTTTTGTTAATCTTTTAGATTGAATTTCCACTCATAAAAATAATTCTTGATACATAAAATAGTAACATAGGTAGGTAAACTTTCATTGATTATCGAAAGTTAGTTCTACATCTTATCTTAGTTAACCACTCTTATTACAAAATTAAATCTTATATAATGACATACTCTGTATTTAATTTCCATAATATACTGTAGACTCCCTACAGGTGTTATTAAAATAAACCAGCCTAAATGATTAGGTACTATAATATTTATGGTTTAACAATCTTCTATCAAAACATTATCAGTTTTATGACAGTAGTTTCTTATAATTAGGAAAAGTAGGGAATAAAAATATTAAATACATTTTCTGTTCAGAGTCAGTAGAAATATTTAACACAACAACCGTAATTTACAAAAAAATTCTGTATTTTCAAGAAATGTGTTTTACTAAAATTAAGAAAGACCACTTTTTCACGAAGTCTTGTTAAAATTTTCAACATTCCAAAAAATAGTCTACTGTAATGTAAGACGCTTGTCAAAACTGTAGAACGAGTGCATTTTTTCTCAGACTTCTTCCTGATTGTCTAAATAGGTGAAAAGACATCCTATTTTTATTTATAATACATAATTATTTATCTTTGATTTAAAACTGATATTTTATGAAAAGCCAAAGAGTGGTAATGCATACTGCTAATTTTTACAATAGAGGTGGTATTTTACGTAGGCCCAGGTAGTGTGAGGTAAAAATTCCAAACTATATCCAATACTGACTTTTGAGCATAACTTGAAATGTGAAAGGAATGTTCGGGTTAGTAGTAGTAAGTTGTTATAACAACGCTGTGTTGTGGTTTTACAGGAACAAAGAGCTCCGACAGGATATGATTCCGGGGCTCAGGGTTCTGATCCACGGGAATATGAAACTCACGGAGGTTAGTACAAGGAAAAATTTTCATTTTAGTTAGATTTTACCATAGGCTTAAACTTTTAATCTGTCAGTCATGGATTTAAAAACAATCTAAGCTGTGCTTGACAAGAGTCTAAATATCTGGTTGAAAAACAATGAACAGAATGTCCATTGATCACAGATTTACAGAAAACTGGCAGATTTTTATTAAAAGCCATTTTGATTCACACAGCCGAAAAAATAGTCTTGTTTTTCTGTTCACCAAAATTAGTATCAATGGAAAAGCGATTTGAATAGTGTTTTGACACCTCTTAGATAAGAGGTTCAAACCAAGCTTCAATTATCAGGAGGTTGGTGTTGAACTTGAAACCCAGCTCAATGAATGTTTTTAGCTATTTGGAGGGGATTGTAAAATACCTGTACAGTTTAGGAGTAACATTTTTGGATTGGTGGATTTTTTGCAGTATTTTTGAAAAAGTATTTTTCAAACTATTTGTACTGGGTGTGTCAAACAATATTTCTTCAAAAATGTTCGAGTACTTTAGATGTAGAAGGATTAAAAACTGTTAGCTTCAATTAAATTTTTGTTTCAAACCATTTCTAGAGTAAAAGATTTTGCTTTTGCTTGAATTTGTGTGCTGAAAAGTTTGTGGTGTAATTTGGCTTGCATTACTAAGCTTAGAGGCAATCCAGCATGAAGGAACCTACAAACATGTACAAGATCCGGAGCTGTCCATTCGCCTGATTAAAGTTTTAAATGTTAATGAAAAAGGTTATGCGTTGTTCATCAAATAATATTCAAGCAAATGTATAATGTTTTGCGTTCTTTATTTAGTAAAAAATACGTAACCGAAATTGTATCACCCTTTATATTAACTACCAAGTTTTAAATATTAAAATACTTTGTTCTGTTTCAGGAGCCGCTGCTTTGCCAACGGTAATGTACCAATTATTTTGTCTGCTTTTCTATCTAATGAACTCAAAACGCATATTTAGTAGTGCCAAAAAACATAAATTATATGAAGGATTTTATATTCATATAAATACAATTTTTAATTTAGTTTCGTTTCACTCGTGAGATAAATTATTTTTCCATTAACTATTTTATAGCAGAACGCATTTAAAAATATTAAAAGATTTATGATATATATATTATCCTTCTTGTTAATCTTTCTACACGTTTTATGAAATTTAAAGTTTCACTTGAAGCTTTGTTTTTTAGTCAAGCGCATGTATTTAAATAAGCCGCTAACAAAACCATTTATGTTTTATATATGCAGCGTGATTAGGTTTTTCTAAACAATAAAGATTATTTATTTTGCTAACATTTTATCAGTTCTCTGAAGCTGACTGCACTAAAAATACGCAGGAATATGAATCTGTATCTCGGAGCTGAGATTTCAGCAACGTTAATCTAATAAACCAGCATTGTATTTGGACAATTTCTAGAATCGCCCAATATTACGCTGTTAAGAATTATTCTATCATTGATAACAAACTTTACATTTAACATATTAATTCTTCTCTGATATAGTATTGTGTGTTGGTCACTTCTGTTTTCATAATTGAGTCTCAGTTATTTGTTTAAAGTTCAAAGAACATAGTATTAAATCACATTTTTATTTGCTGCACCATTTAAAAGCAAAACTTTCAATCGAGTTTTCTACAGAAAACTTCCATTATATGGGAAATAACCAGATGTAATCCATGTAAACAACGATTGGTAAAATTTACTTCAACACATAATACGGTAATTATATTTTGGTGTCATCAGGCTCTTCGTTGTCTGATACAAATGTAATATAATTCACGGGTGTACTCCTCCAAATTCGCCCTTAAGTCTCTTGCGTTTTAACATATTAAAAACATGTGTTCTAAATTATTATTTCCAAGTTAAACTTAGTCCTTCAAAGCAAAATTTGTGCTCATTGAGCATAGATTGTGTTTAAATCTACAGTGTTCATTATATTTTTCAATAATAGACATGTCATGAAGTATTTTGATAAAAATCATTCAACCAAGTAGACGATTTAAAGTATATTTAACCATGTTTTCTTCAACTTAAACTTTGAATTTACTAGCTTTGATTAATATTTAAATATCAAGGTTAACATTGGATAACATAATTCATATCGCGCATAAAGGAGAGAAAAAGGCTTTAATTTTTTTTTTTAATTGAAATAATGTATGAATTTTTCTATTGAAATTTCCTTATCTAAAATGGATATATTTTTTTAAGAAGTCTTGTTATTGTAAGCCTACAGTAATATGTTTTATCTAAATTGAACGCTAATTTGAGCATTTCTTTTTTTAATTGAACTGTTGAAAATATCACATTTGTCTTTAAAATGCAAATATTATTTTTTTTCTAATTTAAAAAACAATTATTATTTTCAACTTTATATAATAATAACTGTGAAGCAACACCACCATCCTTGAGGGTGTTTTTAAAGAAAAGAAAAGAAAATTGCTAAAAGGATGGATTGGGATTTTGATATTTCTTAGAGTTTATAGTAAAAAGATTCTTCAAAATTTACTCTACCAGAAAATTCTTCAATTATACCAGAAAAAGAAGTTTTAATTTGCCTACTACACAAATTTCTCTTAAACATTTACGATTTACTATTTTGAGAAAATCAAATTACAAACTTCTTTTAAATAAACTTCTTAATGTCAGAAACAATAAGTATTTCCCCCATTATTTGATTCATCATAGCCTAATTGTGAAGTTATTGAAAATACATTAGTGTAGTCGTAATTCATGCTATCAAATTGTCTTTTTGAAATCTCCCAGAACTTAACAGGAAATTGAAAATTATTTTGATTTTCAAAGAAAGAAACATTCTTCGATTATGTTTGTTTCATACGGAAGGGTGCACAAGTAATTTTACAGTTTGTATTGCCCTTTATTACCGAGCTAAATTTTTATGAAAAATTTTCTCTTAAGTTGAAATCATCATGAACTATTTTTACAGTAAGGTGAAAGAAACTTCATGTTAATAAAAAGGAAAGAATAATATTGTTTATAGGCCAATCACAAAATTATTTATGATTTATTTAAATATAAATAAAGTTTGTAATAGTAAAATTTATCTTCTTTTACAACTTTATATCCACTCTTGCACTCTTTTACATGGATTTATTATATCTTTTGTGTATTTAGCAGTATACACAATTCATCAGCGACATTGTATGTTATTGATATACATCGATGACTGTCAATCTCCTTTATCTACAATTTTATTATGAACAAACTTAAGTTTTGACGAGTGAATAATTTGGCTACCGCTGCATCTTTGAATGAACATTGTTCCATTCATATTTGATTCATAAATCAAAATAAATAGTTATTATTTTACAAATGCTACGGTTATTATGATCTGTACTTCTACATTAAAAATTATGTATTTATTTAATTTTCATATTCATGCCAAAACTACTTAGTATAATTTTAAAACGCCATATAAACAATTTAATTTTCTCGTAACTTTATCAAAACCATCAAACTACTTTGATAACCATGCAGCGATGTATCCATATGAAGGTATTTGGTAGTTATATTTCGACTGATACATTTACTTTATATTTCGTCGATGAATATAATTGTGATGATAAAATCGTATCTAAAAACCTATTCATAGTGATTTGAATATCAAAGATTCTGAAAATGTTGTGATGAAAGAAAGTACACCTAAGCAATAATATAAATAAGCCATATTAATTTATAGTTATTTATTATGAAAGATGATCATTTATATTGATGACATATGATTCGTATTATAATATGAGCAAATATATGACTTGCATTGCTACAATATTAAACTACTTTTATAATCATAAAATAATCAGGATGTAGACTATTTGTGACTTAAGATATTATTTTTGGTTTATAAGTGAATTTAAGACGGCAAAGATGTCAAAAGCAAAAATTATGCCACTTATAACTTGTGAAGATATTTCGTTATCATATCTCTGCAAATATCTATATGCACCAATAACAACAACAAAAGTGCTACTACTATGATGAAGATATTAATATCGTTCTAGAATATATATTTGATATAGTCTGCTACAAGATTGCAATAATGAATCTTAATAAAATGATAGTTGTTCTGTTTGTGCTTCAGAACGAGGCAAAATACTCTTCTCTACTCTCTACTCTTCTACTCTCGCAAGAGAATAATGTTGAAAGTAAGCAAACAAACTATAAATAAAAACAAATCTAACAGCTGATCCAACTTTAAAGCCCCCCATACACTCTGCGATTTGGTCACCCTTCGAAACGTATTTTTGACTCCAGCAAGTCAGTCGCATGAGTCCAACGGATATCATGTGACAATCAAATCCGAGTTTGTTGATCAGTATGAGAATAGAGTTTGAAATTACAGAACATTAACAACAATATAACATTAAATATTGAGAATGAATTAGCAGCTGTTTTAAATACAGTAAAAGGAAATGATCAAGATTATAATACCACACCAGGTAATGCCAGTCAGACAGCAGTGCACATGCGTGGGAAAATATCACTCAAGATGATTGCTCGGTTCCACACACTTGGCTATCTTGCGATCTCCGAATCGCCGGCAATCCGATCGAAACACCCCCCATACATAGGGCGATATTTAGGCAGTAAGGTTCTGGCAACCAAATCACCTAATGTATGGGGGGCATTATATTTTAAATCTGATTAAATACAGCCCTTTAACTGAGGTTCGTGCTCTTAGGAGAATATTTAAATATTTAACATCTCATATATTTGGGAAGTTTCAAATGAAGAACATTTATTCAAGTATGCGATAGGTATGCAGCTTACAGTTTTCTCAAAAGTTTGTGATCCTTTTTCGCTTTATATTTAGATGTTATGGCGATTGTCCGCATAACCCACTACTACTCTTGGCTCCTAGCTGTCTTAAGTTATTATAAAGCAATCTTTGGAAGTTCTATTGACTTAGATTTTGTTGATAACACTACTTCAATAATGCTAAGTCCGACTCCAAAAACGACAATTAACAATGATCAAGATGCATATTAGAATTTTTGGCTTTAATCTTTAGAAGGTAATTTGAGAATGCTGTTGTAAGTATTTATAGTAATTGTAAATCATCGGAAATGTTATAATTTAATCGTAAGTCGTTGGAATGTCATCTCTGTTTAAGCTTAGCTACATCTTAAAGTTGGTTTTCAAACCCCTCTGAAATGTCAAACTTCTCTGACCAGGTTGTATCTTTTAAAGAAACGTCTGCAGATGGGGCTTAAAGAAAGAAAAAACTATCAAATTAAATTGGGTGTCAAATGATTATCGAGTGAAATGTAGCAAAATGAGTTTATTATAACTGCTTGATATACTTTGACATATCTATACTGTAACTATTACTTATGAAGGAACATTACTAATTCACCATTATCATTATTTTACTAATTTCTGACGATTCTAAGTGATGAAATATTATCTACGTAAAATGATATTAGTTTGTTCATTCACAGAATAACGTCGCTAAGAATTGTGTAGGCCAAATCAATTTCTTGTTCAACAATAGAGTAGCAGGTGATTTTTTCCTAGTTTTGTCATTTTCTATAACACCAAGATTTTTCTAGGTTTCTAATCGATTCTTAAACAGAATTATGTTGCTTTAACTCCATCATGAAATGTTCTATGAATTTATTTTTATTAGACAGTTTTACTGAAGAACAATCCTACTTTGCTTACCACTTTTTCCATCCCTCAAACAGTTTTTTTTCCACACAATACCAATATCTCTCACATGAAACACATTTTGCACAAGTTTGCCCCAAAGTGCTTCAAAGTTTTGTGTTTGTGTCTGTGAGTGTTGAGAGAATGGTAATTATGAAAAATCATAGCATATGCACACCAAAAAAACTGTGTGCGATATGTGATTGTTGTAGCATTTGTGTGAACAATTAAAAAAATTCATTTCAAGGAATTTATATTTCTTGAATTTAAAGATTTACTCTTTTTCTACTCGACTACACTATTTAACAAAATATTCTTTGTCAATTTTTATTTTGAGGTCGTGGGCTTATTTTGTTATACGTTACAGCTTGGCTGAATTAATTCTTTAATTACAGTGGTAATTAACATACATATAGTAATTCTTGAAATAATCTAAAATATTATACATGGACTAACAATTATAAATTTATAAGTTGTCTGCAAGAATGTTTTCAGTAATTTTGTACAATTAATTGAGAATATATTTCATGTTTACAAATAGACATGACACTAAACTAACTAATTTACCAACTGTAAAAATAAATCATCGAGTTACTATTATTATATTGATCCAAAAGCAAGACTTTGAATAATTAGACAATAAGCAATGAAATAACTACTGGTAATTCTGAATCTAATGCAACCATAATCTCCGATAGCAAACAACTAATCGTTGGTGCAATCATAATCTTCGATAGCAAACCACTAATCGTTGATGCAAGGTTGCATCAAATGGTTCCATAAAATTGTTAATTTGTTATCATCTATAGCAAACCCTATGTATAACTTACCAAATATCTACCTAAATTTCTGAATGTGATCACCGATGCAACTATGATTATAAAATTATTATTTTTTGAATACCAAGAAAATAGCAATAATAAGTAAATAGAAATGTATGACTCGTCAAATATGTTTTGGTAATCCTGACTCCTGATCCTGATAATCCTGACTGAAGTTGTTGCAACCACAAAGTTGTGGATTTGTCGTCGATAGCAATCCAGCTAAATAATTGCTAAAAAGCTGCCTGCAAAATAATCATCGATACATCCTTGATAATTAACTAATTTGAAATCGTCGATAGCATTCAGATATATACCTTGCCAAATACTGTAGCTATCTGCAATTCTGAATCTAATCATCAATACAATGCAAAAGGAACTAGTTTGTTATCGTCATTAGCATTCAGATATTTAACTCACCAAATAGCTATCTGCAATACTGAATCTAATCGTCGATACTGCTATGTGACATAAACTAATCTGTTATCGTCGATAGCTTTCAGATATAAAACTTTCGATATAGCTATCTGTAATCCTAGATCTAATCGTCAATACTGCTATGTGACATAAACTAATTTGTTATCGTCGATAGCATTCAGATGTGTAACTTACCAAATACCTTCCTGCAATGGTTATCATTCGTTTATGGTTCCTGTAACAAATGTATTTTACCTTGGAGAAATATATTGTTTGATGGTTATCCCCAGGGTTGGTAACAGTCTCGTATGCTGCAAGTAAGAACTTAGCCTGATGCGACTCCCCTGTTACCGGCCCTGCTTTCATGTGTATCTGTTGTGCTCGTCACAACTCTAAAGTCTTATTTGAATCTTGAACAATTGCGATTACGGTAGGACCCGAAGACATTCATGGATTCGTATGAACGAGGTGGTCGCGGCTTCGAAGGTGGCCGAGATATGAGGCCAATGGATGATGCAGCCCGTGGAAGACCAGATGCTGCCGGGCCACGTAGCAGATGGGGACAAGCTGGTGAGCGTCGTCCGCAACCCCAGGACGACTATCCCAACAAGAGACGACGGTTCTAAACTATTCCTGCATAGCCTAAATATATTATTCTGTGGTTTCACGTCTGCCGTGTTTTTATCATAAGACGACAAATTAAATGGAAATATAGTAATTAATTTAACTTTGTATACAGTTTTTTTTATGTAATTTGTCATTACATATCGATTTGGTTGACGACAGAAGAGTTTTATTTTTACTATGATTTTATGTATTAATTGCATTTTCATGCTAACTAAATGTTCTATTTATCTTGATTTTATGTAAGGTGTAGTATTTAGTGACTTGAATGTGAGTTATGTGGACTAATTAAATGTTGCTTAGTTCTGTCCAACTACTTTTGGTTCTTCTTACACATTATTTAGTTCCCTTTCAAAAACTCAAGTTTCTATTCAGGATATGATATTAAAACCCTCAAAGTATATCAAAGTATTTTAGGTGTTTAGTCAAATTTCACTTATAAAATTAGGATTTATTTATTTTATTTTACTTTTAAATAAACTAGTTGAAATTGTTATGTTAATCGTTGTCTTTGTTCATAATAAAAAATTTGCACTAATTTATGAACAAATCTGCTAAAAAATGCAATTGAATAATCTTTTTGTCGGCATTTGAAGAAAGTACAGTTATAAAAAGATAAAAAAATTTAACTTCATTTAAACGTTGACTATCACATATATTACTATTGTTTAGGCTTTATTACATGTTTGGCAGTCAATCTTTTAAAGACAGGTACAATATACAACAAATATAAAACGAGTGATATTAAAGATTTTAACTTATATTTCTATGATATCTTTTATTTAGTCCTGAAAGGGTTCAATTCAATTTGTTTATTTAAGGCAAAAGCCATTGTACAATAAATACCATTACATTCGGGAAATAACAAGCAATAATAAATACTAAATACAGTAGGTGGACACAAACCTATGGTTCTTTTTGATTGGACCATTACATTAAAAAGATCCTAAATAGGGCTGGGTACTAAACTTGAAATACACACCGAATACAAGACAAATAATATTTCTTGTATTATAAAAGAAAAGAAATAGCGAACTATCACCACTAAGCCGGTCAAAAAAGTTAAATGGTATAGAGATAAAAAATTTTTAATATAAAAATTAATACCAAATCTTCCGTTTATAATTTCCGTATAATCCGTATATAATTTTTTAAACAATTTTGTTGTAGATACTGTTGACCTATGTGGTTTTTAAAATTAAAAATAACATTTATTTTAATCAACAAAATTGTTTAAAAAATTTCACTATTATCTAAAGCTTTTTAATTTGCTCATAAATAATTGAGTAGCATGTTTATCCAACAACTTATTCTAAAAGTCCTCGATTTTTGTACATCTATTTTTATCTTAACACTTGAGCAGACAAAAACTGTAAAATTGTCTGAGACAAAATCTCTCAATTATAGTTATTATAAAAGTTAGAATTACGTTACAGTAGACTCTCTCTTATCCGGACCCCTTTTAACTGGACATCGGATTAACCGGACTACAATCGGTGGAAATTACATCTCTTTAACTTGACAATTTTTATCAGCACATAGTTTAACCGGACTAGATCGACTGGAAGTTGACGGTACTGAAACTATTGTTCTCGTGGGAAAGATTTGAGACCAATGACCAGTGCCTAAATACAATGATCTCCTATATTTAAGTCAAATACTGTATACAGTATGCATTTAAACGTCCGTTAACGAGTTTTTGGGCACGGTTTAACCGGAAAATCCATCCTGACTGGCATCGGTCCCGAGGAGTCCGGATAAGAGGGAGTCTACTGTACATCCCTACTTGTTAAATAATTTAAAAAAGCTCTGTGATCAAGCTCTCTTCGCCTATTCGCGACATTTAAATATTGTTTGCACAAGATAACTATGACATTGCCGTGATCACGAGAAGTCATAAAAGTGTCATACTACTGCGGGAGCTTTATATATGACGAGCACGATGATTCTGACGTTGCTGTGATCTTATAGAATAATCTAACACAGACATTCCGGGTAAGATACGCAGAAGAGAAATTCGCTTCTTTTCCTTTGAACTTGCAATGACACGCTGCCACCCAGGAGATGCACAGATGCAGGTGCTATTTTCATTCATGTTTAGCAGTGGATCATAATTTGATGATACTGTCTTTTAGAGTTATGTGAAGGCTACCAGCCAATTCGAAAGGATGGCGGCGTGGGCTGTAAAATCTTAAAAATCAATAGAGATCCCAAAAGAGATTGTGTGATTCTTTTAATTCCCAGGGGCGGCCGCTTCTTTAGGGGGACAAATTTTTAATTTAGAACGAAGGGTGCCAATTTGGAAAGGAGGATGCCCCAGTGTAAATTGGCATTGTTTAACCATAAAAGTAAAAAAGAAATTTGGTATTTTTTTATTTCCAAAAAGCAGTATTGTTTTTATGGTGCTAAATTCTCATTTAAACTATAAGGGCGTCGACTCTTAAAGGATAACGTCCTATGGCTATAGCGGTGCATGTCCCTAAAGATAAATAGGCTGCATTGATATCTCGAAAAGGCAACTATGTAAATGATAAACATAACAATAATGTTGCGCAAAAATTTTGAGGACACCCTGGGTGCTTTGCCACCGCTTCTGCCCACGTCCTTTCTCTTTCTGCACTCCATGTGGCCGCATTTTCCGCTTGGTCCATGTGCCGGCCCTGCTCTTGCATATACCGTTCCCATAAGATATTGTTTTTAAATATTGTTTCCATCGACCGCGGGAGACGATGATGGCGATTTTGTTGCTATTCAGGATTTTGCCGCGGCCGCAAAAAATAGTAATGATGTTTCCATAACTGAGGAAGATATTCTAGATTAAGATTTTGCAGTGATCCCAGAAATCGACGATGATGTCTCCATCGCAGAGTGTGATGTCCCAGATGAAGTCTGATCGCAGATGATCACACTATTACCTCTATTTTGGCTTGAAATTATCAGGCTGGCACACTTCTAGCTAAAATAAAATAGTTTTTTTTTTTAGATCTTTATTTGCCTTTAATATGGTAGTATGTAATGTGTGACAAAGGGTTTAAACACAATTTGGCTAGTTAAAATGTTTAATTGCAGCATTAATTTTTTTCTTTACTTAAAAAAATGTATGATAGAAGAAGGTGTAGTATAGTCAAATTATTTTAAAAATTTAGTAAAAATATAGAAAAATGATATTGTATCAAGAATTGAAAATCAATTTTAAATAAATGTTGGCATCAACACATCACTAAATGTTGAAAACTAGTCTTGAAACGCCTGAAATTATTCTTGAATTTTTAAATGGAAGTAAACTATACACCCTGAATTTACTGTTGGCCAGATCAGGAATTGCTTTATACCGCTGCGACAATTTTACTTTTTACAGCTGGCAGTAACACTTTTTTGTCAGATATTGTCTTTCTTCTTGGCAGGTACTTTTTTTTACCTCCTGCGTAGTGAAAAACTCTTGTAGTTTTTATCGGGTTGTCATTATATTCGATTGACAGACTTTGTGAAATTCCTAAGACCATCTAGCATGTTAAGAATGTACTCGTATATTATAATAATACAGTCTGACAACCTAAGAAGGCACTTGTAGTTGTATTCGGTTCAGGGTTATATAGGAAAGGGTAGATTATGGCAGAAAATAATACCTTTCTAAAAACATGGTTTTTATCACCAAATCTCAACTACCTCAGACCAACCCTCCTCACACCCCTGACTTTCTATGCGCATGGCCCCACTAAGTCAATTTGTACCAGGAGAGTGGTGGAGGTTAAGGAAGACCCAATGTTTTTTTTTTTTTTTAGGATAGTACTTTGTTTTCACCCCATCCCCATCTGCAAAGTGCCTTCTTATGGTTGTTTGACACATTACATCGCCGCTAGTTATGTGTGGAAAAATAGTGGTAAAATAATGAAACCTTGTATTTCCAAAGTGACAGCCCGATGATAGGGTTGGCATAATACAGTATTCTACACAACCTAGTTTTGACAACCTTTTTGGACCGAAGCGGCAGTGAACTTTATATTTACATCTGTTCTGTTTTACATTTTTTTAGGAGAAAATGCCGCCGCATTTAATATCTATGTTTTCCAATATGATGGAATAATAGTTATAAAAAAATAATTGTCAAGATTTAAGTTCTTAGATTTTGCATGGTAACTTTTCATCCCTTATCAATGGAAAGAACAATAAACATATAACTGAATAAACAATAGGCCTATATAAATTTTAAGCTATTGTTCCGTTCAGGCTTATATCATTTTGTATATTTACTGTTTGCATGTCTTCCTTTTTGACAATACTAAAGAAAATTATATACAAATAGTTTTTCCTATAAAACTGCCTTAAACATTCCAACATTTTGAATGCATACACATTAAGAAATTAATGCCTGTTAGCCTCAACGTATATTATGTTCTTTGTTGCAGTCTAGGACCTCACAATGAGGGTTTAAGACATTATAAATGTTCAAAATTTAAAGTTAAGGTTTCTAGCAGACAACATATTTTCTCTTGAAAAGTGGATGTCACCAGAGTTCACATATCTGGAATTAAATTTAAATTGTTAACCTAGTTCTTGCAGTTTTTTATATGTTTTTTTTATGATTCATAACTGTATTTTAGCCGATTGTTTTTATTTAAGATTATTATATTATATTACTTAGAATTATAATGACAATCCCGGAGATGACCGATACTGTATGGTCCAAACTTTTGCCTATGGTGGCAATTTAAATTGTAGTAATATAACAAGTCACATTAAAACACTACATACCAGCATGGATCAGATAATGATAGTACTATAAATACTTGAAGAATTGAAAGAACAATTTCTGTTACAATTTAAAGAAACTAAACAAGAGACAAAAAAGTTCAGAAGGATTCTTACCAGCAAAATAAGATTAATCTAAACCAAATTCGATACAAAAATAAAAAAATTAAGGGAAGAAATGCACAACCATATTGAGGAAAGAATCGCAATGAGAAAAAATAAACAAGAATTTTGAGGAAAAACTAAAAGCGTATTCTTTTCAGATGGCCAAGAAAAGAAGGGGTAAAAGAGCTGGGATACACCGAAACAGAGGAAAAAAAGTGTGGGAGAAAATTAATAGAAGCTTTGCCAAAATAGTGCATGAGACGACAAACGTGTCCAATGAAAGAATAGTGAAATATGTTGGTTCAAGAGAAGAGGTTTACACAGAAGAGCAGGAAAGAAAGGACGACGAAGAAGAGATGAACTTAAGAATGAAGAAGAGAAAAACTAAAGAAAGATGAAGGAAAATTACCACATAATGGAAAAGTAGGAGAAGAAAAAGATGCAAAAATGAAGAAAGGAGAG